GAGGGCACACAGTGCTAGCCCACTATGTACTTACATCATGTCTAAAGGAATGGATGAGGGCACACAGTGCTAGCCCACTATGTACTTACATCATGTCTGGTCTAAAGGAATGGATGAGGGCACACAGTGCTAGCCCACTATGTACTTACATCATGTCTGGTCTAAAGGAATGGATGAGGGCACACAGTGCTAGCCCACTATGTACTTACATCATGTCTGGTCTAAAGGAATGGATGAGGGCACACAGTGCTAGCCCACTATGTACTTACATCATGTCTGGTCTAAAGGAATGGATGAGGGCACACAGTGCTAGCTCACTATGTACTTACATCATGTCTGGTCTAAAGAAATGGATGAGGGCACACAGTGCTAGCCCACTATGTACTTACATCATGTCTGGTCTAAAGGAATGGATGAGGGCACACAGTGCTAGCCCACTATGTACTTACATCATGTCTAAAGAAATGGATGAGGGCACACAGTGCTAGCCCACTATGTACTTACATCATGTCTGGTCTAAAGAAATGGATGAGGGCACACAGTGCTAGCCCACTATGTACTTACATCATGTCTGGTCTAAAGAAATGGATGAGGGCACACAGTGCTAGCCCACTATGTACTTACATCATGTCTAAAGAAATGGATGAGGGCACACAGTGCTAGCTCACTATGTACTTACATCATGTCTGGTCTAAAGGAATGGATGAGGGCACACAGTGCTAGCCCACTGTACTTACATCATGTCTGGTCTAAAGGAATGGATGAGGGCACACAGTGCTAGCCCACTATGTACTTACATCATGTCTGGTCTAAAGGAATGGATGAGGGCACACAGTGCTAGCCCACTATGTACTTACATCATGTCTGGTCTAAAGGAATGGATGAGGGCACACAGTGCTAGCCCACTATGTACTTACATCATGTCTAAAGAAATGGATGAGGGCACACAGTGCTAGCCCACTATGTACTTACATCATGTCTGGTCTAAAGGAATGGATGAGGGCACACAGTGCTAGCCCACTATGTACTTACATCATGTCTGGTCTAAAGGAATGGATGAGGGCACACAGTGCTAGCCCACTATGTACTTACATCATGTCTAGTCTAAAGAAATGGATGAGGGCACACAGTGCTAGCCCACTATGTACTTACATCATGTCTGGTCTAAAGGAATGGATGAGGGCACACAGTGCTAGCTCACTATGTACTTACATCATGTCTGGTCTAAAGGAATGGATGAGGGCACACAGTGCTAGCCCACTATGTACTTACATCATGTCTGGTCTAAAGAAATGGATGAGGGCACACAGTGCTAGCCCACTATGTACTTACATCATGTCTGGTCTAAAGGAATGGATGAGGGCACACAGTGCTAGCCCACTATGTACTTACATCATGTCTAAAGGAATGGATGAGGGCACACAGTGCTAGCCCACTATGTACTTACATCATGTCTGGTCTAAAGGAATGGATGAGGGCACACAGTGCTAGCCCACTATGTACTTACATCATGTCTGGTCTAAAGGAATGGATGAGGGCACACAGTGCTAGCCCACTATGTACTTACATCATGTCTGGTCTAAAGGAATGGATGAGGGCACACAGTGCTAGCCCACTATGTACTTACATCATGTCTGGTCTAAAGGAATGGATGAGGGCACACAGTGCTAGCTCACTATGTACTTACATCATGTCTGGTCTAAAGAAATGGATGAGGGCACACAGTGCTAGCCCACTATGTACTTACATCATGTCTGGTCTAAAGGAATGGATGAGGGCACACAGTGCTAGCCCACTATGTACTTACATCATGTCTAAAGAAATGGATGAGGGCACACAGTGCTAGCCCACTATGTACTTACATCATGTCTGGTCTAAAGGAATGGATGAGGGCACACAGTGCTAGCCCACTATGTACTTACATCATGTCTGGTCTAAAGGAATGGATGAGGGCACACAGTGCTAGCCCACTATGTACTTACATCATGTCTAGTCTAAAGAAATGGATGAGGGCACACAGTGCTAGCCCACTATGTACTTACATCATGTCTGGTCTAAAGGAATGGATGAGGGCACACAGTGCTAGCTCACTATGTACTTACATCATGTCTGGTCTAAAGGAATGGATGAGGGCACACAGTGCTAGCCCACTATGTACTTACATCATGTCTGGTCTAAAGAAATGGATGAGGGCACACAGTGCTAGCCCACTATGTACTTACATCATGTCTGGTCTAAAGGAATGGATGAGGGCACACAGTGCTAGCCCACTATGTACTTACATCATGTCTAAAGGAATGGATGAGGGCACACAGTGCTAGCCCACTATGTACTTACATCATGTCTGGTCTAAAGGAATGGATGAGGGCACACAGTGCTAGCCCACTATGTACTTACATCATGTCTGGTCTAAAGGAATGGATGAGGGCACACAGTGCTAGCCCACTATGTACTTACATCATGTCTGGTCTAAAGGAATGGATGAGGGCACACAGTGCTAGCCCACTATGTACTTACATCATGTCTGGTCTAAAGGAATGGATGAGGGCACACAGTGCTAGCTCACTATGTACTTACATCATGTCTGGTCTAAAGAAATGGATGAGGGCACACAGTGCTAGCCCACTATGTACTTACATCATGTCTGGTCTAAAGGAATGGATGAGGGCACACAGTGCTAGCCCACTATGTACTTACATCATGTCTAAAGAAATGGATGAGGGCACACAGTGCTAGCCCACTATGTACTTACATCATGTCTGGTCTAAAGAAATGGATGAGGGCACACAGTGCTAGCCCACTATGTACTTACATCATGTCTGGTCTAAAGAAATGGATGAGGGCACACAGTGCTAGCCCACTATGTACTTACATCATGTCTAAAGAAATGGATGAGGGCACACAGTGCTAGCTCACTATGTACTTACATCATGTCTGGTCTAAAGGAATGGATGAGGGCACACAGTGCTAGCCCACTGTACTTACATCATGTCTGGTCTAAAGGAATGGATGAGGGCACACAGTGCTAGCCCACTATGTACTTACATCATGTCTGGTCTAAAGGAATGGATGAGGGCACACAGTGCTAGCCCACTATGTACTTACATCATGTCTGGTCTAAAGGAATGGATGAGGGCACACAGTGCTAGCCCACTATGTACTTACATCATGTCTAAAGAAATGGATGAGGGCACACAGTGCTAGCCCACTATGTACTTACATCATGTCTGGTCTAAAGGAATGGATGAGGGCACACAGTGCTAGCCCACTATGTACTTACATCATGTCTGGTCTAAAGAAATGGATGAGGGCACACAGTGCTAGCCCACTATGTACTTACATCATGTCTAGTCTAAAGAAATGGATGAGGGCACACAGTGCTAGCCCACTATGTACTTACATCATGTCTGGTCTAAAGGAATGGATGAGGGCACACAGTGCTAGCTCACTATGTACTTACATCATGTCTGGTCTAAAGGAATGGATGAGGGCACACAGTGCTAGCCCACTATGTACTTACATCATGTCTGGTCTAAAGAAATGGATGAGGGCACACAGTGCTAGCCCACTATGTACTTACATCATGTCTGGTCTAAAGGAATGGATGAGGGCACACAGTGCTAGCCCACTATGTACTTACATCATGTCTAAAGGAATGGATGAGGGCACACAGTGCTAGCCCACTATGTACTTACATCATGTCTGGTCTAAAGGAATGGATGAGGGCACACAGTGCTAGCCCACTATGTACTTACATCATGTCTGGTCTAAAGGAATGGATGAGGGCACACAGTGCTAGCCCACTATGTACTTACATCATGTCTGGTCTAAAGGAATGGATGAGGGCACACAGTGCTAGCCCACTATGTACTTACATCATGTCTGGTCTAAAGGAATGGATGAGGGCACACAGTGCTAGCTCACTATGTACTTACATCATGTCTGGTCTAAAGAAATGGATGAGGGCACACAGTGCTAGCCCACTATGTACTTACATCATGTCTGGTCTAAAGGAATGGATGAGGGCACACAGTGCTAGCCCACTATGTACTTACATCATGTCTAAAGAAATGGATGAGGGCACACAGTGCTAGCCCACTATGTACTTACATCATGTCTGGTCTAAAGAAATGGATGAGGGCACACAGTGCTAGCCCACTATGTACTTACATCATGTCTGGTCTAAAGAAATGGATGAGGGCACACAGTGCTAGCCCACTATGTACTTACATCATGTCTGGTCTAAAGGAATGGATGAGGGCACACAGTGCTAGCCCACTATGTACTTACATCATGTCTGGTCTAAAGAAATGGATGAGGGCACACAGTGCTAGCCCACTATGTACTTACATCATGTCTGGTCTAAAGAAATGGATGAGGGCACACAGTGCTAGCCCACTATGTACTTACATCATGTCTGGTCTAAAGGAATGGATGAGGGCACACAGTGCTAGCCCACTATGTACTTACATCATGTCTGGTCTAAAGGAATGGATGAGGGCACACAGTGCTAGCCCACTATGTACTTACATCATGTCTAAAGGAATGGATGAGGGCACACAGTGCTAGCCCACTATGTACTTACATCATGTCTGGTCTAAAGGAATGGATGAGGGCACACAGTGCTAGCCCACTATGTACTTACATCATGTCTAAAGGAATGGATGAGGGCACACAGTGCTAGCCCACTATGTACTTACATCATGTCTGGTCTAAAGGAATGGATGAGGGCACACAGTGCTAGCCCACTATGTACTTACATCATGTCTGGTCTAAAGGAATGGATGAGGGCACACAGTGCTAGCCCACTATGTACTTACATCATGTCTGGTCTAAAGGAATGGATGAGGGCACACAGTGCTAGCCCACTATGTACTTACATCATGTCTGGTCTAAAGGAATGGATGAGGGCACACAGTGCTAGCCCACTATGTACTTACATCATGTCTGGTCTAAAGGAATGGATGAGGGCACACAGTGCTAGCCCACTATGTACTTACATCATGTCTGGTCTAAAGGAATGGATGAGGGCACACAGTGCAAGCCCACTCCTCCACGAGCTGGTGAAGTCAACTATATGTACATCCCGGTACTTCCCTGTGTTCAGCACCTTCTGACACCACCTCAACAGTGTGTAGCTGTCTATGCTTGAATCAACTGAAACACATGCAATGGTTACAGCCATCTACAGGGCAATTAACATTTAGATTCTACCCAGCCCTTAGATTCTACCCAGCCCTTAGATTCTACCCAGCCCTTAGATTCTACCCAGCCCTTAGATTCTACCCAGCCCATCTGTCAACTATCACATTTAGATTCTACCCAGCCGATCTGTCAACTATCACATTTAGATTCTACCCAGCCCATCTGTCAACTATCACATTTAGATTCTACCCAGCCCTTAGATTCTACCCAGTCCATCTGTCAACTATCACATTTAGATTCTACCCAGCCCTTAGATTCTACCCAGCCCATCTGTCAACTATCACATTTAGATTCTACCCAGCCGATCTGTCAACTATCACATTTAGATTCTACCCAGCCCTTAGATTCTACCCAGTCCATCTGTCAACTATCACATTTAGATTCTACCCAGCCCTTAGATTCTACCCAGCCCATCTGTCAACTATCACATTTAGATTCTACCCAGCCCATCTGTCAACTATCACATTTAGATTCTACCCAGTCCATCTGTCAACTATCCCATTTAGATTCTACCCAGCCCTCAGATTCTACCCAGTCCATCTGTCAACTATCACATTTAGATTCTACCCAGCCCTTAGATTCTACCCAGCCCATCTGTCAACTATCACATTTAGATTCTACCCAGCCCATCTGTCAACTATCACATTTAGATTCTACCCAGCCCTTAGATTCTACCCAGTCCATCTGTCAACTATCACATTTAGATTCTACCCAGCCCATCTGTCAACTATCACATTTAGATTCTACCCAGCCCTCAGATTCTACCCAGCCCATCTGTCACCTATCCTACTGAGTTACAATGGCAGCTTTAAAAAAACAAATGTCACATTATGACCAATACAGCATGTCGCACACAAGATAAATGACTCAACTGTTTCTGGGTTTTTTTGATGGTACAATAGGCTCCACATCTTCTTCTACGTCCTGTTCACTAAAGGTCCCCCCCACATACAGGTGCTTAACCTGGGCTGGCTTCACAGCTCGTAAGTTCAAGTTGGGGTACCTGGTCATACAATACAACTGTTATCTAATGGAGTGGGCACCTGGTCATAAAATACAACTGTTATCTAATGGAGTGGGTACCTGGTCATACAATACAACTGTTATCTAATGGAGTGGGCACCTGGTCATAAAATACAACTGTTATCTAATGGAGTGGGTACCTGGTCATACAATACAACTGTTATCTAATGGAGTGGGTACCTGGTCATACAATACAACTGTTATCTAATGGAGTGGGTACCTGGTCATACAATACAACTGTTATCTAATGGAGTGGGTACCTGGTCATACAATACAACTGTTATCTAATGGAGTAGGTACCTGGTCATACAATACAACTGTTATCTAATGGAGTGGGTACCTGGTCATACAATACAACTGTTATCTAATGGAGTGGGTACCTTGTCATACAATACAACTGTTATCTAATGGAGTGGGTACCTGGTCATACAATACAACTGTTATCTAATGGAGTGGGTACCTGGTCATACATTAAAGTATTAGAAGCTGAGTAACCTGGTGTTGGGGTCGAGGCTGTAAGCATTGTGGTTTTTGTGCAGGTAGTTGGGAGTTGTCTGTGACAGGACTGTGTAGATGCTCTCCCTTTCAGCTAGCACCTGCAATGGAGTTCTTCCTCTTGCCCAACTCCTTATCATCCAGGCGGCATCAAATGCCCCAAGAAATCCACGAGCACAACCAGAGCCTGTAGGCCAGAAGGGCTGAAGGCAGAAAAAGGTAACAGTTGATACCCCTGAGTTACCCCACTACCACCAGCCCTGAGTTACCCCACTACCACCAGCCCTAAGTTACCCCACTACCACCAGCCCTAAGTTACCCCACTACCACCAGCCCTGAGTTACCCCACTACCACCAGCCCTGAGTTACCCCACTACCACCAGCCCTGAGTAACCCCACTACCACCAGCCCTGAGTAACCCCACTACCACCAGCCCTGAGTTACCCCACTACCACCAGCCCTGAGTTACCCCACTACCACCAGCCCTGAGTTACCCCACTACCACCAGCCCTGAGTTACCCCACTACCACCAGCCCTAAGTTACCCCACTACCACCAGCCCTAAGTTACCCCATTACCACAAGCCCTGAGTAACCCTAAGTTACCATCAACCTTAAGTTACCCCACAACCCCCAACCCTAAGTTACCTCTAGCAGACTGTCACCAACGAGCCCCATGAGCAAATGATGTCCATTCTTATACAAGAACCTGGAGGCGTTCTCAGCAGCAAACATAGAAGTGAAGTCAAACATGGCCACATCAGCCTGCCCGTAGTGGTTCACAGCGTAGTCCAGGGATGGCAGCTGGTAGTTGGTGGAGAAATCTGCTGCCTCACGGGCATATGCCATCAGGGCATCTTGGTTCACATTACTTCTATCAAGCAGGGCAACTGTATCTGAGTAATCCTAGCAGTTAAAGGTAAATAGAATTTTATTAAAATACCGGCAATTCTTTAGCACATACAACCCCCTCTAACTACAAACACTGTTTAAAATTTATACAACATAGCCTAACCACAAACCTATCTGAGCACATACAAACCTCTTTGAGAACACCCTTCTCTAACAGACTGGCTTTTTTAGCTGTCATGACAAAGTAATGTGTGTCATCCTTGTAGTAGACAATATTTTCCAGGTCAATGCGTGTCGACTCCTTGAGGTCTAGGAAGAACTTCTGGTTGAAGATAAAAGCCACGCCACTGATCTCCTCTACCCGAGCCTCAGCTTGAGTGTTGCGGTTGATGAAGTTGGCAGTTACAGCTATGGCCAGCTTACCACGAAACTCCTTGCGTCTGAAGCCTGGTGGGGGAAACACAAACTTTACAAGCAACTCTAGGAGAGGAAATGACCACAAAAATAATCAATGCCTGAAATTGTATGTGCTATGTCCTATAAGGGATTTCCAGATCAAACTTATAATAAAGATATCTTACTGTAAACAAAATAGATATTTTAAAAATAATTTTGCTCCAACTACAATTTTTAGCTGGTTATTTCTAATAAATATTTGATTTCAAAACTTCTTAAAGTTATATATCTTCAAAGACAAGCGATGACAAACTGTTGTATTAGAAATTTTTTTTTTTAAATCTACCATTGTCCTAAAAAAAATTTCAAGTGAATGTTAAAAGAATTGAAATAAATATTGTCAACTGACCAGGTAATGTATTTCTTTTACCATCGGCCCCAATCAACACATTAAATTCATATTCAGACAAGACATGATCCTCTGGTGTTGTTCTACAGTGCCAACCTTTACCTGGCCAAAACAAATACTTTTCTAGTTAGGAGCATTCACTACACAATTGCTTTCATTAGTGACAACATATAGCCATGGTTGGACATGAGAAACATTTTTTGACTGAACACAAGGATACAAGCCATCTAAATAAAATCTTATGAAAATTAACTAGAGCTTGTGCTTGAATCCAAATGACAAAATGTTACAGCAGTCTAATGTGGCAATGAAAAATATTTACTCTGGTCCTCTGGTGGCTCAACCAGTCCTTCAAAGGTGACATTGACATGAACCTCCACACCCAGCAGTAGGGCAACCTTCAGCAAAATGCACTGTAACTGTCTTATACCTAGAGAAAGTAATAGCAAACTTTCTGACTTGCACAAATATTATATAATACCTACAGAAAGTAATAGCAAACTTTCTCACTTGCACAAATATTATATGATACCTACAGAAAGTAATAGCAAACTTTCTGACTTGCACAAATATTATATGATACCTACAGAAAGTAATAGCAAACTTTCTGACTTGCACAAATATTATGTGATACCTACAGAAAGTAATAGCAAACTTTCTCACTTGCACAAATATTATATGATACCTACAGAAAGTAATAGCAAACTTTCTGACTTGCACAAATATTATATGATACCTACAGAAAGTAATAGCAAACTTTCTGACTTGCACAAATATTATGTGATACCTACAGAAAGTAATAGCAAACTTTCTGACTTGCACAAATATTATTGGGATGGAAACAGACCAATATTTATTCAAAGAAGAATGTTTCTATTGTCAAGCAGTACAAAAATTATTAGAATTTAATCCTCATTATATAATAAAACAGCTTCAAAATTTCTAGTGTTAAAGAATGTGTAGAGGGGGTGGAAGCAGGCGTTGTTATTGAAATATATTTTAGTGTTAAAGAAGCATTGAGCTGTTTCATTTTGAGAATTTAAAAATAGAATTTTCCCACCACCACCCCCTTCCCTTAAATTCAGTTCATGGTACTCCTCCCCAATAGTTAGCTATTGATACTTTCGATTGCTCAGCTAAACCCTATACTGTATAATATTGAGCAGCAACCCAAATAAAATGTTCAGTTTTGCGCTGAGAAATGTTTACTATTGGGTAGTGAAAGTTGATCTCTTAAGTCACTTCCTTGAGTCACATTACAAACCCAGTGGGCTGTAATCCTGAGACACTATTTGCACACTACAAACTAAACAAAAGATTTCAACCTATTTACCTAAAACAATGAAAGCTGATTAGTTGACACTGAGTTCACCAAACAAGGGAAAGCAACTCAAATATTTATAATCATTCAGCATTTAAAAAAACCTTAAAATATACTCCATCAGACAGTTTTATACCTGAATGTGTTCTATTATATTCAACCCTATCAAAATGAAACAACATAAGGAAACCATGTCTCAACAGTGCATGGTGTATGGAAGACTCAAATGACTGAACGCAAAACTCTTCCCTATCCACATGGTTTAACTTCAGCTTTATCAAGGAAGTCAAAATATTTCTTAGAGAAAATGTTTGTCTCTTAAACATTTTTAAAAGTACTTACATGATCTATTGCTAAAACAACTTACTAATATGATCAATAGCTCCAGCACAGAATTTTCCAAAAAATTTTTTAGCACCAAGATTCCTCAGGTCAGTGATAAGGTAAGGCCATAGGTGGAGCACATTGTTGCGAGAGAACCTGTCTCTCTTCTCCACAACCACAGTTTTAGCACCTAACAGAGCACATTCTATAGCTGTCCTTAAACCACATGGTCCTGAACCTATAACAAGCACCTGAAACAGAAAATGTCACATTCAACCATTTCTCGCTTCTTCATTGCAATACACTGAAGGGGATTTTCTCACTTCTTCATTGCAATACACTGAAGAGGATTTTCTCACTTCTTCATTGCAATACACTGAAGGGGATTTTCTTACTTCTTCATTGCAATACACTGAAGGGGATTTTCTCGCTTCTTCATTGCAATACACTGAAGGGGATTTTCTTTCAACATGATTAAACCTTATGTGTAAACATGTTTATGGCCCATTGATTCAGAGTCGGCTATTCTTTCTAGATGTGCTTGCCTTTGTCAAGCCAAGAACAATCTACAAGGCAGCAGTTATTTGATTTTGGAGTTTTCTCTCAGAGATGGGTTACTGTCTCAGCTAACCAGCTTTATTAGCCAGGAGTTACCAGTCATGGGTACTTTTGCACGACCACGCCTTCCCCTATTTTTCTTAGTGAACAACAGCAAACGCAGGATAGCTGCTTCATATTACATGCTGTAGCTCACCTTGATATCAGCACATGACTGTTGCTTGGCATAGTCTCTGTGAGCAGCACGCTTGTCTAGCTTGACCCAAAGACTCTGTGCCTTCCATGAGCCTTTGAGCTTAGCTTTCAGCTTCTCATAGAAATGCCTGTGGTCAGCATGCCTGAGTCCAGTCAGGTCCAGCAACTGCTGAAAGCTGCTTAAAATGGTTTTGCATGTCACAGCTGTGACAAACTGGTCAAACACGTGCTCACAAGAGGCGCCAACATCTTCTTCTGTCTGCCCATTCATAGCTGGTCTATCTAAACAAAAGCATAACATCTCATTCATTAATACTAATAGTTTCGCTGTCTGTCTGACAAGAACGCTCTAGAGAAAAGACAAGCAAATTAAAAACATGCATAGTAATTCGAAATACGAAGTATGACGTCGTCACATTTAGCACCGAGTAGAAAATAATCTCAAGCCGGAGAGTGCACACAGTAATATGACGTCATTGATTCTCGAGTAAACATTTAATAAAAAGGAAATTTTGTCTAATCTAAGTGGTTAGCGTGAAGAGTTTCTTTCATACAATTCTTCGGGTAGGGGCGAAGCCCCACCCCCGCGTAAGAACGTCTGAGCCCCTCCCCCTCCCTAACTCAAAAGAAATTTCTTCATCGATACTCTATAATAAAATTACCGCCTAATTAATGTGTCTAATCTAAAAAGTGTTTTTCTTGCAATTTCTTTAATGCAATTCTTCGGGTAGTCTCTAAGCGCGACACCAGTGTTTCTTTCAGACTTTTTCCTCCCCGGAGAGGGGTGGGGGTACTTGAAATATTCGGGGGCGGGGGTAGAATTTTCGGGGAGGGGGCGGACACTGGAAAAAGTATATAATTATATTTCGTTAAATGGGACGGTAGACATGTTTTTTTTGAGGGGTGGGGGGGGGAGGGGGGGTGTGGGGTGGGGTCTGGTGGTTTTAGTTTAGAGAAAAGAGACAGCACTATCAGCTGTCCGTTGTATCCTTCCTCAACGGGCCATTTTTCTCGTATACAAGATTTAAGGAAGCCATCTATATAGAAACTACAGCAATCCTTTTTAATTAATGTAATCTTTTGCTTACATTGTCATTTTAAATCTATATATATAATTCTCTTCATGCTACCACCCCCATCCCATCAGTCTGGTGAGCTGTTTACAGTTGTAGAGCCAGGTTGCATTAGTGACAGCCATTAGGGGCAGATAATTTAGTTTTTAAATGATTTGAAACTAGGGGGGGGGGGGGTAATAACAAGTTCTGCAGAATTTTTTTTATTGTCTGTAAACTGTTTTACAAAAAAAGCGTGACGTCATTTATGGATGACCCCTAGGCTAATTTAATATAATATTTGACACAATCACAAAGTGACAAATATATCACAGTGAGTATAGACTACTTCTATTAAAGCCTTGACAATGAGGTAACTTTTTTGTACATTACTCTAGATCTAGCCGCGGGGAATTTTACGTAGATCTACCTAAAAGAAAACGATAGATCTAGATCTAGATTTCTAGACTAAATTAGTAAAATTACCAATGATTTTTAGCCTAACTTCAAACTAACGAGCAGTTGCGTAGGTAAATTAGTAAATTAAATGGTAATCTATCGTTTTAGGTGCGTAAAATCGCACGCGACTTGTAATGTAAAAAACAGGTGACTCCTTAAATTTTAATAATTATTTCACATTTTGAGGAGGATTTATGCTTTTTAAAATACAAATAATTATCATTAAAAAAGTTTTAAAAAACCCAAGTTTTCTGATTGAACTAAAAAGTATAAGCGATGAAAAACGTGGGGCGCCGAAGTAAAAGTTTTTTATCGGTCATTGTTAATATAAGATGTAAAAGTTATATTACTATTGATTAGATAATACTATTAAGTTTTATTAGGGAGCTTGTAGAGAGTCAACAGTATTAAAAACTGTAAGAAAATCACGGCGCCCCACGTTTTTCATTGCTTATAGTAGAGTGATCGCTTGCATTATTGTGATGTATAGCATTTATTTTCTACTTTTTAGTTCAATCAGAAAACGTGGGTTTTTTTTAAACTTTTTTAATGATAATTATTGTCTACTTTTTAGTCTTTGTCTGTTTGCTTGCATTCAAATCTTGCTATCGATTTTATCTTCTCGCATTCACTTTTTTTGGGTAAACGAAGACAACTCGTAAAAAACATGTGCCTTTTCCAATCGACCTTTTTTCTGTGTTGCCGTTTCTTTCACCGTTGTTTGTACACAAACACCGCGTGAAAACTACTCAGTAAGTCAAAAGAGGGAGAGTACCGAACCTTGTTTTCATCAAATTACAATTACTAGGTTATGTCCCTTTTTTGTACAATTATATAGGGGCCTAAAATGATCAATAAAAATTTTCCATGGATCAATTTAGTAATAATAACAATTGAATATTCTATTGTCATCGGAAACAAAACTTCCCTAAAAATTTCAGCGCGCTAGCTAACTGGGAAGTGCCAGAAATTTCGATCGCAAGATTTGATTGGAGAACCAAACAAACAAACAGGCGCGAAAGCAAGTTAAAGAAAACGTGGGAAAATGGTTCCTTGTTTCATTTATGTACCTGTTTTTAAACAATGGACACCAGGGAGAAAAGTCGCAAAGGTATTTGAGAGGTCCATAAATTCATTTAAAAATCTTGCACGGCATAGTTACAATTAATATGGTTATAAAATCCTGTCTGTCTGGTTTTTTTGGACTTTACTAAAGATTGGATGTATTTGATGTTTTTAATATTTTCGGTAACTAAATAAAAATTTAAAAAAAAGCAAAAACAATTTGGTTTTCACGTGTAATGGCGACATAAACAATGGCCGCCATAAATTTTATTGTACACATTGTAAGCTAAAAATAGAAAAAATAGGTCATGGTGTTTAAATTTGCATAGTTATTTAAAAACTTGATCTGCAAAGTTTTGTAAACAAAATAACTATAAAGTGGGGCTGTCAGAAATCGATCACGTAGTTCCTTTACAGCCAATCAATGTTTGTCTTACGAAAGTGAAACATCGGGTTATAACTTAGGCTTGATGAAAATAAATAGAAATGTAGCCTTAAACTCAACAAATTATTTTCAAGTTCTCTGGATCTGCAACTTGTATGGCATTGATTCTAAAAATATTACATTTCTGAATTAATTTTAGGCTTAAGTTTTTAATAAAATTTTATCTTTTATTAGTTTTATGGTCCTAAATCTAAAAAAGCACATTTTTATTCCATGTCAACAACATTACGGAAGGAATCTCGTCAACTCGCTGGTGTCCATTGAATTAAATCTTTTTAGTAATAAATGAAGACTAGCAATGTTTCCAACAGATGCAACCATGCTCATTTATTATAGCAGCCATCTTGTTTAAGTTTTATTTTTATAGTTATAGCGCGAGATTCAGGGGGAAGCCACTCTATTTTACAAATGGCTGCTGTCCAAATCGGGTGTGGGGAAATTGCGAGACGCGAAAAGCGAAATGGCGAGGCGGGAAAATGCGAGAAGGGCGCGAAAACGGTCGGTCACGTGACTTTTTTGTCTCGCATTTTACCACAAGCCGATACTTACGCTGGGTGGTGTTGAAATGCGAAGATTTCTGCGAAAAATTTACCGCACCCGATTTTCAGTGGTATTTGGTCCAGACTTCAAAGACGTTTCGTTTACATTGTTAAAACTTCCGATTTTTCCGTCACTAGACATACTGATGATTTGTCAACTCCCCCCATCTTTTGTGTCGACTTAGAATACCACCTGGTTCGAAACCGACGGAAATACCGCCGACGATAGATCAACTTCTGTCTTTTGTGTGGAACGCCGAGGCCGACTGATTTTCCGTCTTTGAAGATCGCCGTGCCCGGATCCCCTGCCGCCGCAAACATATTTTCTATTGTTGCATGGAAATTTTGTATTATAGCCGCCGCCTACGAATTTTTCTAGCTTTTTTTTACCATATAAATCTAAGCACAAGGAAATGCCTACATCATTTAAATACAACAAAATAAAGTGACGTCACCGATATTATCAGTTGCTCGTGCTATATCGTAAGCTATTATGGGCCTACTTCAAATATTTTTAGAACCAAGTTGAACTTATCTGAATTTTTTGGTTTTGGTGGTGGTGTTATTTGGGGTCTTCCATAAATGACGTCACACTCGTAGGGGGGGGGTCTGTTTTTTATGACGATGTGTGATGCGGGGGAGGAGGGGGGGGGGTAGATGTGAAGTCACACTATAAAAAAGCAATGTTAGAAAAAGAATTTTAGACGTTTTTTCGCGTTTTAGAAAACTGTTTTAATACATTGTAATAGGAATTGATTAAAATACTCTATTTTGACCGAAATTAGACAAGATTTTGGGAAAATATCGATGTTTTAAAAAAACTCAACTGCTGGTGACAACAATGAGCAAGACATTGCCAAAATTACAGAAATGATAAAAAATACAAATTATAAAAAACGGAAAACAGATGTTGAGCGTGCGGATGATGATGATGAGAACATGGGTGCCAGTGTTGTTTGTGGGATGAACGAGGAGGTCAACTGTGATGAGAGTGTGAAATGTTGTGAATGTGGATTGGAAGAAGTAGCAAAAGAAAAATGTATAAATGGGAGTCTAATGAACTGGGTTGGGTGTACTATGTGTAAAAGATGGTGTCACGAGGTGTGTTTGAGGACTGTTTCAGAAGATTTTGTTTGTAAATTTTGTTTGTAATTAAAATTACTTAATAAAAAAATAAATTGCACTTTTTAGAATTATTTATACTTTTACACTTTTTGCAAGTACAAAAATCCATAAATAGATGTTGCAAAATATCTCTCCTGCTGACAAGATTATACCAATTCACAATGACACAGCTCACGTTTGTATAAACATGAGCAGGCTAGATTTTTAAATTAATGCCGACTGAGACGGGATTTTCCTCTCGCTAACAAGAGCGGGCGATGACAATAGCACAGCAACGATGTTAGGATTTTTTAATTGATAGATCTAGATATAGATCTATCTATCTTCTTAGTATCTAGATAAAAAATAACAACATACAATACTGGTGTTAAAGGGTATGGCTAAATGCTTGTTTATTTAAAAAAAAAATAAGTTAAATAAATAAAGATGGAAAAAAAGGAAAAAACTTTTTTCGCAAAAAGTGTCTCGCTATTTACCCTTAATTCCGCAGGTATGTCTCGCATTACCTTCTCGCATTTTCCCGCCTCGCCATTTCGCTTTTCGCGTCTCGCAATTTCCCCACACCCGTCCAAATCCTGCTCGCAGACACTGCTGTTTAGAGTTAATTTTTGGCCTATATTCAAACTATATTGAAGTATATACTTATAATATATTGATATATTTAGCCATTGATTTAGGTTTATTATTCATTCATCTATATTTGACACAAACATATCACTATTATCACAATATAGAGTCTAGATCTACTTCTATTAAACTAAAGCATTGACAATGAGGTAACGTTTTCGTACATTAATAATATTATTTAGGGACTTGGATGACGTAGATTTTGCCCCTCTAAAAACGAGAGTTTTTTCCCCATACCGTAACTTAGTGAATTTAGCCGTGCGGCAGTGGGTGATAATTAAAAAAAAATAATTTCACTATTAATCACCATTGTTAATAGAAAAGTGTCACTTTATTCTGAAAGACAAATGGATTTCACCGATTGCTGTGTTATTTTTGTTTTTTTCTGCTACGAGTGCGTGATGGTGTGTTTCAGGCAAAAATTGGGTAAATAAAACTTATTGTTCCATAAAAATTTACTGTCGCCTTAGGCTAGAAATGCGATCTCCGAGCGTAAACACCATTTTTACATATGTGTTTCAAATTTCATTTAGTTATTCATTAGCGACGTATTTTTTTATAAATAACTTTGAAAGCATAGGGCTTACAAAAGCTTAAGATTGCCGGAAAAGATCGAGGTTAAAACCGGAAGTGGTGTGTTGTTGTTAATGACGCTATACAATGTAAATGTACTTGATTATCTAAATCCAGCAACATCCACATGAATCTGACTCTAAAAGCTTTTTAAATTATCGAATTACATTTGTTATTTATTAAACTTGTTATTTTTGATGACTTTTCATTTGTATTTTGTTATTAGATTCATTAATTGGGTAATTTTAGGATTGTAAATAAGATCGTTTTTTTTTCTCTCAGTTCGCGATGTTTATTTTTTAAACAGTAGATTCTAGATCTAAATTGTTAACTTAAGAATTATATTTAAAAACAAAAGAATGTTAGTTATATGTAGTGTGCTTTTCTATACAAATTTCTTAAATGAACAAGTTAATTTTAAAGCTTAATAGTAGGCCCTATGGCTATGCCTAGTATAAATCTACTATAGACCTATTGCAGGCTATTACACTTAGTTCAGTGAGTTTGTTGGGACTTAAGGTCTACTAATATTTAAAAAATAAAATGAATATAGATCTATTACAAGTGTTAATATTTAATTCCAAATGAACCATAATATGTATATTTTTATTCAGCCTTCTACTTGTTTTCTTAGAGCAAGTTTTTACTTTTTTATTATATTAGATAAGTCCTCTTTATTTATGTTAAACTTGTATAGGCCCTTTTCAATTATAACTCTAGGCATTTTCACTACTTACTTTATGTACATTTACACAATTTTCTGTGTAAAGCTACACTATACTACTGTATTTTTGCTATTGTATATTTTTCAGTTGGAGCTTTACTAGTCTTGGCCCTAGATAAAATGTACCAGTTCACAAGGGGATAGAGAATCAAAAGATGTGGATCTACTCATAAGCAACTTCAATGAAGGAGAAATAAGTCCACTTAAGAATGGATGTTGCTGGTTTTTATTAGTTCTAAAAGCTATCAGCCAGAGGAGACACAGCTTCAGTAGATGTTTGATCAGATTTCATTTTTAAATCATTGATGGTGTTATTTTTTAAAGTAAAAAAGTGACACAAGCTAATAGACTTAAACATGTTATCCACACAGCATGAGATGTCACTTAAATATATGACACATGTTTCTAAATTATAAAACTTACCTTTAACATTAAATGGTGATCTTTACTCCACCAATAAAAAAATCATTTCAATTATAAAATTATTTGTTCAACAATAATTGTAAATTAAATTATATCAATTCTATGATAACGTACACATAACATGGATGAAATATCATGAATATTGACAACATTTAGATACAATTTTAGTAATCTAAAATCCATTTAGCATTGTGCTTCTTTCTTGCAAAAAAGTAGTTGCGCAGAACAAAAATGACTTTTTACATTTGACCAACATTGTAACAAAACCACATAAGCTAAGTGAAATATTTTTACTTTGTGTGGATGTATACAATGTTGGCACCAATTAGGCCAATTTTCATTAAGATATTCCATATAATAAAAATTTGGCAACAGATTATGTGTTGCCTATAGCAGAATTTATTGTTTAAAATTAAGGGGGGTATATGGGTTTAAACCCCTTTTTCATTAAATAAAATATTTTTAAAATCAAATTTGAACAATGGTAATATCAAAGTATATAATAACCTTCATTTTTACAATATTTCTTGCATATAACCAAAGTAATCTAAAATCTGCTGAACATTGTACTTCTTTCTTGCAAAAAAAGAATTTCGCAGAATAAAAATGACTTTTATTTTGTCCAACATTGTAATAAAACCACATAAGCTAAGTAAAATATTTTGACTTTCTGTTAATGTATACAGTGTTGGCACTATTCAGGCCAATTTTCAGTAAGATATTCCATATAATAAAAATTTGGCAACAGATTGTGTGTTGCCTATCAAAGACGCTTATTCAAAAATTTTAGGGGGGTGACCCTCTTTGTTAACATTATTTTTTATGATCATTCTCATCCACTTCAATTATTTTTATCTTACTCTTTTACTGATATCATAAGCTTGATCTTAGTGAATTTTCATTAAAAAATACCTGCTATTTAAAAAGTTACAGAGATTTTAGTTCGCATCCAAAAAAGTAGGGAAGCAAAAAATTGAGAAAACCCCATAGTAAAAAAACCCGAAAATTAAATACTTAATAAATACGTTAAAAATTCATAACTCCGTAACCGTTTGAGCTAAAATTAAAATAAAAGTATCTTTGTTCTTGTCTAAATGAGCTCTATAAACTGGTGCTACTACATTATTTTTTTTTTTTAAATTGAAATTTCATCCAAGTCCCTAATATTATTAATAGCCACGGGCGATTTTAGTATTTTACGTACCCAAAACGAATCTTAAACGATAGATTACCAATTAAATTGTATCCTTTAATTCATTTCTAGATCTAGATCTAGATAGTTTATTAATTTTAAAATTATGTTATAACATATCCAAATAACATGTTTGAAAAAAAACTCGCCCATCGTTATGGTTTTTAACTTTTTTGGCTTTTACTCATAAGAACAGCTGAGGAAATCCTCTGTTTTGCTTTACCGCCATCTTAAAACTGAAGTCGTCTGCACTCGTTTGTTTCCGTAAATATTTCGACGATTTGCATGACACATGCTTTTTTTAAATAGACGCCCAAAATTACTCGTGTTTAGGCCTAGTGAACAAAGAAACCATTATTATTTTAAATTTCTCGACTCTAGATCTAGATCTATACAAACCTGAGCAGCTTTGGTGTATCTTTTAAAACATCATACAGTGCTACAATGTAATAAGTAATATCTGTAGGCTATCTTTATGACATAAGATGACCCGCGCGATGCGAAAAAAAATGTGGAGGGATTGGTGACGGCCTAATAGTGATATTTTCAGAGTCAGTGTACACAAAAAGTGACTCGGCCTATGCTAGTTTAGTAAATGAAATTATGATGTCTTTCCCCTTAGAACTAAAGCTATTCTAGGCCTATCCATTCATTGCACAACTAGATTAATGCAATCCTTTGCTTTAGTCTAACCATTTTAAACACCTTTAGCTTCCACACAGATATGTATGATTTTCACCCATCCCACTCGCAGGGGCCATCCATAAATAAATTCCCCCACTTTGGGGAGGTAATGCAGTTTAGAATTCTAGGGGCGGGTTCGAGAAAAGTGACATTCATGTAATATGGATCTAATATGAAAAATAAAAAAAATTGAAAACATGCTTTATTCGGTACAATAGTGGTTTTTTTTTTTTTTGGTTGTAAAAACATGTTTAAGTTCTCAATATATATTATAGGGATGGAGGATGAGAAGGCGACTAAGACACGTGATGGTATTATGGATTATTCATCTGCTGGTATGATGGTAGAGTCAAGAGCGAAGCCAGGTTTTTGGAATAGACTAGCGTGTGCGTCCCCGCGCGCTGCCGCGGGGTTGGAAGAAAGTCCGAGGATAGCCCGTGGCAAATCGCACCATGCTGGGGCGCGGGCGGACACGCCTGATTCAGTTTAGTGAACGACTATAATAACGACTATAATAACGACTATAAGACTACTTCTTATCCATATTCTATCACGCTCTTTAAAACGAACGTATGCTACATGGCGCTACCGGGATAATCGGGGCGCCAAATTGCACCCTTTCAGGCGCAGGCGAACACGCCTGATTCAACGTAATAAACAACTAAACGCCTCATCTAATTCATATTCTACCGCACTGTTTAAAACGAACCTAGGTGCCATAACGCTCACGGGATAACACGGGGCGCCAACTTGTACCCTGCCGGGGGCCGCCTATGTTTTTTTTTTCGCAGAACCTCCCCATAAGTATTCTCAACAACTTCCCAAAGTTTCATAACGATCGGATGAAAGGTGTAGTAATGCATAAAAGACAAACAGATAGATACACATACACATATAGATATAGATATAGATATAGATATAGATATAGATATAGATATAGATACAGATACAGATACAGATACAGATACAGATACAGATACAGATATAGATATAGATATATATATAGATATAGATATAGATGTAGATGTAGATAGAGTATAGAGATAGAGATAGAGATAGAGATAGAGATAGAGATAGAGATAGAGATGGATGGATGGATGGATGGATGGATGGATGGATGGATGGATGGATGGATGTGTGTCCGCAGCTTTAAGTCGTATCTCCTCCTCAACGAAGCAATATCGAGGACTAGTTCCAAAGCAAATATGTCAAGCAAGTTACGAGGATGATTGTGGGCCCAAGAAATTCCCGGAATTCCTTCCCGGATTTCCGGGAAAAGCCAAAAAAACTCGAAAAAATGCAGTTTTTGGCCCATATCTCGGCAACCAGACCACTTAGCGACTTGAAACATTTACCATTCGATTCCTGCCATAATTTAGAACAATATTGCCGAAGAAAGTTTTCAAAAATATCCTTTCGTTCGGTCACAAAAAATTAATTAAGGAAATTGCGCTTAAATTGTCACTAGAATTTTTATTAACTTGTTTGGAACTAGGTTTACCCATTCATATATTTAAATCTTTAGCCAGACCGAGGTTAGTTAGGGGTTGGGGTTAGTAAGGGGTTGGGTTAGTTAGGGGTTGGGGTTGGTTAGGGGTTAGGGTTGGTTTAGTTTGGGGTTGGGGTTAGTGGTTGGGGTTAGTTAGGGGTTGGGGTTAGTAAGGGGTTGGGGTTGAGACATGGGGTGTTGTGGTTATCAGTGTTTCTTCCAGACTATTTTCTTCCAATTTTCGGGAGGCATACTAAAATTCCCGGTAGGGGGAGCGGGGGCGGCCACGATTAAAAGTATATATTTTCTACATAAATTACATTTCGTTGGGTGGGGAAGGGGTAGACTCGCTTCGGGGAGGCTCTCCCCCCCCCCGTAGAGATGCCCGGAAGAAACACTGGTGGTTATACCTTAAGAGTGGTCATTGGTAGCTGGGATGTGATGGTAGCTGGGATGTGTGGGGTAGCTGGGATTTGATGGTAGCTGGGATGTGTGGGGTAGCTGGGATGTGATGGTAGCTGGAATGTGATGGTAGCTGGGATGTGATGGTAGCTGGGATGTGATGGTAGCTGGGATGTGATGGTAGCTGGGATTTGATGGTAGCTGGGATGTGATGGTAGCTGGGATGTGTGGGGTAGCTGGGATTTGATGGTAGCTGGGATGTGATGGTAGCTGGGGTGTTATGGTAGCTGGGATTTGATGGTAGCTGGGATGTGATGGTAGCTGGGGTGTGATGGTAGCTGGGTGGGTGGGTGGGTGGGTGGATAGGTAGGCAGGCAGGCAGGCAGGTAGGTAGAAGATAGATGAGCAATTAAAACAAAAGCGATGGAAAGATAAAGCCTACACACACGATTCTATGATATTGTCTAGGCTTCATAAAAAATGTGAGTGACACGAGAACATTTTGCGCACTATGAATTCTTATAGATCTAGAAACTATGTCTGTTGTTGAACGGGCTTAGTGCGGTTTTTTAAGTCACTTCACTGGCTCAATACAATGGCACAGTGAAGGACAGAAGGAAAACAGCGCTGTACAATGGTGCATCCCAACGTAAGCTGGGCACTGGGCACTTTTAGTTCTATTATACGGGGCACTTTTAGTTCTATTATACTGGGCACTTTTAGTTCTATTATACGGGGCACTTTTAGTTCTATTATACTGGGCACTTTTAGTTCTATTATACGGGGCACTTTTAGTTCTATTATACTGGGCACTTTTAGTTCTATTATACTGGGCACTGGGCACTTTTAGTTCTATTATACGGGGCACTGGGCACTTTTAGTTCTATTATACGGGGCACTGGGCACTTTTAGCGGGGGGGGGGGGGGGGTGACACCACGATGAAAATAACGTTAAATTTACTGTCAAAACTGATCAAAGCGGGGGAGGGGGGTTGACACCAATCATTTTCTCTATGCATTTTGCTATTTTTTGCCTTGGTGTCACCCCCCCCCCTAAATGGTGTCACCCGGCGCGGTTCGCACTCCCCGTCCCCCCCCCTCGCTACGCCACTACAATAGAGGGGGAGAGGAAGGGGGGGTTATGGTCCTTAACGAGCTACTTATAGTGTTTTAAAGAAATATTATTTTCAGTGTCAGCGTTGGTACTGTCGAATTCACAAATTATGAATTACTGAAAAGTAGAAAAAACAACAACTAAATAGCGGCGTATGTTATGCGCGGACCGGCTCGTATATATATAATTCTCTTCTGGGAGACGCTAGAAAACAAGCTGTAAGCGCGCTCCCTACCACCCCATCCCTACATGGTCCGGTGAGCTGCGGTTCACGCTAAGCCGCTAATGTTTACATTCGTAGAGCCAGGTTTAGTGACGGCTATTAGGGGCAGAAGATAATTTAGTTTGAAACGATTATAAACTTAGGGGAGGTAACTAAGAGGAAGCTGCTTTCACGGGGGGGGGGGATGTAGGGTAGGGGTTGGGGGAAAGAAGGGTGGGGGTAGGGGGTTGGGGGAAAGGAGGGTGGGGGTAGTATCGTTCTTAACGACCTACTGATAGTGTTTTAAAGCAAATATTTTCAATGGCAGCATTGGTACTGTCGAATTCACAAATTATGAATTACTGAAAAGTAGAAAATAAAACAACTAAATAGCGGCATATGATATGCCGCGGGTCGGCTCGTTAGGCTGTAGATAAACATCGTTACTATTACGTCTGCAGTGATTAAAGCTTATAAACACACATGTATGCAAATGTGGCGTATATTTAAACTATAGGCATATGTAGGCAGATACAAACACACACTCATATATATATATATATATATATATATATATATATATATATATATATATATATATATATATATATATATATATATATATATATATATATATATATACTTTGTCTTTTGGGGGTTGGAGTGACATCACGAAGTGCCGCATCGGGTTACACCCGACCTAGCGACGCCACTGCTTTCTATTAACCCTCACCACCAGTGACGTAGGCAAGGGAATGTTTGACCCCCCCCCCCCCCCCCCCCCGCCCCTCATCCTCTAAGCAACACCATCCATAGAACCTCAAAATAAAAGTTGTATCACAATACATTTCTACCTCCGATTTGGCTTATGATGTCGGTGGGTTAGTGGCAAATCTTGTAACTTAATGTTAACCCACTTGTAATGCAGCGATTTCTTTCAAACTTTCCAGATACGTTCCACTTTGATGATAATTTAATTAGATGTTTAGTCATTAAAAACTATTTAACGGTTTCGTTCACACAAATTGTGTGAGTTTTTTCTAGCTTGGTGTTTTTAAATTTTAGAAACATCTGTGGCTGTATTTTGAAGCTGTATGAACATCTGTGGCTGTATTTTGAAGCTGTAGGAACATCCGTGGCTGTATTTTGAAGCTGTATGAACATCTGTGGCTGTATTTTGAAGCTGTATGAACATCCGTGGCTGTATTTTGAAGCTGTAGGAACATCTGTGGCTGTATTTTGACCATTGTACAATGGAAAGAAAAAAGTTACACCCTGTTACACCAAAGCCCAAACCAGGTGAGTTCTTGAGAAAAAATGTATGTATGTATGTATATCTATATATATCTATATATCTATATATATACATATATATACATATATATACATATATATATACATATATATACATATATATATATATATATATATATATATATATATATATATATATATATATATATATATATATATATATATATATATATATATATGTATATATATATGTATATATATATATATATATATATATATATATATATATATATATATATATATATATATATATATATATATATATATATATATATATATATATATATATATATATATACTAGCCGTCCCGGCCAGGCCCTGCACTGGCCTCTATGAAAAACCTATCTGTAAAGGATCACGACATGTGTGTTTAGTAATCAGCATATACCCGGCATTGCCCACCCTAGCCACAACCAACCAAAACCAAAGCACCAAAATCGCAAACAATCGCAAACACAAACACCAATGCAAACACAAAAACCAACCACAAACACAAACACAAAGAAAACACAAACACAAACAAAAAAAGCAAACAAAAACACACCAAATCCAAACACAAACCCAACCACAAACGCAAACTCAACCCAAACACGAATATAACACAAACACAAACGCAAAGTGCTCACAGTCTAGCCCGGGGCGCCAAATCGTCTGTTTCAGCTTAGTAAACGACTATAGTAACCTTTCTTATCCATAGTCTATGTTTAAAGCGAAATTATACACCATAGCGCTCACAGGATATGGGGCATTTAGGAGCTGGCTTATTAACTGTTATTGATTTTAAAAAATAATTAGTAAACAGTACGTTCAGTATATAGAATAAATAAAAGGCAGTATTAAAAATACCTACAACATTGCACTTGGTCAATCCTCGCTAATTATGTAATTAGTTTTGTCCCCAACACCAAACAAAGTAATAAACAGTTAATTCTTTTCCACACGATGTAATGTTTTTTTTTAAAGGGAAGTAATTGTGTTTTCCTAATTTATCAAGGGAAGTTATAAGCGCTAAAGGACTAAATATAAATAATTTTCAAGCATAAATTGGAATTTTTGTAAAAGATTATTTTTTTAAAATTATGTTTAATGGCTATGCTGACAATTATTACTATTAGTTTGAAAAATGAAAATTGTTTTCCAACACTTACAATATTAATTTTTTAAAGTATGAATTTAGACGATGAGTACTTTAGACATTTAACACTTGACGCCATAGAAGTATTATTTTTTCTTATATGCCTTTGTAATCCTTGGTTACATACATATATACAGAATAAACTTTATATATTAGATACTTTTATGTATATCTCTTTGCAAGAAATCTATTTCCGGAATAATATTTGTACAAAGATCGTTTGCCGCCATAGTATTTCATACATTAAAATAGAAGTGTTTCACAATCCGATCCATCATGAAGCTCGTGAGGTTTCTCATGAAGCTTAGTCATGAAACAGTCACCATAGAATTGAAAAATGGAACACAAGTTACAGGAACAGTTACAGGTGTTGATGTGAGCATGAACACACATTTAAAAGCAGTAAAGCTTACTGTAAAAAATAAGGAAACACAACAGTTGGATTCATTAAGTATTCGTGGTAACAACATACGTTATTATGTTCTGCCTGAAAGTTTGCCCCTTGACACTCTGCTTATTGATGATGCTCCACGTTCAAAAGCTCGTGGGAAGAGGGAGGGAGGAAAGCCTGCACTAGGTGGTAGAGGAAGAGGAAGAGGTGGGCCTAGAGGTGGTGGTGGTGGTGGTGGAGGAGGAGGTGGGGGTGGCCGTGGTGGTGGGCCAAGAGGTGGAAGGAGGTAAAGCAGCTAGATCATGTAGAAAACTTCTTCCTGTTAAAATATTTCATTCCCCTTACATATGTAAATAGTTCATGGGGATCAAACAGAATGTTTGTATAGTATTTTTTTTTAGTTATTGTGCTTGATTGTATTTCTTGTACACTGTAATTGGTGAAGAAATTTTTATCTTAAATGTTTTGTTTTAGTGCACAGTACTTGCACTCTTCATTTTAACACATTCTGACTTTTAATTTCATTCTTAAATACATGTTTGAGATGCATGAACGTTGAATGAATGATTATGGTACATTTCCAGTGTTGTTTAAATAAAATGTTGGAATTGAAAAAAAAAAAATATATATATATATATATATATATTAGATACTTTTATCAGTGTCCCCACCCCCATCTGGAGAAAAAAGTCAGAAAGATACACTGATCTTGGTTATTTGGATGTCGCACTGTCAAACTTGTTCTTAATGATTTGTCTGCATTCTTTACATCTTCGAGTTACAGCTTGCATCTTTGGGTGTATTTAACTGTTGTCTAAATTACCATTTTGTTAGTTAGATGTTAGTGTTAACTAATTTTTTCAGCAGAACTAAAAAGCTATGATCTTTTCATGAAAATAAACTTACTATTTTAATGAAAAAACAAAATATTAGATATTTATAACCCCTATAATTATTACTCATTGGCTCTACTTTTGTTTTATTTTTCTTTCTGTATGTATTAACCATCACATATTGGACATGACGTAAATTATTGTTAACTAATCTCTTGTTACTGTTAAACATGTAACTTTTTTTTATTGCAAATAAAAGTATTAAAAAAAATTATATATACGAGCCGACCCGCGGCGTATCATACGCCGCTATTTAGTGGTTTTATTTTCTACTTTTCAGTAATTCATAATTTGTGAATTCGACAGTACCAATGCTGCCACTGAAAATATTTGCTTTAAAACACTACCCCACCCTTTCCCTCAACCCCTACCCTTTACCACCCCCCCCCCCCCTTGAAAGCAGCCTCCTCTTAGTGTGAGCGGCTGGAGTGTATTTTTATTATTTGTAACTTAGAAGGCGAATGTATCGTTTCGTTTCATGTCGTAAATTGTTCGTATCTTTTAGTTGTGTAGTCCCGTATTATGGCGCCGCTGTCTCACTGTTTATGTCCCTGGTTATAGCTAGTTTATATATATTTCGTTTATATTGTTGTCATTGTTTATAGTAAGTGTCTTTTTATAATATTCTGTTGCATGTTCCGTCGTGTTTGGTTTGTTATCCGTGAATTAGGGACTATTTGTTTACGTGTAGCGTGTGAGGTGTGTGGAAGTCGGTTTCCGGCTTGTTCAACTCTGTTTTTTTGTGTGGAAAGCTGCGGTGAAGGGAGCAGGCAGTCTCTCTGGTCATCGGGTGAAAAGAATAGCAAATTCGCACCATCCAGCCATATTTATTTTGTGTTTGTGTTCGTCTTAGTCCTGGACGTAGTCCGAAATTGGGTGTTGTGTTTGATGTAAAAAGTTTGTTTCGTTTGGTTCTGTTTTGTGTCAGTTTATATCTATTCTTTTTTTTATAACTTTTGGTTCCATGCAATAAATTTTATTAACTGTAAAAGTTTTGTTTTATTTTAGTAGCTTATTATTTAGACTAAGGTTAGGGTTTAACCACTGTGGGTTCTACCACGGTTGCACTGACCGGACAGATTAGTTAGTTAAGCCTAGAAGGGTAGATTTTAAGGTATCCCCCCCCCCTAGCAGGGCTTACAAATTGGTAGCACGAGTGGGGTCAGTGCTTTAGTCTAGTTAAATTTTTGTTTTTTTACTAGGGCTAGTGTAGCTTAGTTAAATTTTTTTGTTTTTGATAGGCCCTTTATGGAACCATATGTGTTTAGTTTTTGTTTAGTGTAGGAACCGTTTGTTGTTTAAAACACCCAATTCGGACGAGATGGCGGAGGTGGCACCAGCCATCATCATCGTTCCACCCAGGGAGATCCTCATCCGGAAGTTTCATGGGGACAGCCACGGCTATGATGTGGAACGATTCATTGACGAGGTCCAGTCTCTCTGGAGGGCCAGAAGAGACGTCTCAGTAGAAGAGAGGAAGGACCTTCTCTGGCAGTACCTGGGGGAAGCTGTGAGAGAAGAACTGAGCTGCAGGGGAGATGACCTGCAACGTGACCCAGAGGCCTCCATCAGGCTCCTCCGAGAAGTCTATGGGGAGAAGAGGAGCGTCTCCCAGCTAATGGCGCAACTCCAAATGGTTGTGCAGGGCCAACACGAGTCGGTGAGGGCCTACTCGCACCGCCTGCACAGGGCCTTCAAGGCCCTTGTTGCCAGACAGGGCACCCTGCAAGTCCCTCAGACGAATGCTGAGTTCCTAAGGGACCAGTTTATGGAAAAGCTGAGCCAGTCCTCAGTCAGACGTCAGTTGCAAGAACTAGTTTTCAGGGACCCTAAGATCCCCTTCCTGGCCATACGGGATGCGGCCATTCGATGGTCTGGAGACGAGGACCCAGGGACAGAACCTGCCTATGTGGCAGCTCTACATGCCCGCCCCAAGGAAGAATCCACCCTGCCCAGGTCTAAGCTGGAAGACAGGGTGGACAAGCTCGCAGAGCAGCTATCGGCTCTGTTGACTCAGTTGGCACAGAACCCTCAAGTGTCATCTAGCCGAAGGGTACCCCGCCGACGTCCAGAGGCGGAAACAAGAATGTGTTACAATTGTAACCAGCAAGGTCACCTCGCCCGCAATTGTCGAAACTCAAAGAAGCAGGAGGCCGCAGTGATTCAGAGTCTTACTACTGTTGGTGGGCAGAGCCCAAGCTCCACCATTCACAAGCTGGCTGGACAGTGCCCCACCCTGACTGTGTATTTACAAGGTGTACCGGTGACGGCCGTTATAGACAGTGGTTCACAAGTCAGCACGGTCACTGAAACATTTTGTAACAGGAGCCTCAAGAACATTATCCTAAGAACAGACACACCCCTGTCCTTGAGGGCAGCAAATGGGTTGGCCATCCCATACAATGGCTATTTTATTACTGACCTGGAGATCAACAAGGAAGAAATACGCGACAAGGGGTTCCTTGTGATAAAGGATCCAGTGGGTGGCTCATCAGCTCCACCCTGTTTGTTGGGCATGAACGTTCTCCAGGACCTGACCACATTGGCCCACCTGATCAAGCCCCCAGGAGTGACACCGAAAGTATGGCGAGGGGACAAGGTCCTCCGCCCCCGCGAAAGGACTCTGGTGTCTGCCAAGAGTGTACCAACCATTCAGGCGACGAAAGGAGACCCCGGAATGAAGGACGACAAGGTGGTACAGCCATTAGACCAACCTTTTCACCCAGATCCGTCAGTGGTATCAGGCCCAACATCCTGCCTACGCGCCAGCATAACCAGTATAAAGGTGGACCAACCTGAGGAACTAGAGGCAATGGTTCCACCTAACCCATCCTTAATTAAGGCACCGGGTGGTGGTGCTGGGGGATGCCCCCAGACAGAGTCAAGCAAGAAGGACAAGCAGGTCAAAAAGGCACCTGTAGCTGAACTGGCCATAGGCGATCTGGTCCTTCTGAGACAACCCCCACTAGGCAGACGCAAAATGGCAGACCTAGACGACCCGACAGTTTATGTCGTGGTCGAAGTACCTCCGATCACCGGCGGGTGTTACGCCATTAAGAAGAAAGATGGCCCTTCTGGCACCCGCCGGGTGGCAAGCACCCAGATTACCAGATACGTGCCTCAAACCTCTCATCAACCACCCTCCCCAAGGCCGGTCAAAGTGATACCGCCGGCTACTCCAGGCTACAGCCACATAATTTATAAGGTCCAATTGCCGGGGACCAGAGCAGCCGGTAACCCCACAGTACCTGACATACCTCTGCGTAGGTCGGTCAGGGAGCGCAGAGTCCCTAGTAGGCTAGACTTGTGATTGTGCCCTGTGGGCTGATTTTTTTGACAATGTTTTTTTGTAAAATTTATGATTGTGCCCTGTGGGCTGATTTTTTTGCAAGTTCTTTTGCAAAGTTTTGTTTTTTTGTAACATGTATGATTATGCCCTGTGGGCTGATTTTCTGGCAAAGATTGCTTTTTTTGTAAAATTTATGATTGTGCCCGGTGGGCTGATTTTTTTGCAAGTTCTTTGTAACATTTATGATTATGCCCTGTGGGCTGTTTTTTTCAAGTTTGTTAGCTTGCGGTGACCGCAAGCTTTAAGGGGCGTGTATGTGAGCGGCTGGAGTGTATTTTTATTATTTGTAACTTAGAAGGCGAATGTATCGTTTCGTTTCATGTCGTAAATTGTTCGTATCTTTTAGTTGTGTAGTCCCGTATTATGGCGCCGCTGTCTCACTGTTTATGTCCCTGGTTATAGCTAGTTTATATATATTTCGTTTATATTGTTGTCATTGTTTATAGTAAGTGTCTTTTTATAATATTCTGTTGCATGTTCCGTCGTGTTTGGTTTGTTATCCGTGAATTAGGGACTATTTGTTTACGTGTAGCGTGTGAGGTGTGTGGAAGTCGGTTTCCGGCTTGTTCAACTCTGTTTTTTTGTGTGGAAAGCTGCGGTGAAGGGAGCAGGCAGTCTCTCTGGTCATCGGGTGAAAAGAATAGCAAATTCGCACCATCCAGCCATATTTATTTTGTGTTTGTGTTCGTCTTAGTCCTGGACGTAGTCCGAAATTGGGTGTTGTGTTTGATGTAAAAAGTTTGTTTCGTTTGGTTCTGTTTTGTGTCAGTTTATATCTATTCTTTTTTTTATAACTTTTGGTTCCATGCAATAAATTTTATTAACTGTAAAAGTTTTGTTTTATTTTAGTAGCTTATTATTTAGACTAAGGTTAGGGTTTAACCACTGTGGGTTCTACCACGGTTGCACTGACCGGACAGATTAGTTAGTTAAGCCTAGAAGGGTAGATTTTAAGGTATCCCCCCCCCTAGCAGGGCTTACATTAGTTACCTCCTCTAAGTTTAAAATCGTTTCAAACTAAATTATCTGCCCCTAATAGCCGTCACTAAACCCGGCTATACGAATGTAAACATTTAGAGTGAACACCGCTCACCAGACCATGTGGGGGGGGGGGGGTGTGGTAGTGATAGAGAGGAAGAGAGGGGACTGCAAGGCGCAGTTTGCAGCTTGTTTTCTAACGTCTCCCAGAAGAGAATTATATATATATATATATATATATATATATATATATATATATATATATATATATATATATATATATATATATATATATGTATAAATAGACATATATATACATATAGGCCTATTTACATATATATACTTATATATATATATATGTATATATATATATATATATATATATGTATATATATATATATATATATATATATATATATATATATATATATATATATATATACTAGCTGTATGTCATTGCTTCACAATGATGTAAAATAAATTGAAAGTAGCACCGTGAAGAAATAAGAAAAAACACACAATGTATTCCGACCACAAAAAAAATTATCACTCTAAACAAAACAAAAAACATACACCAAAATCAATGAATGCAACACAATCTGTTTTGTAATCCTTGTAAAAATTCAAATTGGATATAATGATTCCTAGAATAGACAAGCGAACTAGGGGAAATAAACATTTACAAATTATATTGTAAATATCAAAACAGATCAATAATTACTTACGAAAATAATATAGTAGCTTAACTTAACACTATTCGTTTTTACAAAAATATGTTGTCTATAATCAGAACTAAATATATTGTCATCATAAATTCTAAAATATTACAGCATAATGACATTTTTTTAAATCAGAGATGGTATAAAATCAAGCTTTTCATTTTAATACTAAAGTTAAATCTAATAGGTGTAACATTCTGAATAATAACCTACACAAAAATTAAAATATTGGTTTTGCTGTTCAGAACATTCATTTTGTAATTAGACCTAGCTGCTGTTTTTTTGTGTTCTTTAAAAATCATTTTTTAAACATAATGACAAGGTATGGGTTAGATCACTGTATTGATCACACACCTCTTTACTGGTAATTGCAAAAAAAAAATATTTACAGAGTTTTACCAGTTTCAAAAGCTATGATTCTGGTGGCATGGTACTTTGGTACAGCATTACACGTTTTCCCAAATGACTTAACAGATCAGTTCGGGATGGGTTAGGGGGAGGGGGGGGGGGGGGGGAGAATAACAAACTCAGAGTGAACGTAATGTCAGTTTTGAGATGACGGCTCTAAACATAAATATACAATTATAAATATATACTGATTTAGAAATATATTTAAATAAGTAACAGAGATAATATGACTGTAGAAAATGTTTTACATTGTTGTTTACATTTGTTGATCACAAAGATGGCCACATTGTTGTTTACATTTGTTGATGACAAAGATGGCCACATTGTTGTTTACATTTGTTGATGACAAAGATGGCCACATTGTTGTTTACATTTGTTGATCACAAAGATGGCCACATTGTTGTTTACATTTGTTGATCACAAAGATGACCACATAGATGTTTACATTCGTTGATCACAAAGATGGCCACATTGTTGTTTACATTTGTTGATGACAAAGATGGCCACATTGTTGTTTACATTTGTTGATGACAAAGATGGCCACATTGTTGTTTACATTTGTTGATGACAAAGATGGCCACATTGTTGTTTACATTTGTTGATGACAAAGATTGCCACCTGAGCGTAGTAAAAAAAGCAAGCTCAACTCAGCCTGAACTCTCCAAACGGCCGCCATGGGACTCTCGCTTCTGCAAGTCAGAAAACAAGCTTTTCAGGTTGGTTCATGTGCTTGTCCAGACTACTAAACTTTTATATAAGTCTGTATCTTAGTGTAGATTAGTAAAGCTTCAGTTAAGTCTGTAGCAAGTTGAAGTAGATGTTGGCTGTTGTTGTATAACAGAATAAAGTTTTTCAATTTTTATGGCAAAATAAATTTGAATTTCAGACCAAGGACATATTGTAGAGAATACACTTTGGAGATTCCACAGCCTGATTTTATTGGTCGATCGGTTTCAGGACAGATACCCTTAGAGTTAGGTCGCATTATGTGTGTGCAGTTTCTTCAGATGTCTAGCTGCATGTTGCTGTGGTGCTGATTTGCTAGCTGAATGTTGCTGTGGTGCTGATTTGCTAGCTGAATGTTGCTGTGGTGCTGATTTGCTAGCTGAATGTTGCTGTGGTTCTGTGGTGCTGATTTGCTAGCTGAATGTTGCTGTGGTGCTGATTTGCTAGCTGAATGTTGCTGTGGTTCTGTGGTGCTGATTTGCTAGCTGAATGTTGCTGTGGTGCTGATTTGCTAGCTGAATGTTGCTGTGGTGCTGATTTGCTAGCTGAATGTTGCTGTGGTGCTGATTTGCTAGCTGAATGTTGCTGTGGTGCTGTGGTGCTGATTTGCTAGCTGAATGTTGCTGTGGCGCTGATTTGCTAGCTGCATGTTGCTGTGGTGCTGATTTGCTAGCTGAATGTTGCTGTGGTGCTGATTTGCTAGCTGAATGTTGCTGTGGTGCTGTGGTGCTGATTTGCTAGCTGAATGTTGCTGTGGTGTTGATTTGCTAGCTGAATGTTGCTGTGGTGCTGATTTGCTAGCTTAATGGTGCTGTGGTGCTGATTTGCTAGCTGAATGTTGCTGTGGTGTTGATTTACTAGCTGAATGTTGATGTGGTGCTGATTTGCTAGCTGAATGTTGCTGTGGTGCTGATTTGCTAGCTGAATGTTGCTGTGGTGCTGATTTGCTAGCTGAATGTTGCTGTGGTGCTGTGGTGCTGATTTGCTAGCTGAATGTTGCTGTGGTGCTGTGGTGCTGATTTGCTAGCTGAATGTTGCTGTGGTGCTGATTTGCTAGCTGAATGTTGCTGTGGCGCTGAAATGCTAGCTGAATGTTGCTGTGGTGCTGATTTGCTAGCTGAATGTTGCTGTGGTGCTGATTTGCTAGCTGAATGTTGCTGTGGTGTTGATTTGCTAGCTGAATGTTGCTGTGGTGCTGATTTGCTAGCTGAATGTTGCTGTGGTGCTGATTTGCTAGCTGAATGTTGCTGTGGTGCTGATTTACTAGCTGAATGTTGATGTGGTGCTGATTTACTAGCTGAATGTTGATGTGGTGTTGATTTGCTAGCTGAATGTTGCTGTGGTGCTGATTTGCTAGCTGAATGTTGCTGTGGTGCTGTGGCGCTGATTTGCTAGCTTAATGTTGCTGTGGTGCTGATTTGCTAGCTGAATGTTGCTGTGGTGCTGATTTGCTAGCTGAATGTTGCTGTGGTGCTGATTTGCTAGCTGAATGTTGCTGTGGTGCTGATTTGCTAGCTGAATGTTGCTGTGGTGCTGATTTGCTAGCTGAATGTTGCTGTGGTGCTGTGGTGCTGATTTGCTAGCTGAATGTTGCTGTGGTGCTGTGGTGCTGATTTGCTAGCTGAATGTTGATGTGGTGCTGATTTACTAGCTGAATGTTGCTGTGGTGCTGTGGTGCTGATTTACTAGCTGAATGTTGCTGTGGCGCTGATTTGCTAGCTGAATGTTACTGTGGTGCTGTGGTGCTGATTTGCTAGCTGAATGTTGCTGTGGTGCTGATTTGCTAGCTGAATGTTGCTGTGGTGCTGATTTGCTAGCTGAATGTTGCTGTGGTGCTGTGGTGCTGATTTACTAGCTGAATGTTGATGTGGTGCTGATTTGCTAGCTGCATGTTGCTGTGGTGCTGATTTGCTAGCTGAATGTTGCTGTGGTGCTGATTTGCTAGCTGAATGTTGCTGTGGTGCTGTGGTGCTGATTTGCTAGCTGAATGTTGCTGTGGTGTTGATTTGCTAGCTGAATGTTGCTGTGGCGCTGATTTGCTAGCTGAATGTTGCTGTGGTGCTGATTTGCTAGCTGAATGTTGCTGTGGTGCTGTGGTGCTGATTTGCTAGCTGAATGTTGCTGTGGTGTTGATTTGCTAGCTGAATGTTGCTGTGGCGCTGATTTGCTAGCTGAATGTTGCTGTGGCGCTGATTTGCTAGCTGAATGTTGCTGTGGTGCTGATTTGCTAGCTGAATGTTGCTGTGGTGTTGATTTGCTAGCTGAATGTTGCTGTGGCGCTGATTTGCTAGCTGAATGTTGCTGTGGTGCTGATTTGCTAGCTGAATGTTGCTGTGGTGCTGTGGTGCTGATTTACTAGCTGAATGTTGATGTGGTGCTGATTTGCTAGCTGAATGGTGCTGTGGTGCTGATTTGCTAGCTGAATGTTGCTGTGGCGCTGATTTGCTAGCTGAATGTTGCTGTGGTGCTGATTTGCTAGCTGAATGTTGCTGTGGTGCTGTGGTGCTGATTTGCTAGCTGAATGTTGCTGTGGTGCTGATTTACTAGCTGAATGTTGCTGTGGTGCTGTGGTGCTGATTTACTAGCTGAATGTTGCTGTGGTGCTGATTTACTAGCTGAATGTTGCTGTGGTGCTGTGGTGCTGATTTACTAGCTGAATGTTGCTGTGGTGCTGATTTGCTAGCTGAATGTTGCTGTGGTGCTGTGGTGCTGATTTACTAGCTGAATGTTGATGTGGTGCTGATTTACTAGCTGAATGTTGCTGTGGTGCTGTGGTGCTGATTTACTAGCTGAATGTTGCTGTGGTGTTGATTTGCTAGCTGAATGTTGCTGTGGCGCTGATTTGCTAGCTGAATGTTGCTGTGGCGCTGATTTGCTAGCTGAATGTTGCTGTGGTGCTGATTTGCTAGCTGAATGTTGCTGTGGTGCTGTGGTGCTGATTTACTAGCTGAATGTTGATGTGGTGCTGATTTACTAGCTGAATGTTGCTGTGGTGCTGATTTGCTAACTTAATGGTGCTGTGGTGCTGATTTGCTAGCTGAATGTAGCTGTGGTGCTGTGGTGCTGATTTACTAGCTGAATGTTGCTGTGGTGCTGATTTACTAGCTGAATGTTGCTGTGGTGCTGATTTGCTAGCTGAATGTTGCTGTGGTGCTGATTTGCTAGCTGAATGTTGCTGTGGTGCTGATTTGCTAGCTGAATGTTGCTGTGGTGCTGATTTACTAGCTGAATGTTGCTGTGGTGCTGATTTGCTAGCTGAATGTTGCTGTGGTGCTGATTTGCTAGCTGAATGTTGCTGTGGTGCTGTGGTGCTGATTTGCTAGCTTAATGGTGCTGTGGTGCTGATTTGCTAGCTGAATGTTGCTGTGGTGCTGATTTGCTAGCTGAATGTTGCTGTGGTGCTGTGGCGCTGATTTGCTAGCTGAATGTTGCTGTGGTAATGATTTACTAGCTGAATGTTGCTGTGGTGCTGTGGTGCTGATTTGCTAGCTGAATGTTGCTGTGGTGCTGATTTGCTAGCTGAATGTTGCTGTGGTGCTGTGGCGCTGATTTGCTAGCTGAATGTTGCTGTGGTGCTGATTTACTAGCTGAATGTTGCTGTGGTGTTGATTTGCTAGCTGAATGTTGTTGTGGTGCTGTGGTGCTGATTTGCTAGCTGAATGTTGCTGTGGTGCTGATTTGCTAGCTGAATGTTGCTGTGGTGCTGATTTGCTAGCTGAATGTTGCTGTGGTGCTGATTTGCTAGCTGAATGGTGCTGTGGTGCTGATTTGCTAGCTGAATGTTGCTGTGGTGTTGATTTGCTAGCTGAATGTTGCTGTGGTGCTGATTTGCTAGCTGAATGTTGCTGTGGTGCTGATTTGCTAGCTGAATGTTGCTGTGGTGCTGATTTGCTAGCTGAATGTTGCTGTGGTGCTGTGGTGCTGATTTGCTAGCTGAATGGTGCTGTGGTGCTGATTTGCTAGCTGAATGTTGCTGTGGTGTTGATTTGCTAGCTGAATGTTGCTGTGGTGCTGATTTGCTAGCTGAATGTTGCTGTGGTGCTGATTTGCTAGCTGAATGTTGCTGTGGTGCTGATTTGCTAGCTGAATGTTGCTGTGGTACTGTGGTGCTGATTTGCTAGCTGAATGTTGCTGTGGTGCTGATTTGCTAGCTGAATGTTGCTGTGGCGCTGATTTGCTAGCTGAATGTTGCTGTGGTGCTGATTTGCTAGCTGAATGTTGCTGTGGTGCTGATTTGCTAGCTGAATGTTGCTGTGGTGCTGATTTACTAGCTGAATGTTGCTGTGGTGCTGATTTGCTAGCTGAATGTTGCTGTGGTGCTGATTTGCTAGCTGAATGTTGCTGTGGTGCTGTGGTGCTGATTTGCTAGCTGAATGTTGCTGTGGTGCTGATTTGCTAGCTGAATGTTGCTGTGGTGCTGATTTGCTAGCTGAATGTTGCTGTGGTGCTGTGGCGCTGATTTGCTAGCTGAATGTTGCTGTGGTGCTGATTTACTAGCTGAATGTTGCTGTGGTGTTGATTTGCTAGCTGAATGTTGCTGTGGTGCTGTGGTGCTGATTTGCTAGCTGAATGTTGCTGTGGTGCTGATTTGCTAGCTGAATGTTGCTGTGGTGCTGATTTGCTAGCTGAATGTTGCTGTGGTGTTGATTTGCTAGCTTAATGGTGCTGTGGTGCTGATTTGCTAGCTGAATGTTGCTGTGGTGCTGATTTGCTAGCTGAATGTTGCTGTGGTGCTGTGGCGCTGATTTGCTAGCTGAATGTTGCTGTGGTGCTGATTTACTAGCTGAATGTTGCTGTGGTGTTGATTTGCTAGCTGAATGTTGCTGTGGTGCTGTGGTGCTCATTTGCTAGCTGAATGTTGCTGTGGTGCTGATTTGCTAGCTGAATGTTGCTGTGGTGCTGATTTGCTAGCTTAATGGTGCTGTGGTGCTGATTTGCTAGCTGAATGTTGCTGTGGTGCTGATTTGCTAGCTGAATGTTGCTGTGGTGCTGATTTGCTAGCTGAATGTTGCTGTGGTGCTGTGGTGCTGATTTGCTAGCTGAATGTTGCTGTGGTGCTGATTTGCTAGCTGAATGTTGCTGTGGTGCTGTGGTGCTGATTTGCTAGCTGAATGTTGCCGTGGTGCTGATTTGCTAGCTGAATGGTGCTGTGGTGTTGATTTGCTAGCTGAATGTTGCTGTGGTGCTGTGGTGCTGATTTGCTAGCTGAATGGTGCTGTGGTGCTGATTTGCTAGCTGAATGTTGCTGTGGTGCTGATTTGCTAGCTGAATGTTGCTGTGGCGCTGATTTGCTAGCTGAATGTTGCTGTGGTGCTGATTTGCTAGCTGAATGTTGCTGTGGCGCTGATTTGCTAGCTGAATGTTGCTGTGGTGTTGATTTGCTAGCTGAATGTTGCTGTGGTGCTGTGGTGCTGATTTACTAGCTGAATGTTGCTGTGGTGCTGATTTACTAGCTGAATGTTGCTGTGGTGCTGATTTGCTAGCTTAATGGTGCTGTGGTGCTGATTTGCTAGCTGAATGTTGCTGTGGTGCTGATTTGCTAGCTGAATGTAGCTGTGGTGCTGTGGTGCTGATTTACTAGCTGAATGTTGCTGTGGTGCTGATTTACTAGCTGAATGTTGCTGTGGTGCTGATTTGCTAGCTGAATGTTGCTGTGGTGCTGATTTGCTAGCTGAATGTTGCTGTGGTGCTGATTTGCTAGCTGAATGTTGCTGTGGTGCTGATTTACTAGCTGAATGTTGCTGTGGTGCTGATTTGCTAGCTGAATGTTGCTGTGGTGCTGATTTGCTAGCTGAATGTTGCTGTGGTGCTGTGGTGCTGATTTGCTAGCTGAATGTTGCTGTGGCGCTGATTTGCTAGCTGAATGTTGCTGTGGTGCTGATTTGCTATCTGAATGTTGCTGTGGCGCTGATTTGCTAGCTGAATGTTGCTGTGGTGCTGATTTGCTAGCTGAATGTTGCTGTGGCGCTGAAATGCTAGCTGAATGTTGCTGTGGTGCTGATTTGCTAGCTGAATGTTGCTGTGGTGCTGATTTGCTAGCTGAATGTTGCTGTGGTGTTGATTTGCTAGCTGAATGTTGCTGTGGTGCTGATTTGCTAGCTGAATGTTGCTGTGGTGCTGATTTGCTAGCTGAATGTTGCTGTGGTGCTGATTTACTAGCTGAATGTTGATGTGGTGCTGATTTACTAGCTGAATGTTGATGTGGTGTTGATTTGCTAGCTGAATGTTGCTGTGGTGCTGATTTGCTAGCTGAATGTTGCTGTGGTGCTGTGGCGCTGATTTGCTAGCTGAATGTTGCTGTGGTGCTGATTTGCTAGCTGAATGTTGCTGTGGTGCTGATTTGCTAGCTGAATGTTGCTGTGGTGCTGATTTGCTAGCTTAATGTTGCTGTGGTGCTGATTTGCTAGCTGAATGTTGCTGTGGTGCTGATTTGCTAGCTGAATGTTGCTGTGGTGCTGATTTGCTAGCTGAATGTTGCTGTGGTGCTGATTTGCTAGCTGAATGTTGCTGTGGTGCTGATTTGCTAGCTGAATGTTGCTGTGGTGCTGTGGTGCTGATTTGCTAGCTGAATGTTGTTGTGGTGCTGATTTGCTAGCTGAATGTTGCTGTGGTGCTGATTTGCTAGCTGAATGTTGCTGTGGTGCTGATTTGCTAGCTGAATGTTGCTGTGGTGCTGATTTGCTAGCTGAATGTTGCTGTGGTGCTGTGGTGCTGATTTACTAGCTGAATGTTGATGTGGTGCTGATTTACTAGCTGAATGTTGCTGTGGTGTTGATTTGCTAGCTGAATGTTGCTGTGGTGCTGATTTGCTAGCTGAATGTTGCTGTGGTGCTGATTTGCTAGCTGAATGTTGCTGTGGTGCTGTGGTGCTGATTTGCTAGCTGAATGTTGCTGTGGTGCTGATTTGCTAGCTGAATGTTGCTGTGGTGCTGATTTGCTAGCTGAATGTTGCTGTGGTGCTGATTTGCTAGCTGAATGTTGCTGTGGTGCTGATTTGCTAGCTGAATGTTGCTGTGGTGTTGATTTGCTAGCTTAATGTTGCTGTGGTGCTGATTTGCTAGCTGAATGTTGCTGTGGTGCTGATTTGCTAGCTGAATGTTGCTGTGGTGCTGATTTGCTAGCTGAATGTTGCTGTGGTGTTGATTTGCTAGCTTAATGGTGCTGTGGTGCTGTGGTGCTGATTTGCTAGCTGAATGTTGCTGTGGCGCTGATTTGCTAGCTGAATGTTGCTGTGGTGCTGATTTGCTAGCTGAATGTTGCTGTGGTGCTGATTTGCTAGCTGAATGTTGCTGTGGCGCTGATTTGCTAGCTGAATGTTGCTGTGGTGCTGATTTGCTAGCTGAATGGTGCTGTGGTGCTGATTTGCTAGCTGAATGTTGCTGTGGTGCTGATTTGCTAGCTGAATGTTGCTGTGGTGCTGATTTGCTAGCTGAATGTTGCTGTGGTGCTGATTTGCTAGCTGAATGTTGCTGTGGTGCTGATTTGCTAGCTGAATGTTGCTGTGGTGCTGTGGTGCTGATTTGCTAGCTGAATGTTGCTGTGGTGCTGATTTGCTAGCTGAATGTTGCTGTGGTGCTGATTTGCTAGCTGAATGTTGCTGTGGTGCTGTGGTGCTGATTTGCTAGCTGAATGTTGCTGTGGTGCTGATTTACTAGCTGAATGTTGCTGTGGTGCTGTGGTGCTGATTTGCTAGCTGAATGTTGCTGTGGTGCTGATTTACTAGCTGAATGTTGATGTGGTGCTGATTTGCTAGCTGAATGGTGCTGTGGTGCTGATTTGCTAGCTGAATGTTGCTGTGGTGCTAATTTGCTAGCTGAATGGTGCTGTGGTGCTGTGGTGCTGATTTGCTAGCTGAATGTTGCTGTGGTGCTGATTTGCTAGCTGAATGTTGCTGTGGTGCTGTGGTGCTGATTTGCTAGCTGAATGTTGCTGTGGTGCTGATTTACTAGCTGAATGTTGATGTGGTGCTGATTTGCTAGCTGAATGGTGCTGTGGTGCTGATTTGCTAGCTGAATGTTGCTGTGGTGCTAATTTGCTAGCTGAATGGTGCTGTGGTGCTGTGGTGCTGATTTGCTAGCTGAATGTTGCTGTGGTGCTGATTTGCTAGCTGAATGTTGCTGTGGTGCTGTGGTGCTGATTTGCTAGCTGAATGTTGCTGTGGTGCTGATTTGCTAGCTGAATGTTGCTGTGGTGCTGATTTGCTAGCTGAATGGTGCTGTGGTGCTGTGGTGCTGATTTGCTAGCTGAATGTTGTTGTGGTGCTGATTTGCTAGCTGAATGTTGCTGTGGTGCTGATTTGCTAACTTAATGGTGCTGTGGTGCTGATTTGCTAGCTGAATGTTGCTGTGGTGCTGATTTGCTAGCTGAATGTTGCTGTGGTGCTGTGGTGCTGATTTGCTAGCTGAATGTTGCTGTGGTGCTGATTTGCTAGCTGAATGTTGCTGTGGTGCTGATTTGCTAGCTGCATGTTGCTGTGGTGCTGATTTGCTAGCTGAATGTTGCTGTGGTGCTGATTTGCTAGCTGAATGTTGCTGTGGTGCTGATTTGCTAGCTGAATGTTGCTGTGGCGCTGATTTGCTAGCTGAATGTTGCTGTGGTGCTGATTTGCTAGCTGAATGTTGCTGTGGTGATGATTTGCTAGCTGAATGTTGCTGTGGTGTTGATTTGCTAGCTGAATGTTGCTGTGGTGTTTATTTGCTAGCTGAATGTTGCTGTGGTGTTGATTTGCTAGCTGAATGTTGCTGTGGTGTTGATTTGCTAGCTGAATGTTGCTGTGGTGCTGATTTGCTAGCTGAATGTTGCTGTGGTGCTGTGTTGTTAATTTTTTAGCTGAAAAAATTATTCATAAACATTGATGTCACTGTTGTTAGTATTTGATGATAGCAATTGATAAGAAGTTAGTCCCTATATAAATCCTTTGTTCTTCATTATACGGGATAATACATTAACTTGACAATGACACTAATACATTAACTTGACAATGACACTACTTGAGGATAACTACAATAACTACTAGGACCCTTACGATAACTTAAGACCAAAAGATGACTTGAATGATGATTTAACCAAAGGATGACTTGAATGATGAGTTAACCAAAGGATGATTTGAATGATGAGTTAACCAAAGGATGACTTGAATGATGATTTAACCAAAGGATGACTTGAATGATGATTTAACCAAAGGATGACTTGAATGATGATTTAACCAAAGGATGACTTGAATGATGAGTTAACCAAAGGATGACTTGAATGAAGAGTTAACCAAAGGATGACTTGAATGATGAGTTAACCAAAGGATGACTTGAATGATGAGTTAACCAAAGGATGACTTGAATGATGATTTAACCAAAGGATGACTTGAATGATGAGTTAACCAAAGGATGACTTGAATGATGAGTTAACCAAAGGATGACTTGAATGATGGCTAGACCAAAGGATGACTTGAATGATGATTTAACCAAAAGATGACTTGAATGATGATTTAACCAAAGGATGACTTGAATGATGATTTAACCAAAGGATGACTTGAATGATGATTTAACCAAAAGATGACTTGAATGATGATTTAACCAAAGGATGACTTGAATGATGATTTAACCAAAGGATGACTTGAACGATGACTAAACCAAAGGATGACTTGAATGATGAGTTAACCAAAGGATGACTTGAATGATAACTAGACCAATGGATTAGTACAATTGAAAGGATTAATACAATTAGTATTGTCAGGACAAACATTTTAGTTTCGTTAAAAATAGTGAATATTAATTATATCCCCTTATGGAAATGCAGTTGTTTTGCAGTTGTCTTGATATGCGAGATATGTATGTAGCTCTTCAAACTAGAAAATAAATTAAAGTATTGTAGGCTACATTATTAAGTTTGATTGCATTTGGCCCTTTGACAAGTTCATTAAATAACCTTTATTAATCTGTAAAACAGAAATGGCCAAACACTCAACGTGGTAGATGCACTTGTGTGCACTGAAAATTATAAAATCGCCCCTTGGTGTGCTGGAGCCAGGCATGAAATCAAGGTGAAAGAATGTGACACATGGGGTGCAGGGGCCACCAAAACTACACACCAAATCTTGCCCAACAACTACAGAGTCGTGTAAGTCATGTTTTCATCCCCAGCTCCACAGTCGTCCCAGATCTTTCCCAAAAACTACACACTCGTCTAAGTCCCAGATCTTTCCCAAATACCACACACTCGTCTAAGTCCCAGATCTTTCCCAAATACTACACAGTCGTGTAAGTCGATTTGCACGCCCCCTCGAACGTTTCATTTGCACCCCCCCCCCCTCAAACTTTCGATTTGCACCCCCCTCGAACTTTTCATTTGCACCCCCCCCCCCTCAAACACTTTCGATTTGCACCCCCCTTCGAACTTTTCATTTGCAACCCCCCCCCCTCTAACTTTCAATTTGGCGCCCGGGGACATATGTCCCCCCGCCCCCGCCTTCTCCCCCCTCGCTACGCCTCTGCTTATTTGATACACTCAAATACAAACCACTTTGTATCATTTAGAAAACCTTAGCCCTGTATCTGGCTTAACCAGTACATTGAGTCTACTGCATGTCTAATGGCACATCTAGGATAATACATCCAGTCTACTGCATGTCTATTGGCACACCTAGGATAGTACATCTAGTCTACTGCATGTCTATTGGCACACCTAGGATAGTACATCTAGTCTACTGCATGTCTATTGGCACACCTAGGATAGTACATCTAGTCTACTGCATGTCTATTGGCACATCTAGTCTATTGTGTCTAGAATATGACGATGTGTTCTATAGAGTTGATTTCTTTTCCAAACTGATCGTTGTGAATATAATACAATATACAAGGCCACTACAGAGTGATGTGTACCCCCCCCCCCCAGACGTAAGTTGACACATGTTCAAGTTTACAGCACACGTACTGCTCTAGATTCAGTCAGACATTTAGAGCAGGGGTTCCCAACCTCGTGCCCGCGGGCCCCATGGCGCCCGCCGAAAGATTCGTATGTGCCCACCTCTCACTATTTGACAGAGACAGAATTTTTTTCATAAACATTATTGAAAGGTTGAAGGGGATGGAAATCAAAAGTTTGAGGAGGGGGGTGCAAATAGAAAATTTGAGGGGTGGGGTGCAAATCGAAAATTTGAGGGGGGGGGGGGGGAGGGGGTGCAAATAAAAAATTTGAGGGGGGGGGGGGTGCAAATCCCCGGGTGACGGGAAGGGTTGCTACACCTCTGGAAGGAGTTTGTCGATTTAAAATAGGTGATGCCCGCCACCCTACCGATATTTTAGAATGTGCTCTAGAGTAAAAAAAGGTTGGGAACCCCTGATTTAGAAAAAGAGCTGTGTGAGCTAGCAAGGTGTGTATGTTGTAGTATTTGTTGAGATGTTTTTCTTGTGATAACAAGTTGTATTGGGCCATCTCTATAGCCCAATGGATTGAGTCCCCTCTACAATTGTATGTATTGAGTCCCCTCTACACTTGTATGTATTGAGTCCCCTCTACACTTGTATGTATTGAGTCCCCTCTACACTTGTATGTATTGAGTCCCCTCTACACTTGTATGTATTGAGTCCCCTCTACACTTGTATGTATTGAGTCCCCTCTACACTTGTATGTATTGAGTCCCCTCTACACTTGTATGTACTGAGTCCCCTCTACACTTGTATGTACTGAGTCCCCTCTACACTTGTATGTATTGAGTCCCCTCTACACTTGTATGTATTGAGTCCCCTCTACACTTGTATGTATTGAGTCCCCTCTACACTTGTATGTATTGAGTCCCCTCTACACTTGTATGTACTGAGTCCCCTCTACACTTGTATGTACTGAGTCCCCTCTACACTTGTATGTATTGAGTCCCCTCTACACTTGTATGTATTGAGTCCCCTCTACACTTGTATGTATTGAGTCCCCTCTACACTTGTATGTATTGAGTCCCCTCTACACTTGTATGTATTGAGTCCCCTCTACACTTGTATGTATTGAGTCCCCTCTACACTTGTATGTATTGAGTCCCCTCTACACTTGTATGTATTGAGTCCCCTCTACACTTGTATGTATTGAGTCCCCTCTACACTTGTATGTATTGAGTCCCCTCTACACTTGTATGTATTGAGTCCCCTCTACACTTGTATGTATTGAGTCCCCTCTACACTTGTATGTATTGAGTCCCCTCTACACTTGTATGTATTGAGTCCCAAACAATTGTATGTGTAACTCAGTGTATTACCAGACACTATTACAGTCTGATGGCCAATGTTCAATCTTTCCAGTTGTGCTGATGGATTCATGGACTCACACGAATCAGAACTCTCTCCACTAGAGGCTCACTGCAGGTCATTGCTAAAAAACAAGGTAGGTCATCACGTGACTGACTAAAACACAAAGTAGGTTATCACGTGACTGACTAAACATAAAGTAGGACATCACGTGACTGACCAAAACACAAGGTAGGTCATCACGTGACTGACTAAAACACAAAGTAGGTCATCACGTGACTGACTAAAACACAAAGTAGGTCATCACGTGACTGACTAAACACAAGGTAGGTCATCACGTGACTGACTAAAAAACCAGGATAAGAAAAGTTCACCTGTGTCTGTTATCTCAGCATGTGAAGAGATAGTGTGATTAGCACAATGCCTGAGTTAGGTACCCATCAGAGCTGGGTGGACTCAGGGACATTCTACTGGCTTGAACCTTTTAGGTCAGCATGTCACTTTTCCATGTTTGTTTCTTTGCTTTTAGCCCGAAGTAACAACAGAATATCTTTCTCCACAGATGTTGGTTCAACTGTTGTAAGAATGACTCCCCACATCTTTACATCAACTTATAAGCATGACCCCCCCTACATCCACTGCTGTTAGCATGAACCCCCCCCCCCCCTATTGTAAGAATGAGCACCAACCCTTCTAGTGTTTGATATCTTCACTGCCAGTGGATGAGAGAAACAGGCCACCAACTTGCATTCAATTCTTGCCAGATAGTTTCATTAAAAAACAGGCCAAAAGAATTTTTTTGCTTGCTTTATTTAAATTATTTAAATATTTACAAAAGTGCTGAAAACTATTTTAAAAATTGAAAATGTTTTTAAAATGAACAATCACACATGGGTATGTGATAGGCTTGACACTCAGGATCCACAGACGTGACAAAGAAGCATTTAATTTGATAAGCCATAATCATGGTCTTTGTAAACTTTCCCCATGAGAAACCAGTCCCTCATCAGCTTAAAGAGCGTGTAGAAGTTACAGAACATGAGCAGCGCCAGGGAGACAACATGGCTCCACTCAGAGCTCTGGACCAGGCAGAAAAACTGGTAGCCCACCACAAGGCAGGTCAGGAACACCAGCCAGTTCATGACCCGCAGCGGCTGGTGGAACAGTAGCTGGGGAGAGAGAGGAGGGGGAGGTTAGGTCATACATGTGGGAAGGGGGGGGGGACAGAAAAACTGGTAGCCCACCACAAGGCAGGTCAGGAACACCAGCCAGTTCATGACCCGCAGCGGCTGGTGGAACAGTAGCTGGGGAGAGAGAGGAGGGGGAGGTTAGGTCACACATGTGGGGGGGACGGGGGGGGGGGACAGAAAAACCGGTAGCCCACCACAAGGCAGGTCAGGAACACCAGCCAGTTCATGACCCGCAGCGGCTGGTAGAACAGTAGCTGGGGAGAGAGAGGAGGGGGAGGTTAGGTCACACAAAATGTGGGGGGGGGGGGGGGGGACGGACAGAAAAACTGGTAGCCCACCACAAGGCAGGTCAGGAACACCAGCCAGTTCATGACCCGCAGCGGCTGGTGGAACAACAGCTGGGGAGAGAGTGGAGGGGGAGGTTAGGTCACACATATCATGGGGGGGGGGGGGGGACAGAAAAACTGGTAGCCCACCACAAGGCAGGTCAGGAACACCAGCCAGTTCATGACCCGCAGCGGCTGGTGGAACAGTAGCTGGGGAGAGAGAGGAGGGGGAGGTTAGGTCATACATGTGGGGGGGGGGAACGACAGAAAAACTGGTAGCCCACCACAAGGCAGGTCAGGAACACCAGCCAGTTCATGACCCGCAGCGGCTGGTGGAACAGTAGCTGGGGAGAGAGAGGAGGGGGAGGTTAGGTCATACATGTGGGGGGGGGGGGGGGGGGGGGGAACGACAGAAAAACTGGTAGCCCACCACAAGGCAGGTCAGGAACACCAGCCAGTTCATGACCCGCAGCGGCTGGTGGAACAGTAGCTGGGGAGAGAGAGGAGGGGGAGGTTAGGTCACACATATCATGTGGGGGGGGAGGTTAGGTCACACAACATGGGGGGAGGTTAGGTCACACATATCATGTGGGGGGGTTAGGTCACACATGTGGGGGGGGGGGGGAGGTTAGGTCACACATGTGGGTGGGGGGAGGGAGGTTAGGTCACACACAAAATATGGGGGAGGTTAGGTCACACAATGTGGGGGGGGGGAGGTTAGGTCATACACACCATGTGGGGGGGGGGGGGGAGGTTAGGTCACACAACATGTGGGGGAGGTTAGGTCACACAACGTGTGGGGGTAGAGAATAAGAGAAGGTTGAACACAACTAGTGTTAGCTATCCTTTGACTGAAAGAACTCACATAGAATCTGCTGTGTAAGCTGTTTCCTGGTTCAGCTGTTACATTGATGCCTTCAGCTTTAAACAGCCCTTTCACATGCTTGACCAGAGCTCCTTGTGGCCAGACTTGGAGTTCAGACCATCTAGACAATGTTAATTAATTAGCTTCAGACCATCTAGACAATTTGAATTAATTAGCTTCAGACCATCTAGACAATTTGAATTAATTAGCTTCAGACCATCTAGACAATGTTAATTAATTAGCTTCAGACCATCTAGACAATGTTAATTAATTAGCTTCAGACCATCTAGACAATGTTAATTAATTAGCTTCAGACCATCTAGACAATTTGAATTAATTAGCTTCAGACCATCTAGACAATGTTAATTAATTAGCTTCACACCATCTAGACAATTTGAATTAATTAGCTTCAGACCATCTAGACAATGTTAATTAATTAGCTTCAGACCATCTAGACAATTTGAATTAATTAGCTTCAGACCATCTAAACAATTTGAATTAATTAGCTTCAGACCATCTAAACAATTTGAATTAATTAGCTTCACACCATCTAGACAATTTGAATTAATTAGCTTCAGACCATCTAGACAATGTTAATTAATTAGCTTCAGACCATCTAGACAATTTGAATTAATTAGTTTCAGACCATCTAGACAATTAGAATTAATTAGCTTCAGACCATCTAGACAATGTTAATTAATTAGCTTCAGACCATCTAGACAATTTGAATTAATTAGCTTCAGACCATCTAGACAATTTGAATTAATTAGCTTCACACCATCTAGACAATTTGAATTAATTAGCTTCAGACCATCTAGACAATGTTAATTAATTAGCTTCAGACCATCTAGAGAATTTATGGAGAGAGATAAATTATTTAACATCAAGTGAAATGAACGAAGCAAAAGTTCAAATAATGACTGTAGCTTCATAAAGATTTGAGGCAAATCTTAGGTATAACAAGGGAACATGCAGGTGTGTATATCTTACGCATTATAAGGAACGTGAGCATGTCTGGCTTCCATTCTCTGCCATCTGCCCAGATGCCGGGCACTCTTATGTAGGAGGTGCAGGTAGTGAGGGGGCAGGAAGTGGCAGGTCAACATCAGCACCGCACTCAGCCACGTCAAGCACACGTGCTGCCACATCCACCATGAGTCATAGTACAGTGTGTTCTGGGGACAAAGGCAGACAACTTGAGTTGTGTTCTGGGGACAAAGGCAGACAACTTGAGTTGTGTTCTAGGGATAAGGGAGGACAACTTGAGTTGTGTTCTGGGGACAAGGGAGGACAACTTGAGTTGTGTTCTGGGGCAGACAACTTGAGTTGTGTTCTGGGGCAGACAACTTGAGTTGTGTTCTGGGGACAAGGGCAGACAACTTGAGTTGTGTTCTGGGGACAAGGGCAGACAACTTGAGTTGTGTTCTGGGGACAAGGGCAGACAACTTGAGTTGTGTTCTGTGGACAAGGGCAGACAACTTGAGTTGTGTTCTGGGGACAAGGGCAGACAACTTGAGTTGTGTTCTGGGGACAAGGGTAGACAACTTGAGTTGTGTTCTGGGGCAGACAACTTGAGTTGTGTTCTGGGGACAAGGGCAGACAACTTGAGTTGTGTTCTGGGGACAAGGGCAGACAACTTGAGTTGTGTTCTAGGGATAAGGGAGTACAACTTGAGTTGTGTTCTAGGGATAAGGGCAGACAACTTGAGTTGTGTTCTGGGGACAAGGGCAGACAACTTGAGTTGTGTTCTAGGGATAAGTGCAGACAACTTGAGTTGTGTTCTGGGGACAAGGGCAGACAACTTGAGTTGTGTTCTGGGGCAGACAACTTGAGTTGTGTTCTGGGGACAAGGGCAGACAACTTGAGTTGTGTTCTGGGGACAAGGGCAGACAACTTGAGTTGTGTTCTGGGGACAAGGGCAGACAACTTGAGTTGTGTTCTGTGGACAAGGGCAGACAACTTGAGTTGTGTTCTGGGGACAAGGGCAGACAACTTGAGTTGTGTTCTGGGGACAAGGGTAGACAACTTGAGTTGTGTTCTGGGGCAGACAACTTGAGTTGTGTTCTGGGGACAAGGGCAGACAACTTGAGTTGTGTTCTGGGGACAAGGGCAGACAACTTGAGTTGTGTTCTAGGGATAAGGGAGTACAACTTGAGTTGTGTTCTAGGGATAAGGGCAGACAACTTGAGTTGTGTTCTGGGGACAAGGGCAGACAACTTGAGTTGTGTTCTAGGGATAAGTGCAGACAACTTGAGTTGTGTTCTGGGGACAAGGGCAGACAACTTGAGTTGTGTTCTGGGAACAGGGGCAGACAACTTGAGTTGACAACTTCATAATTTATGCCTTTAATGTTTCAGTAATATAATAATTTATATCTTTAAAGTTTCAGTAACTTCATAATATTTCTACGTTTAAAGTTTCAGAAAAATCATTTTCTCTTCTTATTAAAGTTTCATTTATTTCTTTGACGTTAAAGTTAAAAAAATGTCCACCCTTTAAAAATTCATTTAAATTTTAAAAAACCATCATGTGTTTACATATAACAACAAAGTGCCATATCAAAATGTATATGTGCAAAGTGTTACTAAGTACAAGAAAAGCAAACGCCTGCAAAATGATACCAGTCTCATGTTCACAGATTCTTCTGTTAATAACACTAGTACCTCTGCATTTAAAACAGCAAAGGAATGCACATTTAAATGAAGTGCAGGTTATATCTCACAAGCTAAACCAACTCTGGGAGTTTTTAGCTCACAAGCTAAACCAACTCTGGGAGTTTTTAGCTCCCTCCATATAGGATCATGCACACAATGTTCACACAGTAGTAGGCCTTATCATTGTTGTATCTTGTGGGGCTAAGGGTGGTATGTATAGTTATTTTTGTTACATTAATTTTGTCTCTAAACTCAGTTGAAGGCTTAACAATTGTTTCGAATGGATATTTTCTTACAGCATTTCTATATGGTTCTATGGTGTGGGCAGGGAAGCTGCTTCTTAAAAAGATCTATGTGTGCTCTCTGGTTGGGTCATGTTTGTTATTTAATATGTGCATGATCCTTATGGAAGAAATTTGTTACAAGCTGACATTGCCAGACAATAGCATACACTCCAGCACAAGTAACAATCTCCTACAAGCAGGCATTGATTTACAATACAAAACATCAACACTGGATACAAATACAATAAAAAGTTTAAAATTATGTAAGTCTGGTGATCAGCTTAAGAGTCCCCCTCCACCCCAAAATTATTTTTAATACAAAACAACTCTTATCTTGTTCATCTGTCTTAAAACCCACACATTAATAGTATACATTAATTGTAATTAAATGCCCTGCACATTACTAGTAGAAATTAATTGTAATTAAATGCCCTGCACATTACTAGTATAAATTAATTGTAATTAAATGCCCTACACATTACTAGTAGAAATTAATTGTAATTTAATGCCCTACACATTAATATTATGAAATTATTTTATTTATTGAATTTTGCGAGGGAAAAAATAGGCTTCTGTCAGGAAATTTAAGCATGTGATGACACAGTTATGCAAGATTCAAGGAAGAATGTTAGAAAGCAGTTGGAGATAGATCTTGTTAAGACTAGGAGATAGTTGGATTTGGATTTTAGTTAGGGTATAGTTGAGATAGTACAAGTCTAGTGTGGGACAGTGGAGTTAGGCAGTTAGGATTAGAAATAGATTGATTGAAATGTGAGGTGTGTCATTCGTGTGCATATATATATATATATATATATATATATATATATATATATATATATATATATATATATATATATATATATATATATATATATATATATATATATATATATATATATATATATATATATATATATATATATTTCACACTGGAGAATTTTGTACAGGATTCACATTAGAAGGGTGGATCACCCACCCATATACACATTACAGTGTTGATATTTGATATAGATAAATTATTTTTCCTGAGTTCTTTTTCATAGAGAATGAAAGTATGTCCATTTTTGTGCAAAAGTCATGAATTGAATTAGCATTTGAATAAATACTTTAAATTGGATTAATTTCATAACGCAGCAATGAAAATGCTAAGATTTGTCAGCTAAATGGCATTTTGTGAGTGGTTTTACAAAACAAATTCTATAAAATCCAAAAATCCAATGGGAATACTGCAAGAAGCTTATACACACAAAAAATGGCTGTTCTAGCAATATCATGACCTAGATTTACAATTAAAAACTTCAATAAGAAAAAAGAATAAAATGAATAGAGAAAATATGATCAGACACTGGGAACATGGCTAGGGTCTGGCAGGATGGCCTGTCAACTGCTGCCTAAAAGAGTTCAAATGGATTGGTTGGATGGCAAACTGATAGTTACCCATCATTTGATCTGGTCAGGTTTTAGTTGAAACAAAAACATTTTTATAAAACCAGTCAAACTTTTAAAAAGAATCTTTAGTAGAATCAAATATGTCACACAAAACAGAATATATAAATAACTTCAAAAATACACACAAAATGAATAAAAACTCCACATATATTAAATAAAGACTCTTCTATCAAATTTAGAGAATAATTTAGTTCTATGAATATGACTTTAACAAATCATAGTTTGCTAGCAAAGTTAATGTCCAAGAAGAAAAAAAACAATAAATATTAGAAAAAAATCTTGCATGTGTAAATGAGAAGAGTCAAATTTAAAATATGAGTTGATAGTCCAGACTTACCCAACATGCATCACAATTACTGTGTGCGTTCTAGCCATGCATTGTGTGAATCAATGGTAAAATGTGAGTCAATTCATTCAATAGAAAAGTTTGCACTACACACATTCATAATGGGAATCAATGGTAAAATGTGAGTCAATTCATTCAATAGTTTGCTCTACACACATTCATAATGGGAATCAATGGTAAAATGTGAGTCAATTCATTCAATAGAAAAGTTTGCACTACACACATTCATAATGTAGGGAGGGAGCTCATTAGGTTACATAACATTCAAGTTTATACAACTCAATCCCTTCCATTTACACAACATGGAAGTATATTTTAATCAATCCCATCCATTTACACAACATTAGTCTATTTTAATCAATCCCATCCATTTACACAACATTAGTCTATTTTAGTCAATCCCTTCCATTTACACAACATTAGTCTATTTTAGTCGATCCCTTCCATTTACACAACATTAGTCTATTTTAGTCAATCCTTTCCATTTACACAACTTTAGAGTCTATTTTAGTCAATCCATTCCATTTACACAACATTAGTCTATTTTAGTCAATCCCTTCCATTTACACAACATTAGTCTATTTTAGTCAATCCCTTCCATTTACACAACATTAGTCTATTTTAGTCAATCTATTCCATTTACACAACATTAGTGTATTTTAGTCAATCCCTTCCATTTACACAACTTTAGAGTCTATTTTAGTCAATCCCTTCCATTTACACAACATTAGTCTATTTTAGTCAATCCCTTCCATTTACACAACATTAGTCTATTTTAGTCAATCCCTTCCATTTACACAACATTAGAGTCTATTTTAGTCAATCCATTCCATTTACACAACATTAGAGTCTATTTTAGTCAATCTATTCCATTTACACAACATTAGTCTATTTTAGTCAATCCCTTCCATTTACACAACATTAGAGTCTATTTTAGTCAATCCCTTCCATTTACACAACATTAGTCTATTTTAGTCAATCCCTTCCATTTACACAACATTAGTCTATTTTAGTCAATCCCTTCCATTTACACAACATTAGAGTCTATTTTCCCACGTTTTCTTTAACTTGCTTTCGTCTCTGTTTTTCCGATCAAATCTTGCGATCGAAATTTCTGGCACTTCCCAGTTAGCTAGCGCGCTGAAATTTTCAGGGAAGCTTTGATTTGGATGACAATAGAATATTCAATTGTTATTATTACTAAATTGATCCATGGAAACATTTTATTGAGCATTTTAGACCGCTATATAATTGTAGTAAAAACGTGGGGAAAAAGGGACATCACCCAGTAACTGTAATTTGATGAAAACAAGGTTCGGTACTCTCCCTCTTTGCTTACTGAGTAGTGTTCACGCGGTGTATGTGTACAAACAACCGTAACAACTGGTGGCCAGTATGGGGGAGACGATATGGTCGAGTGGTTGGGCACACGATTGCTATCCCACTCGACACGGGTTCAAATCTATGTGTTCTAGTCAGTAACGTATTCACACAACGTGTTTTTTACCAGTTGTCTTTTTACGAGTTGTCTTCGTTTACCCCAAAAAAAGTGAAAAGATAAAATCGATAGCAAGATTTTAATGCAAACAAACAGACAAAGACTAAAAAGTAGAAAATAATAATCATTAAAAAAGTTTTAAAAAACCCACGTTTTCTGATTGAACTAAAAAGTAGAAAATAAATGCTATACATCACAATAATGCAAGCGATCACTCTACTATAAGCGATCAAAAACGTGGGGCGCCGTGATTTGCTTACAGTTTCTAATACTGTTGACTCTCTACAAGCTCCCTAATAAAAGTCAATAGTATTATCTAATCAATAGTAATATAACTTTTACTTCGGCGCCCCACGTTTTTCATCGCTTATAGTAGAGTGATCGCTTGCATTATTGTGATGTATAGCATTTATTTTCTACTTTTTAGTTCAAGTGATCGCTTGCATTATTGTGATGTATAGCATTTATTTTCTACTTTTTAGTTCAATCAGAAAACGTGGTTTTTTTTAAACTTTTTAATGATTATTATTAGTCAATCCATTCCATTTACACAACATTAGAGTCTATTTTAGTCAATCTATTCCATTTACACAACATTAGTCTATTTTAGTCAATCTATTCCATTTACACAACATTAGAGTCTATTTTAGTCAATCTATTCCATTTACACAACATTAGTCTATTTTAGTCAATCCATTCCATTTACACAACATTAGAGTCTATTTTAGTCAATCTATTCCATTTACACAACATTAGTCTATTTTAGTCAATACATTCCATTTACACAACATTAGAGTCTATTTTAGTCAATCCCTTCCATTTACACAACATTAGTCTATTTTAGTCAATCCCTTCCATTTACACAACATTAGAGTCTATTTTAGTCAATCCCTTCCATTTACACAACATTAGTCTATTCTAGTCAATCCTTTCCATTTACACAACATGAAAGTAATTTAAGCTGGGGTCAATCAGCCCAAGTTGTGCATCTCTAGAATACTTGCAGTACAGAGTCAGATAAATGCTTTCTGTATCTTCAAGGGAGGGAACTGGCCCCCAACAAAGACAGAATCACCTCATTTCATCACACTAAGAGCCTTTTGTGGTTACTTAGTTAAATAAATCTTCCATTGGATGGGGAGACTTAAACAACACATGTACACACCCCAGTCATCAAGACAACACACGTATACACCCCAGTCATCAAGACATCACACGTACACACCCCAGTCATCAAGACATCACACCCCAGTCATCAAGACAACACACCCCAGTCATCAAGACAACACACCCCAGTCATCAAGACAACACACCCCAGTCATCAAGACAACACACCCCAGTCATCAAGACAACACACCCCAGTCATCAAGACAACACACCCCAGTCATCAAGACAACACACCCCAGTCATCAAGACAACACACCCCAGTCATCAAGACAACACACCCCAGTCATCAAGACAACACACCCCAGTCATCAAGACAACACACCCCAGTCATCAAGACAACACACCCCAGTCATCAAGACAACACACCCCAGTCATCAAGACAACACACCCCAGTCATCAAGACAACACACCACAGTCATCAAGACAACACACCCCAGTCATCAAGACAACACACCCCAGTCATGAAGGAATGAAGCCCCAGCCCCAGCAAGTACCTGAGAGAACCAGACAGGGACTCCTGTGGCATAGAATGACGTGGTCAAGGAGTTAAAGAGGACCTGCTTTAACCTGCTGTTGAAGTCTTTCTTCAGGGTGTCCACCTCTTCCCTGACAACATCTGGTGTCAATGTGCAGGTGTGGCCTAAAGGTGCCTCGTCCTGCAAGATACAGTGGTATGACAGACTTTTGCTGCACAGACATCAAATCATGAGAAAGTTAACACTAGCTGGGGTGGAGAAAGTTAACATTAGTTGGGGTAGAGAAAGTTAACACTAGCTGGGGTGGAGAAAGTTAACATTAGTTGGGGTAGAGAAAGTTAACATTAGTTGGGGTAGAGAAAGTTAACACTAGCTGGGGTAGAGAAAGTTAACACTAGCTGGGGTGGAGAAAGTTAACACTAGCTGGGGTGGAGAAAGTTAACACTAGCTGGGGTGGAGAAAGTTAACACTAGCTGGGGTGGAGAAAGTTAACACTAGCTGGGGTGGAGAAAGTTAACACTAGCTGGGGTGGAGAAAGTTAACACTAGCTGGGGTGGAGAAAGTTAACACTAGCTGGGCCAGAGAAAGTTAATAAAGTGATCACCTTGGCCTTGTACCTCTGGGCCCTGTCGGCCTGTTTGTCAACTCCCAGTGCTGGCCTCGGCCAGGCTAAGTTGCGCTGGTAGAGTGGTTTAATGGCAAAGCCAAACAGTATCAGATAGATCACTGCACTGAAACATCAAGGTAGAGTGGTTTAATGGCAAAGCCAAACAGTATCAGATAGATCACTGCACTGAAACATCAAGGTAGAGTGGTTTAATGGCAAAGCCAAACAGTATCAGATAGATCACTGCACTGAAACATCAAGGTAGAGTGGTTTAATGGCAAAGCCAAACAGTATCAGATAGATCACTGCACTGAAACATCAAGGTAGAGTGGTTTAATGGCAAAGCCAAACAGTATCAGATAGATCACTGCACTGAAACATCAAGGTAGAGTGGTTTAATGGCAAAGCCAAACAGTATCAGATAGATCACTGCACTGAAACATCAAGGTAGAGTGGTTTAATGGCAAAGCCAAACAGTATCAGATAGATCACTGCACTGAAACATCAAAACCAAACAGAATCAGATAGATCACAGCACTGAAACATCAAAACCAAACAGAATCAGATAGATCACAGCACTGAAACATCAAAACCAAACAGAATCAGATAGATCACTGCACTGAAACATCAAAACCAAACAGAATCAGATAGATCACAGCACTGGAACATCAAAACCAAACAGAATCAGATAGATCACAGCACTGAAACATCAAAACCAAACAGTATCAGATAGATCACAGCACTGAAACATCAAAACCAAACAGAATCAGATAGATCACTGCACTGAAACATCAAAACCAAACAGAATCAAATAGACGAGCTGTTTTAGTGCTGGTGTCAATGATGGGGGTGTTTTAGTGATGGTGTCAATGATGGGGGTGTTTTAGTGATGGTGTCAATGATGGGGGTGTTTTAGTGCTGGTGTCAATGATGGGGGTGTTTTAGTGATGGTGTTTATTATCAGGATTTAGCAGATTGAAAGATAAGTAAAAAAAAACTGATATACTTACGGGTAGGCAAGAAACAGACATGTCTTAAAGCCGTATTCCAGAAGAATCTGATAACAGTTGAAGCTGACCCCATTGATGGCCAGAAAGACCAGGATAACCTTGACCCCATGAACAAACCAGTACAGTATTCTACTGCCATGTACCTGTTCAAGATAATCATGTGACAACATTAGATATTGTGACAACATTAGATATTGTGACAACATTAGATATTGTGACAACATTAGATATTGTGACATTAGATATTGTGACAACATTAGATATTGTGACAACATCAGATATTGTGACAACATCAGATATTGTGACAACATTAGATATTGTGACAACATCAGATATTGTGACAACATCAGATATTGTGACAACATTAGATATTGTGACAACATCAGATATTGTGACAACATTAGATATTGTGACAACATTACCCCCAGAACAAAGCTATCAGATATTGTGACAACATTGTGACAACATCAGATATTGAGACAACATCAGATATTGTGACATCAGATATTGTGACAACATTAGATATTGTGACAACATTAGATATTGTGAAAACATTAGATATTGTGACAACATTACCCCCAGAACAAAGCTATCAGATATTGTGACAACATTACCCCCAGATCAAAGCTATCAGATATTGTGACAACATTACCCCCAGAACAAAGCTATCAGATATTGTGACAACATTACCCCAGAACAAAGCTATCAGATATTGTGACAACATTACCCCCAGAACAAAGCTATTAGATATTGTGACAACATTACCCCCAGAACAAAGCTATCAGATATTGTGACAACATTACCCCCAGAACAAAGCTATCAGATATTGTGACAACATTACCCCCAGAACAAAGCTATCAGATATTGTGACAACATTACCCCCAGAACAAAGCTATCAGATATTGTGACAACATTACCCCCAGAACAAAGCTATCAGATATTGTGACAACATTACCCCCAGAACAAAGCTATTAGATATTGTGACAACATTACCCCCAGAACAAAGCTATCAGATATTGTGACAACATTACCCCAGAACAAAGCTATCAGATATTGTGACAACATTACCCCCAGAACAAAGCTATCAGATATTGTGACAACATTACCCCCAGAACAAAGCTATTAGATATTGTGACAACATTACCCCCAGAACAAAGCTATCAGATATTGTGACAACATTACCCCCAGAACAAAGCTATCAGATATTGTGACAACATTACCCCCAGAACAAAGCTATTAGATATTGTGACAACATTACCCCCAGAACAAAGCTATCAGATATTGTGACAACATTACCCCAGAACAAAGCTATCAGATATTGTGACAACATTACCCCCAGAACAAAGCTATCAGATATTGTGACAACATTACCCCCAGAACAAAGCTATTAGATATTGTGACAACATTACCCCCAGAACAAAGCTATCAGATATTGTGACAACATTACCCCCAGAACAAAGCTATCAGATATTGTGACAACATTACCCCCAGAACAAAGCTATCAGATATTGTGACAACATTACCCCCAGAACAAAGCTATCAGATATTGTGACAACATTACCCCCAGAACAAAGCTATCAGATATTGTGACAACATTACCCCCAGAACAAAGCTATCAGATATTGTGACAACATTACCCCCAGAACAAAGCTATCAGATATTGTGACAACATTACCCCCAGAACAAAGCTATCAGATATTGTGACAACATTACCCCAGAACAAAGCTATCAGATATTGTGACAACATTACCCCCAGAACAAAGCTATCAGATATTGTGACAACATTACCCCCAGAACAAAGCTATCTTGTGACAACATTACCCCCAGAACAAAGCTATCAGATATTGTGACAACATTACCCCAGAACAAAGCTATCAGATATTGTGACAACATTACCCCCAGAACAAAGCTATCAGATATTGTGACAACATTACCCCCAGAACAAAGCTATCAGATATTGTGACAACATTACCCCCAGAACAAAGCTATCAGATATTGTGACAACATTACCCCCAGAACAAAGCTATCAGATATTGTGACAACATTACCCCCAGAACAAAGCTATCAGATATTGTGACAACATTACCCCCAGAACAAAGCTATTAGATATTGTGACAACATTACCCCCAGAACAAAGCTATCAGATATTGTGACAACATTACCCCAGAACAAAGCTATCAGATATTGTGACAACATTACCCCCAGAACAAAGCTATCAGATATTGTGACAACATTACCCCCAGAACAAAGCTATTAGATATTGTGACAACATTACCCCCAGAACAAAGCTATCAGATATTGTGACAACATTACCCCCAGAACAAAGCTATCAGATATTGTGACAACATTACCCCCAGAACAAAGCTATCAGATATTGTGACAACATTACCCCAGAACAAAGCTATCAGATATTGTGACAACATTACCCCAGAACAAAGCTATCAGATATTGTGACAACATTACCCCCAGAACAAAGCTATCAGATATTGTGACAACATTACCCCCAGAACAAAGCTATCAGATATTGTGACAACATTACCCCAGAACAAAGCTATCAGATATTGTGACAACATTAGATATTGTGACAACATTAGATATTGTGACAACATTACCCCCAGAACAAAGCTATTAGATATTGTGACAACATTACCCCCAGAACAAAGCTATCAGATATTGTGACAACATTACCCCCAGAAAAAAGCTATCAGATATTGTGACAACATTACCCCAGAACAAAGCTATCAGATATTGTGACAACATTATCCCCAGAACAAAGCTATTAGATATTGTGACAACATTACCCCCAGAACAAAGCTATTAGATATTGTGACAACATTACCCCCAGAACAAAGCTATCTCGTGACAACATTACCCCCAGAACAAAGCTATCAGATATTGTGACAACATTACCCCAGAACAAAGCTATCAGATATTGTGACAACATTACCCCCAGAACAAAGCTATCAGATATTGTGACAACATTACCCCCAGAACAAAGCTATCAGATATTGTGACAACATTACCCCCAGAACAAAGCTATCAGATATTGTGACAACATTACCCCCAGAACAAAGCTATCAGATATTGTGACAACATTACCCCCAGAACAAAGCTATCAGATATTGTGACAACATTACCCCCAGAACAAAGCTATCAGATATTGTGACAACATTACCCCCAGAACAAAGCTATCAGATATTGTGACAACATTACCCCCAGAACAAAGCTATCAGATATTGTGACAACATTACCCCCAGAACAAAGCTATCAGATATTGTGACAACATTACCCCAGAACAAAGCTATCAGATATTGTGACAACATTACCCCAGAACAAAGCTATCAGATATTGTGACAACATTACCCCCAGAACAAAGCTATCAGATATTGTGACAACATTACCCCCAGAACAAAGCTATTAGATATTGTGACAACATTACCCCAGAACAAAGCTATCAGATATTGTGACAACATTACCCCCAGAACAAAGCTATTAGATATTGTGACAACATTACCCCAGAACAAAGCTATCAGATATTGTGACAACATTACCCCCAGAACAAAGCTATTAGATATTGTGACAACATTACCCCAAGAACAAAGCTATCATATATTGTGACAACATTACCCCCAGAACAAAGCTATCAGATATTGTGACAACATTACCCCAGAACAAAGCTATCAGATATTGTGACAACATTACCCCCAGAACAAAGCTATTAGATATTGTGACAACATTACCCCCAGAACAAAGCTATCAGATATTGTGACAACATTACCCCAGAACAAAGCTATCAGATATTGTGACAACATTAGATATTGTGACAACATTAGATATTGTGACAACATTACCCCCAGAACAAAGCTATTAGATATTGTGACAACATTACCCCCAGAACAAAGCTATCAGATATTGTGACAACATTACCCCCAGAACAAAGCTATCAGATATTGTGACAACATTACCCCAGAACAAAGCTATCAGATATTGTGACAACATTACCCCCAGAACAAAGCTATCAGATATTGTGACAACATTACCCCAGAACAAAGCTATCAGATATTGTGACAACATTACCCCCAGAACAAAGCTATCAGATATTGTGACAACATTACCCCCAGAACAAAGCTATCAGATATTGTAACAACATTGTGACAACATGCAATAACATAAGGTCTGTAAAATAGTACCTCTTATGTCTTCTTCTTCTTCTTCGTTCTTAATTATTAGTGTTGGAGGGGATCGAGATTTATCTGTCAGTGGGTTTGAACTCGAGACTTTGTTCGAATTTATCAACCATGAGCTTTTTGCCGACTCGACCACGCCTCCAACACAATTAAGCGTTACGTGTCAACTGGTTATGCGCCATTGAGGCCATTGACTCCCATTTCAGCCTGCTTTTCTTTTTGGATTTGCTTCCATAGCCTTTGTCCAACCAAGAACAAACTACAAGGCAGCAGTTGTTTAATTTTGGAGTTGTCTCTCCTAGAAGAGTGGCTGTCCCCAGCTAACGAGCCTCATCTGCCCGAGGGTTCGAACTAGAGACTTTTTGGTTTAGCAACCATGAGCTTTACCGACTCGACCACACCGACCCCACCTCTTGTGTGAAACAAATGATAAAACGGATGGAAAAAATAATGGATATAAACTAGTACCTCTTGTGTGAAACAAATGATAAAACGGATGGAAAGAATAATGGATATAAAACCAACAAGGTAGAAATCAATCAGGTAGAAGTTCTGAAAAAAAAAAGTTCACAAAGTTAAAAGATTTAATTTTTTTAAATATCAAATTTTTGTAAAAAAATAAATTAGTTTTATTAGTTATAATTTAGTTTTTACTTCAGTTTTACTTGAGTGTAGACATATATATATATATATATATATTTATAAATATATATATATATATATATATATATATATATATATATATATATATATATATATATATATATATATATATATATATAAGTGGCGTGCTGTCTGTGGACTAGAGTCTCATGTACTACAAAATATTAAATTTTGACAAACTTTAAAGTGACATCATGGCTGAGTGGGAAATTGGGAAATATAACATCTAACCTGACAGTGGGAAATATAACACCTACCCTGACAGTGGGAAATATAACATCTACCCTGATTGTCAAAATATAATCCCATGGCATGCCATTGCTGTATATTACTATAATCTCTCTATAAAAACAATGCTGTAAACTTGAAATGCCATTGCTGTATATTACTATAATCTCTCTATAAAAACAATGCTGTAAACTTGAGAATGTTTTACCAGAGCATACTGGGCGTGTGACTGGGGCAGCCACCAGACAGTTTTGTAGAGGTTGATATACTGGAGGCACATCATTATGATGCCAAAGACAAAAAGCATGCACTCAAAGTAGAGATTTCCATCTCCTGGAATATCTGGCAGGTGGCTGTGTTTGGGTAGGACAACCATGGAGGCTAGTGGCACGCCCTCATCTGGGCCATGGCTACACAATAGAAAACAGCTGGAGTGGACAACCATTTTACATCACACATCAGAGAATAAACAAGCTAACTCAACAAATTGAAGGTATGCATACATTAAAAACATGTTTCAGTTACAAGAATATTACTCTATTAGATGTTTTAGAAATAAAAAAATTAAAATGACAAACCCCAAAACATTTTTTTTAAATATGTCGTGCATGTGATTGCACGCAGCAATTTATGATTTTAGTAAAAAAAAATTTCCAATGGAAAAAACAGGTCTCCTTGAAAGTAAATGGAAGATATGTGTAGGGTATTCAAACTAATTTAAAAATGGAGTAAATGGTAACTCTCCAACAAGTTTGCACAGCTATTTACCTTCCAGATCCAGATCCTTTTCCAGATGAATAAGAGTTGCCTGCCTGTATTCGTGAAAATATCCTGCGACCTCCAGGCATTTTTTTAACAGTAGCCTAACATCTGGCATAAATATAAATATCAAGTATCGGGCCTACTGAAAAACTAAAATCATTGTATTTTGTACTTAATATCATTTGTGTTGACATAGATAAAAATGGTGTTTTTCTCTTCATAGCAGCTGTACAAAAATAATAATTAAAGAACTTAAACCTAAAACAATTTCAGAAACTTGGTATTTTAAGAATCTATGTTATTAAAGTTGCAAATCATTTAAAAGACAATATTTCATTTGCATTGCGGACACTCGTCTAGGCTAAATGTTGATGTGCCACCATTCTAAGTAGCTCTAGCAGACATACTGAAGGGGATATTTGAATTTGTTTTTAATTTAAAATACAGATCTAGTTAAAAATACTCAGAAATACATTTATCTCTAAGGATTATTTCTCATTAATGTTTACCGTTAGTCGGATGCACTCAATGTTTTGGCTGCTACGTATGATGATAGACCTAACAACTTATCCTCATTAAGTCTACATCACAAGACCTTAAATATCATTACTGCCTTGATCTTTCAAGGGAAAAAAGTATCCTCGCATGCCGCAGAGTCATTATTGGTCAATACCTTGGTGAATTTTTTTTCTCCTGGGTTCCATAGCCCTTCCCTGCCCCGCATTTGTTTAAAAAATGTACCAACGGGGATCAGGTGGTATTGAAACAATAAAACTGTTTCTTTAAAGTTAAAATAAATTATACAGGAAATTAGTAATCTTATTTCTAAATGAATTAGTTAGATAATTATAGCTAACGAGCTGACCAGCATCGTAGCATACGCCGCCATCTAGTTATTTTATTTTCTGCCGATCAGCAATTCATAATTTTTTAATTCAACATTTTAGTGTATTTTATTCCCCGCTTCACGTTCACCTACAGTTGAGCGTATTTTATTATAAACAAAACTGAAACACACAAAAATGTTAGGAAATCACTCTGCCTATTTCTTTATGAAATTTTAGGTTTAGTTTTTGAAATTAATTTTGTCAAAACTTGAGAAAAATCCAAAATTTGGAATATTGAATGTGTACTGTTTATTTAGATCTAGATTTAACTTTTTTTTTTCTTGAAAATGTGTTCGTGTCAATTAAGATTTTCATGGCAATGGGTAAAGTAGAAACGCATAATTGCAAGGCATGATACTATAATTTAACTTACATGAACTCACAATGACCCTTAGCTATGACGTATGCTGCTAATTTAAGTCATTGTGAACTCACGGTGAACCCTTGACCATGTAGGGATTTTTCTCCTGCCAACAATCACACGCTATGTAATTGGAATTGTAATGCTAATTAATAATATTTTTTACTTTTTCTATTCAAAACATATTCATAAAAAAATAAGTAGATCTATATAAATCAACTAATTATTCTAATCCTAGTGTTTTCCTAACATTTTTGTGTGTTTTGGTTATGTTTATAATAAAATACGCTCAACTGGAGGTGAACATATAGCGAATAAAATACGCTAAAATGGAGTTTTACACATGAATGAAACTTTGAAACATTTTTGTAACTTTCAAAACATAAATCTTCCCAAAAATGTAAAATAATTACTAACATTGGTAATCTATCGTTTTAGGAACGTAAAATTGGCAGAGGCTAGTTATGTGAAAAAAGGGTAACTCATCAAATTTTGTAAATATTTCACATTTTTAGAAAGATTTATGTTGTAAGTTACAGAAATGTTTCACCCTTCATTCATGTACCTGTTTTTAAACAATTGTATTAAAACTTTTCAGTGATAAATAAAAATCAGCGATGTTTTAATCAGATGCAGCCAAGCTCATTTACTTTAGATTACTTTAGAAGCCATCTTGTTTAAGTTTTTGGGTAACATTTTAGCTAGAGATTCAGGGGAAACCACTCTCATTTACAGAAGGCCGCTGTTTAGATAGCAAGTCTTGCTCGCAAACAAAGCTGTTTAAAGTCGATTTCTGGCCTTTATTGATATATTTAGAATTATTTAGACATTGCTTTTGGTTTATTATTCCATTATCTAGGCCTATTATATTTGACACAAAAATATAATAATATACTTGTATCGAAGTGTCTTTTCACAGTCGACTTTGAATAGCCATATTGGGGCTATTCACAGTCGTGACAGTTTAGGCTAGATTTAATGTTAAAAATACCCAACTTGGCATGAAGATGTGTGGTCTAGCTGACATGGGTAGTGACAGTTGAGCCATAAGGTGCGGGTTCAAACCCATCAGATCCCTTATTTCACAGTTACTTGAGTTACTCATGGAAATGGAACGTTTATTTTTGTTAATTTTTTTTCGTTTGTGACGTAATTGTTGGCATATAAGCAAAAAAAAAAGACCTGTCCCGTAGATTTTTGCTAAGAGAAAAAACAAAATTATGATGGAAACTGAATTATAGCGGATGAAAAAGAACATCCTATTTCACCTAATATTTATTCTATGTGAATCTTAATGGTAATTGATAGTTGAATAGCAATGTGAACAACCAACTAAACTGATGTTTAATTAGTGTTATTTATTTAAAAATTAATAGATCTATTAGTCTAGTATAGATTTAGAGAGTATAATTGATCATCTATGACCTACGTAGCCTGTAGCAGATATGTCTGATATGAGCCTAAAAGCTAAACTAAACTTTAACCCTAATAACTTTTTTATAGGCCTAAAAAAATAACAATAAAAAATTTCATAAAAACGTTTTAATAACAAGCTTTTATGTACTAACCCACTAAAAAGTAGAAAATAAATTATAGACTACTATTTAAATAACACTGGCCCCTACTCACCCCACTCAAGGAAAAATTATAAGGGGCACCTGCTGATCTGCCTGGAGACCACAGTTGGGCTTGTTGTCTAAATCCTCCACCATATTCTCAATTCAGAACAAAGAAGAAGAAAGAAGAAGAAATAACTATAAAGAAAAGCATGGTTCACTTTAGTATCTATTGGATACCTTTACTAATGTTTAGGAAGAGACCCACACTTTTCTATATAGTTATTTAAATAGTAGTGTATAATTTATTTTCTTCTTTTTAGTGCATTAGTACATAAAAGCTTGTTATTAAATCGTTTTTTATGAAAAAATATTTTAGTACTTTACACGTTTTTATTTACAATAGAGTTTCATGACAAAAACCAAAAACCATTGCGCGCCTATTAAAATGTGATGACGCGCTATTGAACGTGATGACGCGTGTGGTGTGGTTGGATAGAAATGCCTACTAATTTGGTCAAAATTTTAATTAATTCATAAAAAAGTAATTAGGCATCCAATTAAGTCAAATTTAATTTCAGATTGCATTGTCTTCATGTCTTGACCCATGTGCCAACTGTGAGCCGTATCTGTCAAGTAGAAGTGTCAGAATTGAGCGTTTCAATCTAGACTGACAACGAAGTGAGTTAAATAAAAGCTTGTAAAAATAGCACTGCTCTCTTAATCTATACCTCACTCCCCAGTCACAATAAATGCTTTTTATTATTATAAGATATTATTCAGTCGTATTTAGCATGAAATGGCAGCCAACTGTGAATAGCCGTATCGGGGCTATTAACAGTCGGCTGCCCAATATGGCTATTCACAAACGGCTGGGAATAGCCTTGGCCTACTCGTATTAAAGCCAAAGCTATATTATTAATGAGCCTCCTTTCTTGCACATTATTTATAGAAGATAGCCTCGGCCGATTTTACTTACCTAAAACTTAAAACGATAGATTGCCCTAAAATTTAATGAGGCACCGTCTTTTCACATTACTAGATCTAGAACTAGACACTCTAGTATAACTTACTAGCCTGGGCCGAATTTACGTACCTAAAAAAAAGTCCTAAAGCGATGGACAGTCAGAGTCAAGAAGATCTGGCCTAGATCTAATCTAGATCGTAGATTAAAATTACACTCACTAGATTTAGGCCCTAGTTAGACTTTAGAGTTTAGAGTTAGAATTAAGATAGATCTATTGATAGAATCTAGATCTAGGTCTATCTAAAAAATCTAATCTAGATTTAGAGATCTAGTTAAAAACCTGTCGGTGAGTGTATCGATCAGTAGTCAGTGGAGGGACCCAGTGGAGTTTATTTTATTTTAGGCTAGGCCTATTATTTATTTAGGCCTATTAAATTTGGTTAATAATTATTACAGTAACGGTAACTCTGTTAAAAGGTGTAACTAAAAGACGAAACAAATTGTTACAAATGTCAGATATCGAAATACTATCGAAACCGAAATAAATTAAATGTAAAAAAATATATATATTGCAATATTGAGCTTATAATTTCATTTATTTTAAAGGCAAGAATTTTTTAAACCTTGCTTTCTGTAGTAAAATCATCGACAAACAGTTCGCGACCGTCACGCTGGGCGTCGAGCATTACTTCTGTTATTTCTCATTTTCTGATTTTTAAATTAAGTTTTAAAAAGACAAATATAGGCCTAATAAAAAAAATATAATTTATTGTGGTAAAATCACGATATAGCGTCGGAAATTATTGGGTAATGTTCGTTGAGTTTCGGTAACATTCGTTACTGTAAACCATCGTTTATTTGACCGCTGAAATAAAAATAGAGTCAGGTGCATTAAATTATTGTTTTAACGTAATTTAATGTTTAACTGACAAAAAAATAGCAATAATTAGTAAATCTAAATATTATTAATAAAGTCGAGTGTAGTAATTAATGGTTTTTTTTTAAGAAACAGAAAAAACCTGCAGAAGATTTGCGACAACCAGCTCTAGTTCTTTTAGTAAATAAGACGATTAGATTAACTAAAGTTAAAAGTAGTAAGAATATCTAGAATAATGTTTAGTAGCAGCAATAATTAGCACATACACTTAAAATAATTAGAAATACAAAATAATTAGCAAAACAGTATTTAAAATGCAACTAAAATCAATCCTTGCACATTTTTAAACATTAAGTATTAAAAATAATATGGCGGCAAATAAATTATGGTTTACAGTATTTCCGGTGGTTTCCGGAACGGCTCGACAGACTACGCCATAGTTTTACTGTTTTTTACTGCTGTACAGTTCCGGAATAATAACCGACGCTATATCGTGATTTTACCTTTATTGTCTCACAGAAATAGGCTCAAACTCATTTCTGGTCTGAAATAATCAAGTTTAAAAAACGTCTTTTCATTTATGCCCGCCGTAATTTGAGAAAAGTGTAACTTCAAATGTGGCAAGTCGGTCAAAGAATATGAAAAACGCCCTAAGCTTGATATAAAATAGATTATATCTATGTAATTGGTAATTGGTTTCCCTTGTTCGCTTTATCATTTTTTTTTTAAATTTTTTTTTATTTTTTTTGCATTTATATTATTAATTTTGAATCGATTCCTTTGTATAGCTAGGCCATTATTTAGTATGCAATTTTTAAAAAATAATAATAATTAAGAGAAGCAATTGCTTTTTAATTAGCTTAGTACATAATTATTTAAATGAGCTTACTTACGGGCACCCCTAATAGACTATTTAAAGAGGAGCAATAAGTAATGGAAGTGGTTTGAAGGGTTACCTATTTTTTCACGATGCACCGTCAAAACGGCAGGTGACAAAATGGACCCGTCAAAACGACCCCGACAAAACTACCCAGTCAAAACAGCCCGAGCATCGACATATTGGCTCCAAACAAATGGGTTCCCCCCATATATAGGCTCCAGACAAATGGGCTCCCGACTTATTGGCTCCCGAAAAATGATCTCACGACAAATGATGAATTGGCATAGACAAAACAATTTTGTCCAACCCTCCAACCACACGCGGTTCCTACCTCCACTACCATAAAACCTCTTTTAAATGTGTGAATGAAAAACTTTTTCATAAACAATATGCAATTCATAAACAAATCGAGCTGTGAACAACTAAATTACACACATTTTTTTAAAGTGTTAAGCTAATGTTTTATTCACAACCGGGAAGGTCTGTTGCCTAATGCGAGCACAGAAGTTTAAATGTGTGATCGTCAGGTATATATCTATTCTAGATCTAGATCTAGTAGCCGTGTTCCACTCCTGTTTCTATATATTGCATCTCTTCCCTTTTCCCTTTGTAAATGTTCCCACGCATCTGATTCTGAATGAAGCTTTAATTAAAATTTCTTTTTAGTAATAAAACATTATGTTATATAATGGAATAGTGATTGTGGTTAATTGTAATGATTTAATCTAGCCTGCTAGTGCTAACCCCCAGCGTGGGACACGCAGCACTGAGCCCTCCCTTACACACGGCTGCGCGCGTGCTTTAGCCAGCACTCACGTCTGCTGCTATTTTGTGGGCAAAGCCTAGCCTAGCCTAGTGTGTTTGGCATGACCAAAGCGAGGCCGCGAGTAAATCGATGCAATGTAATTTTATAGATAAACAATTTATTTTGAGTTCAATATGGCGTTTGTAAATTATTTACTAAAATGCAAGTGCAAATAGATATAGAGGTCTAGATTAGATCTACATGCACTATAAGTCATTAGACCCATTTAGATTCTGAATTTTGTCTGGCCAGACCTTTGCTAATCAAGAGTCTAGATATAGATCTAAGTAATTTTATCTTATCGTTTTGAAAGAAACTGAATGAAACAAAAACCAATACTCAAAAGCTAGTCTAGAGCAGACTTGAAGTGTCAAGTAAACGAGTGGACTAAGTAAGTTAGTAGTTAGATCTAGTAGGCCTACGCCTTCACCAAACGAACGCGAGCTAAACTTAATTTAGTTTTGACCAGATTTTTACTTGATTTGTTTATTAATTTATTTCTCCTCGGGATGGTGATTGATTAGTGACTGGATAAACATGTTTCTATATTCAGTATCAGTGATTGTTTGCATGCTTTTATTTCTAGATCTAGATCTAATTCATTTGAGATTTAGATACTGTTGTTATAATATATATTTATATATATTATATTATTATTATAATAATATTATAGACTAATTTATAGATCTAGATTCTAGGCCTAGATCAATATCACCTGACCACCACATCACCTGACCACCCTATCTCCTGATCACCACATCTCCTGACCACCAAATATGACCACCACATCATCTGACCACCACATCTTCTGACCACCACATCACCTGACCACCAAATATGACCACCACATCATCTGACCACCACATCTTCTGACCACCACATCAATTGACCACCACATCACCTGACCACCACATCACCTGACCACCACATCACCTGACCACCACATCTCCTGACCACCACATCACCTGACCACCACCACATCTGACCACCACATCACCTGACCACCACATCTCCTGACCACTACATCTTCGACCACAACATCTCCTAGAGACTAGCAAAAGGACTGAAAAGTGTTATAAAGCATTTTTGAGAGGTAATCAACTAGTGATGCTTTAGAGCAAAGTCTAAGTTTGAAGTAAAAACGTAATATAAAAATACCAAATAGATACATCTGTACCATAGGCTACCTCCAAAAGTGTTTTATAACAATTAAAATATGTATTAAACTGATTGTTTAGTTACTGCAGCCCTTTTTACTTTCTTGTATATACAAAGTATAGAGAAAGTCTTGTAATCGTGCAAAAAAAAAAAATTTGAGATTTTTACAAATCTCGACGTTTAACACCTCACTGATACGGAAAAACATAATTTTGTAATCTTGTCTGTGTGTCTGTCTGTGTGTGTGTGTGTGTGTGTAAACATGATAACTTGAGTACCGTTACAGCTAGATTGATGAAATTTCATATATAAGTATTTTATCAAAATCGTAGATCTGTATCAACTTTTGAGCGATTTCCGATAACCGGAAGTGGTACTTTTTTCACTTTGAATTTTTCAAAAGCCTATAACTTGAGTACTATTTCAGATAGATAAATGAAATTTCACACGTAAGTAAAAGATCTAATCCTCTACCTTCTATCAAATTTTGAGTAATTTCCGTTGACCGGAAGTAGTAATCGCTATTTCCGATTTCTCAAAAAACGCTTGTAAATTTATAAAGTACTAATAATATTCCACATTATTATGCACATTTTGTTTTGGCGTTCGCTTGGTGCGCAATTCTTTTTTCTATGAGATTCTATTCTATTTTAAAAAGTTTAAGTATTTAAAATGGATTAAAAATCATAACTATATCCCGAGTTCCCATCCCCTGTTGTTTTATATAAGGATATTGGAGAAAGTTTAGGGGAGATCACTCCCGGTTTATTTTCATAGTACCCTTTATTTTGAAGAAGATGATGAGAATTTATTTGACAGTGTGACAGAATGGCCTCACTGCCCAAGTATATTGTGCTGTGGCCAATCTTCTTGCTCAGCTGTCTTGTGATAACTGTCTACACTAGTGAGACCCAGGTAATATTTACTTACAAACATATATATATATATATATATATATATATATATATATTTTTTTTTTTATACATGTATTTGTATATACCATTATATAAAGAGATAGAGATAGATCTAGAGATATTGTTATAACTGTAAGCATATCAACAACATAAACACTTAATACATGTTCCTTCAAGAAATATTTAACTTACGTTTTGATCATAATGACACAAGATTATCTTTTTTTAGTATATTACTATTGGAGCATCCCTGAGCTCTGAAAGAATGGAGAATGAATTTCGCAGAGCTGTTGCAAATCTGAATCGTCATAGACATCTGCATTTTAATGCCACTACCATTCTAATGGATAGTAACCCAATCAGATCCGCATTGGACATCTGTGATAAATTGTTGGCTCAGCATGTCTTCACTGTGGTGGCATCTCACCCAAACTCAACTGACCACTCGCCCATCTCTGTCTCCTACACCTGTGGCTTCTACAACATCCCAGTGGTGGGCATCTCTGCTAGAGACTCAGCCTTCTCAGATATGGTAAGGCTGGTCACATTTTGTAAAGCTGGTTCTTGACATACAGCCTTCTCAGATATGGTAAGGCTGGTCACATGTTGTATAGCAGGCTAGAGACAGCCTTCTCAGATATGGTAAGGCTGGTCACATGTTGTATAGCAGGCTAGAGACTCAGCCTTCTCAGATATGGTAAGGCTGGTCACATGTTGTATAGCAGGCTAGAGACAGCCTTCTCAGATATGGTAAGGCTGGTCACATCTTGTATAGCAGGCTAGAGAATCAGCCTTCTCTGATATGGTAAGGCTGGTCACATGTTGTATAGCAGGCTAGAGACAGCCTTCTCAGATATGGTAAGGCTGGTCTCATGTTGTATAGCAGGCTAGAGACTCAGCCTTCTCAGATATGGTAAGGCTGGTCACATCTTGTATAGCAGGCTAGAGAATCAGCCTTCTCAGATATGGTAAGGCTGGTCACATGTTGTATAGCAGGCTAGAGAATCAGCCTTCTCTGATATGGTAAGGCTGGTCACATGTTGTATAGCAGGCTAGAGAATCAGCCTTCTCTGATATGGTAAGGCTGGTCACATGTTGTAAAGCAGGTTCTTGACATACAGTCTTAACAACTAGTTCTTGGAACAAGTCACTGAAAAAGATATTTAAACAAGTTTTTGGAATGTGTTACATCTAGTTGAAACATGTTGAAAATTGTTGTTGAAATAAGTTGTTGAAACAATAATCCAAACCTGTGAGGTGTAAAGTAGAAAGAAAATTCTTCTGTCTTTCTGATCAGGCCATTTTTTACTTTTGATTTTTAAAATCTGTTTGATTGAAGTAAATAATTTCTAGGTATCCCTGTTGATAAATGACTAAAGCCAGAAAATGTCTTGTTTCTAGAATGTGCACAAGATGTTTCTGCGTACTGTACCGCCATATTCCCACCAGGCAGATGTCTGGGTTGAGATTGTTAGCAACCTCACCTGGCACAAGGTCATCTTTCTCTACAGTGCTGATGAGGAGGGGAGGGCTATTTTAAGTCGATTTCAAACATTGGCAGAAAAAAAAAACATCAGAGTAAGTCAAAAATGTCTCTCACATAAACAAATGTGCAAGTAAGACATGCCTCTGACAGACAAATGTGCAGATGATGTAGAGTTAATCTCCGATGTATTGTGTGGCCAATACAATTCTGTTGTAGAATTTATAGCAGGAACATTAAATTTAGAAAATTTGCTGTTTGGATTTTGCTCATTTGTGATTTAAAAGTAAAGAAGTTTTGTCTAACCTTCTAGATCGAGCCATCTATAAAATATGCTCCTGGTGAAAGCTCCTATAGATCTGTCCTTGAACCAATCTTAAAGTGTACATCTAGAGTCATTCTGTTTTCTGCCTCGTGAGTACAGATTTTCTTCTATGCTAATCAGATGTGTGTGTCAGTGGTAAGCAGGAGTGCAGACAGGTTTTAAAAAATTGAGCATTTTAAAAGTTACTTCCTTTTGCCTGACAAAAACATTTCCTCTATCTATAGAAATCCATCAAAGATTAACACAATTCAACTTTGAAAATTTGTGTAGTAGCTGCACATGAGCGAAGTTAATTTTATTGCCACTTTTAATGTGTTTACAGTGCAGAAGACGCCTATGTTATATACCAAGATGCAGAAAGGCTTGGCATGACGGGGGAAGACTGGGCCTGGATAGTGTCAGAACAGGCTTTTGAAGTGGAAAAAATCCCTGTTGGTGTGTACAGCACTTCTGTATAATATTTTTAAGGCACAAACATGCATTTTTCAAAATGTTGACAGGAATTTTGTGTTCATCTAATAAATTGCTGCAAGTAGATTTTGGGTGTTCAACTTGTAAATTGTTTCAATGTTGACAGGGTTTTTGGGTGTTCATCTTGTGAATTGTTTCAATGTTGACAGGGTTTTTGGGTGTTCATCTTGTGAATTGTTTCAATGTTGACAGGGTTTTTGGGTGTTCATCTTGTGAATTGTTTCAATGTTGACAGGGTTTTTGGGTGTTCATCTTGTGAATTGTTTCAATGTTGACAGGGTTTTTGGGTGTTCATCTTGTGAATTGTTTCAATGTTGACAGGGTTTTTGGGTGTTCAACTTGTGAATTGTTTCAATGTTGACAGGATTTTTGGGTGTTCATCTTGTGAATTGTTTCAATGTTGACAGGGTTTTTGGGTGTTCATCTTGTGAATTGTTTCAATGTTGACAGGGTTTTTGGGTGTTCATCTTGTGAATTGTTTCAATGTTGACAGGGTTTTTGGGTGTTCATCTTGTGAATTGTTTCAATGTTGACAGGGTTTTTGGGTGTTCATCTTGTGAATTGTTTCAATGTTGACAGGGTTTTTGGGTGTTCATCTTGTGAATTGTTTCAATGTTGACAGGGTTTTTGGGTGTTCATCTTGTGAATTGTTTCAATGTTGACAGGGTTTTTGGGTGTTCATCTTGTGAATTGTTTCAATGTTGACAGGGTTTTTGGGTGTTCATCTTGTGAATTGTTTCAATGTTGACAGGGTTTTTGGGTGTTCATCTTGTGAATTGTTTCAATGTTGACAGGGTTTTTGGGTGTTCAACTTGTGAATTGTTTCAATGTTGACAGGATTTTTGGGTGTTCATCTTGTGAATTGTTTCAATGTTGACAGGGTTTTTGGGTGTTCATCTTGTGAATTGTTTCAATGTTGACAGGGTTTTTGGGTGTTCATCTTGTGAATTGTTTCAATGTTGACAGGGTTTTTGGGTGTTCATCTTGTGAATTGTTTCAATGTTGACAGGGTTTTTGGGTGTTCATCTTGTGAATTGTTTCAATGTTGACAGGGTTTTTGGGTGTTCATCTTGTGAATTGTTTCAATGTTGACAGGGTTTTTGGGTGTTCATCTTGTGAATTGTTTCAATGTTGACAGGATTTTTGGGTGTTCATCTTGTGAATTGTTTCAATGTTGACAGGGTTTTTGGGTGTTCATCTTGTGAATTGTTTCAATGTTGACAGGATTTTTGGGTGTTCATCTTGTGAATTGTTTCAATGTTGACAGGGTTTTTGGGTGTTCATCTTGTGAATTGTTTCAATGTTGACAGGGTTTTTGGGAGTTCATCTTGTGAATTGTTTCAATGTTGACAGGGTTTTTGGGTGTTCATCTTGTGAATTGTTTCAATGTTGACAGGATTTTTGGGTGTTCATCTTGTGAATTGTTTCAATGTTGACAGGGTTTTTGGGTGTTCATCTTGTCAATGGCACCAATGAGGTGAACCACATCAGAGATGCTGTGGAAGTGATTGGCCACGCCTTCCATCATCTGATGGCAGCAGAAAACATATCCAACCCACCCACTGGATGCAATGAGACAAACTCTTGGGAGAGTGGCAATAGGGTTTATGAGTAAGTTGTTTGGTTAGAGAAACTTATGAAAACTGTCATGTGGTATAAGTTTTGTTTGATTAGCTCAACTTAAGAAAACTCTCACATTGGGTTTTAAGTTTTGTTTGGTGAGAGAAACTTATGAAAACTGATGTGGTTTACGTGTTGTTTGGTTAGCTCAACTTATGAAGACTGTGATGTGGTTTGTTTGGTTAGAGAAACTCATGAAAACTGTGATGTGGTTTATGTGTTGTTTGGTTAAAGAAACTCATGAAAACAGTCATGTGGTATAAGTTTTATTTGGTTAGAGAAACTTATGAAAACTGTGATGTGGTTTGTTTGGTTAGAGAAACTCATGAAAACTGTGATGTGGTTTACGTGTTGTTTGGTTAGCTCAACTTATGAAAACTGTGATGTGGTTTATGTGTTTGATTGAGCAGTGCCTTGAAGAAAACGGCCATGCTGGGAGAGACGGGTCAAGTAAGCTTCAGTGAGGAGGGTGACCGGCTGAACCCCATGTATGAGATCCTGAATGTTAATGGCAATGGGATGAAGATGTCTGTAGGACTCTATGGCCACAAGACTGAGGTCAGTTTTTCTCTCACCACATCAGTGGGTACTTATTATGGTGTGCCACTTTGTTGTGCCACTATGTTGTGCCAATTTGTTGTGCCATGTGTCACTTTGTTGTGCCACTATGTTGTGCCACTATGTTGTGCCACTTTGTTGTGCCACTTTGTTGTGCCACTTTGTTGTGCCACTTTGTTGTGCCTATTTGTTGTGCTGCTTTGAATAACATTGAACCTTCCCTCCCAGCCATCTTGGGGCCTGAGGATGAAGCTGTATAACCTGACTTGGCCAGGGAACACACATGTCAAGCCAAAAGGTGAAAAGATATCAAGAAACCTGAGGGTATGACATTAACACCTTCAATTATGCACATCATATTGTGATTTGGTTAAATTTATTTTTAGGCATAGAGTAGGATGTTATCTACAGAAATTTTATGTTTAAAATTTTTTCTCTACTTATTCAAGATTGTGACTCTCAAAGAGAAACCATTTGTGGAAGTGCTTCCATTACCCAAAGATGGCCACTGTATTCCTGTCAAGCCAGCTAAACATGCCTTTCCTTGTAAAAATGGCACACAGGGTAACTTCATTCTAATCATTCAGAGTCCTGGCTAATGGGTGCACTAACAGGAACCATTTCCAACTTAATCAGTACAGCTAATAATTAAGCTAAAATCCTCAATCAAACGCAGTCACTTATAGGCCAAATGGAATATTTTTGGACCAATTATTTTTATTGGACTATTTTCATAGCAAAGTGAAATATCTTTTTCTATTTGGACCAAATTTTCTATTCAGTAAAGCCACTTACCAGATGAGTGTATCCTGTTGTGGTCCAGTGTAGTTCACTTTCAACTTTTTAACCCCCTTCCATTTGACTTAACTTGTAGGCAGAAATATAAACTGTTGATCACCTCCCAGTATAAGTCAAATGAGCCAATAGTTGATTACCTCCCCAATGAGAAAAAGAAATAAACTGTTGATTACCTCCCCAATAAGACAAATGACATGGACTCCCCAACAAGACAAATGACATGGACTCCCCAACAAGACAAATGACATCAATTGACTCCCCAATAAGACAAATGACATTGACTCCCCAATAAGACAAATGACATGGACTCCCCAATAAGACAAATGACATGGACTCCCCAATAAGACAAATGACATGGACTCCCCAATAAGACAAATGACATTGATTCCCCAATAAGACAAATGACATGGACTCCCCAATTAGACAAATGACATGGACTTCTCAACAAGACAAATGACATTGACTCCCCAACAAGACAAATGACATTGACTCCCCAATAAAACACATGACATTGACTCCCCAATAAGACAAATGACATGGACTCTCCAATTAGACAAATGACATGGACTTCTCAACAAGACAAATGACATTGACTCCCCAACAAGACAAATGACATTGACTCCCCAATAAAACACATGACATTGACTCCCCAACAAGACAAATGACATGGACTCCCCAACAAGACAAATGACATGGACTCCCCAACAAGACAAATGACATCAACTCCCCAACAAGACAAATGACATCAACTCCCCAACAAGACAAATGACATGGACTCCCCAACAAGACAAATGACATCAACTCCCCAACAAGACAAATGACATCAACTCCCCAACAAGACAAATGACATCAACTCCCCAACAAGACAAATGACATCAACTCCCCAACAAGACAAATGACATCAACTCCCCAACAAGACAAATGGACTCCCCAACAAGACAAATGACATTGACTCCCCAATAAAACACATGACATTGACTCCCCAACAAGACAAATGACATGGACTCCCCAACAAGACAAATGACATCAACTCCCCAACAAGACAAATGACATCAACTCCCCAACAAGACAAATGACATCAACTCCCCAACAAGACAAATGACATCAACTCCCCAACAAGACAAATGACATCAACTCCCCAACAAGACAAATGACATCAACTCCCCAACAAGACAAATGACTTCAACTCCCCAACAAGACAAATGACATCAACTCCCCAACAAGACAAATGACATCAACTCCCCAACAAGACAAATGACATCAACTCCCCAACAAGACAAATGACATCAACTCCCCAACAAGACAAATACCCTGCTGATTACTCCCCACAGACCACTGCTGTATGGGCTACTGTATGGATATGCTGGCAAAGATATCTGAAAAAGTTCACTTTAATTTCACCATTCATCTCAGCAAAGATGGCCTGTTTGGATCTTTTGAAAAGGTGAAAACAAAAGACAACATTTTTGTTTTTTGGACAGAGTTTCTGTGAATGGCCTTGGATGAGTGGATAGTGTGTATTTTACTTACAAATGTAAATAGGGTGCATCCCAGTGGCGCAGCCAGGATCGTCTCAAGGGGGGGGGGGGGTCCAATTTTTACCCGGGGACAAACTTTCGATTTGCACCCCCCCCCCCTCAAACTTTCGATTTGCACCCCCCCTCATACTTTTTTTATATGCCGATGGGTCTATGGGGGGGGTTATGACCCCCCCTAACCCCCCCCCCTGCCTACGCCACTGGTGCATCCCATAAAGTCAGCCCCTTAAAAATAATTATAAAAAGAACAACCCATGTTCTCTATTTACGCTATTGTTTTGATGTTGAAGCTATGTACTGAGTTCCTTCTTATATTTTAAACCTCCAGCATAATTCATCAGAGAAAAAGTACTGGAATGGCATGATGGGTGAATTGATGCGTCAAGAAGCAGATCTCATTGTGGCACCCCTGACCATTAACCCGGAGAGGGCCAATGATATTGACTTTACTAAACCTTTTAAATACCAGGGACTAAACATTCTAGTTAGAAAAGTTAGTTGGTTTTTTTATTTTTGAATGTTTTTTTTTTTCAATGCTAAATAAAAGTGAATGCCATAGAATCTTCCTTTCGAACAAGGCAGAATGAAATTTTTTAAAATTGTTTCTAAAAAAAAAATAGTTTGCGGATGTGAAAAACACATCCAGTCAATAAATATTTTTTGTGTTCAGACACAGAAAGATTCCAGCCTGGCATCATTCTTGCAACCATTTCAAGACACACTTTGGATCCTTGTTGGTCTCTCTGTGCATGTTGTGGCCCTGGTCCTCTATTTACTTGACCGCTTCTCTCCCTTTGGCCGGTTTAAGCTGGCCAAAAGTGATGACACAGAAGAGGATGCTCTAAACCTGTCCAGTGCCATGTGGTTCTCATGGGGCGTTCTCTTAAACAGTGGCATTGGTGAAGGTGAGAGATGTTGTGTGGTTCTCATGGGGCGTTCTCTTAAACAGTGGCATTGGGGAAGGTGAGAGATGTTGTGTGACATTGGTGAAGGTGAGAGATGTGTGGTTGTGTGGCTTTGGTGAAGGTGAAGGTGAGAGATGCTGTGTGGTTGTGTGGCTTTGGTGAAGGTGAGAGATGTTGTGTGGCATTGGTGAAGGTGAGAGATGTTGTGTGGTTGTGTGGCATTTAGTGTTACCTGCTTGATTTCCCACCCAATTCAAAACATGGCCATACCAATACGTTTATACTTGTGTTGATGTTTCCTTAAAGGTACACCTAGGAGTTTTAGTGCCCGTGTGTTGGGGATGGTTTGGGCAGGTTTTGCTATGATTATTGTGGCTTCCTATACTGCTAATCTGGCAGCTTTTTTGGTTTTGGATCGGCCTGAAGCCCTGATTTCTGGCATTGATGATCCTAGGGTAGGTACAAACTCTTAGATTAAAATTTACAATCTTGACATTAACCTACCTGTCAACATCTTGACATTAACCTACCTGTCAACATCTTCACATTAACTTACCTGCTACAAATATAATGTAAAGAAGAATGAATTTTGTGCCAAAAACGTTTAGATTGTAATTTATTGTTTTTCAGTTGCGTAATCTGTAATTTATTGTTTTCCAGTTGCGTAATCCTAATGAAAAGTTCAAGTATGCCACAGTTAAAGGTAGTGCTGTAGAGATGTATTTCAAAAGGCAGGTAGAGCTGTCAACAATGTATAGAAACATGGAAGGTCAAAAGAAATATTTAACTGCTGAAGCTGCCATTGAAGATATTCGTAAAGGGTATGTGCTGATGTTGTCATTAATTTAGAATAGATCTCTGGGTTACATCTCTGAGGCTGTTGCTGATGTTGTCATTAATTTAGAATAGATCTCTGGGTTACATCTCAGTTGTGAGGCTGTTGCTGATGTTGTCATTAATTTAGAATAAATCTCTGGGTTACATCTCTGAGGCTGTTGCTGATGTTGTCATTAATTTAGAATAGATCTCTGGGTTACATCTCAGTTGTGAGGCTGTTGCTGATGTTGTCATTAATTTAGAATAGATCTCTGGGTTACATCTCAGTTGTGAGGCTGTTGCTGATGTTGTCATTAATTTAGAATAGATCTTTGGGTTACATCTCTGTTGTGAGGCTGTTGCCGATGTTGTCATTAATTTAGAATAGATCTCTGGGTTACATCTCAGTTGTGAGGCTGTTGCTGATGTTGTCATTAATTTAGAATAGATCTCTGGGTTACATCTCTGAGGCTGTTGCTGATGTTGTCATTAATTTAGAATAGATCTCTGGGTTACATCTCTGAGGCTGTTGCTGATGTTGTCATTAATTTAGAATAGATCTCTGGGTTACATCTCTGAGGCTGTTGCTGATGTTGTCATTAATTTAGAATAGATATCTGGGTTACATCTCTGAGGCTGTTGCTGATGTTGTCATTAATTTAGAATAGATCTCTGGGTTACATCTCTGAGGCTGTTGCTGATGTTGTCATTAATTTAGAATAGATCTCTGGGTTACATCTCTGAGGCTGTTGCTGATGTTGTCATTAATTTAGAATAGATCTCTGGGTTACATCTCTGTTGTGAGGCTGTTGCTGATGTTGTCATTAATTTAGAATAGATCTCTGGGTTACATCTCTGTTGTGTGACTGTTGCTGATGTTGTCATTAATTTAGAATAGATCTCTGGGTTACATCTCTGAGGCTGTTGCTGATGTTGTCATTAATTTAGAATAGATCTCTGGGTTACATCTCAGTTGTGAGGCTGTTGCTGATGTTGTCATTAATTTAGAATAGATCTCTGGGTTACATCTCTGTTGTGAGGCTGTTGCTGATGTTGTCATTAATTTAGAATAGATCTCTGGGCTACATCTCTGAAGCTGTTGCTGATGTTGTCATTAATTTAGAATAGATCTCTGGGTTACATCTCTGAGGCTGTTGCTGATGTTGTCATTAATTTAGAATAGATCTCTGGGTTACATCTCTGAGACTGTTGCTGATGTTGTCATTAATTTAGAATAGATCTCTGGGTTACATCTCTGAGGCTGTTGCTGATGTTGTCATTAATTTAGAATAGATCTTTGGGTTACATCTCTGAGGCTGTTGCTGAAGTTGTCATTTATTTAGAATAGATCTCTGGGTTACATCTCTGAGACTGTTGCTGATGTTGTCATTAATTTAGAATAGATCTTTGGGTTACATCTCTGTTGTGAGGCTGTTGCCGATGTTGTCATTAATTTAGAATAGATCTCTGGGTTACATCTCAGTTGTGAGGCTGTTGCTGATGTTGTCATTAATTTAGAATAGATCTCTGGGTTACATCTCTGAGACTGTTGCTGATGTTGTCATTAATTTAGAATAGATCTTTGGGTTACATCTCTGTTGTGAGGCTGTTGCTGATGTTGTCATTAATTTAGAATAGATCTTTGGGTTACATCTCTGTTGTGAGGCTGTTGCTGATGTTGTCATTAATTTAGAATAGATCTCTGGGTTACATCTCTGAGGCTGTTGCTGATGTTGTCATTAATTTAGAATAGATCTCTGGGTTACATCTCTGAGGCTGTTGCTGATGTTGTCATTAATTTAGAATAGATCTCTGGGTTACATCTCTGAGACTGTTGCTGATGTTGTCATTAATTTAGAATAGATCTCTGGGTTACATCTCTGAGGCTGTTGCTGATGTTGTCATTAATTTAGAATAGATCTCTGGGTTACAACTCTGAGGCTGTTGCTGATGTTGTCATTAATTTAGAATAGATCTCTGGGTTACAACTCTGAGGCTGTTGCTGATGTTGTCATTAATTTAGAATAGATCTCTGGGTTACATCTCTGAGGCTGTTGCTGATGTTGTCATTAATTTAGAATAGATCTCTGGGTTACAACTCTGAGGCTGTCCCTTCCATTTTGTTTAAAGTGAGCTGCAAGCCTTCATCTGGGACTCCCCTCGCCTGGAGTATGAAGCTGCCAGCGACTGTGACCTGACCACAGCAGGGGATCTCTTTGGGAGGTCAGGTCTAGGGATTGGTCTGCCAAAGAACAGCCCCTGGACACACGAAGTATCAATGGCAGTTTTAGACATGCATGAAAGTAAGCTGAAGAGAGCGTCCTAGTTTATCTTTAATCTTTGCTTTACTTATTGCTAGTTTTAGTAGGTGTGTAGTAGTTCAATAAACAACTGTTGGTTTGAGATTTAATCTAGATTCATGTGATGGCATTAATTTTTACATCACAATTTTAAAAAAATTAGATTTTAAATCCACTTTAATTGATCAAACACATTTTTATTAATTATTGAGAGTTTTTTGAAAATGTGCTTGTAAAATCTTGTAACACCAGGTGGCTTTATGGAAGATTTAGACAACCGATGGATTCTAGTGGACAGCAAGTCCTCCTGTCCTGAGAGTAACTCTGCTCCAGCTACCCTAGGTTTAACCAACATGGCAGGTAGGTCTCTAGGTTTAACCAACATGGCAGAAAAGTCTCTAGGTTTAACCAACATGGCAGGTAGGTCTCTAGGTTTAACCAACATGGCAGGTAGGTCTCTAGGTTTAACCAACATGGCAGGTAGGTCTCTAGGTTTAACCAACATGGCAGGTAGGTCTCTAGGTTTAACCAACATGGCAGGTAGGTCTCTAGGTTTAACCAACATGGCAGGTAGGTCTCTAGGTTTAACCAACATGGCAGGTAGGTCTCTAGGTTTAACCAACATGGCAGGTAGGTCTCTAGGTTTAACCAACATGGCAGGTAGGTCTCTAGGTTTAACCAACATGGCAGGTAGGTCTCTAGGTTTAACCAACATGGCAGGTAGGTCTCTAGGTTTAACCAACATGGCAGGTAGGTCTCTAGGTTTAACTAACATGGCAGGTAGGTCTCTAGGTTTAACCAACATGGCAGGTAGGTCTCTAGGTTTAACCAACATGGCAGGTAGGTCTCTAGGTTTAACCAACATGGCAGGTAGGTCTCTAGGTTTAACCAACATGGCAGGTAGGTCTCTAAGTTTAACCAACATGGCAGGTAGGTCTCTAGGTTTAACCTACATGGCAGGTAGGTCTCTAGGTTTAACCAACATGGCAGGTAGGTCGCTAGGTTTAACCAACATGGCAGGTAGGTCTCTAGGTTTAACCAACATGGCAGGTAGGTCTCCAGGTTTAACCATAATGGCACTGACTGCTAAGTTGTTGGAGTGGTACTAATGTATGATTGATTTTCTGCATCTTCAATACAAGTAGAATTAAATTCATTCAGTTTTGTAAACAAATGGCATAGACCAATGACAAAATGGTTGAATGAAATTTTCCAGGAGTTTTTATGATGGTGGCTGGAGGCATTGTGGCTGGTGTCCTTCTCATATTTATAGAAATAGCCTACAAGAGACACAGAGGACTGAAAGAAAAAGAACTTGAACTGGCTCGAAATGCTGCAGACCGCTGGCGTGGAAACATTGAGGTAATGCATGGCTATATCATCATGGTAGTACAGCTGTTGTACACACCTATGTGTGACCTTTGTCTTCTTTGTCATTATATTCATCATGAAAGATGGGACTGAAAAATGATTACGTATCTCTTTTAAGGTAGTAGTTGTTTTAAGTAAAATAAATTAAAATACCAAACAGAAGGGAAAAAAAAGATCTTTATACTTGTATAAGTAAAAAAAATTTAGAAAAATAACATTAGAGAGTTAGACAAATCCATAGTAAATTTCAAAGTAAAACAGTTTTTCTGAATATACTGGATTTAGTACTAAAATTTCTCAACATTTTTTTAATGAATAAATAATGTCCTCACACATCTCTCATCATGGGCATCATACTTAATTTTTGTAAAGCCAATGTCGGCAGATGACATTTGATTAATGTAAAGCCAATGTCGGCAGATGACATTTAATTAATGTAAAGCCAATGTCGGCAGATGACATTTAATTAATGTAAAGCCAATGTCGGCAGATGACATTTGATTAATGTAAAGCCAATGTCGGCAGATGACATTTGATTAATGTAAAGCCAATGTCGGCAGATGACATTTAATTAATGTAAAGCGTGTGTTGTCAATCTCATGTTGTTTTGTTGCCATCATAAACAGAAAAGAAAGAAGCTGAGGCAGACTTGGCAGTATCTACATGCCCTGCGAGATTCTCAAGAGTTAGCATTCAAGTATGAAGAAAATATCTTGGTACTGCATCAGGAATTACTTACCCATTAACAAAGCACAAAGCTTGAATAGTTCGACACAAGCAGCAGTTTCAAACATTTCATTAGAGTAGCGCAGCTCAGCATTTCATTGCTTCAAAAATTAATCTGCTCTTTTTCTGGCATATTTTACTCACTGCATGAGCATTTATTAAATAAACTTCATGTTTTGAAATACAATTTCAAGAGAAAAAGATAAATAAATAAATATAAATACATATATATATATATATATATATATATATATATATATATATACATATACACCAAATTTATTTTGTTTTAATTTTTAAACTTTTTGTTACATTTGAATGTAAATTATTTTCAAAATAATTTACATAACAGATTAGTTCTGAAAAGATTTACACTAATTTTTTTACCTTTCCCAAAATAGAAGAGGTTCTGAATGCTTCCTGTCCTTTTCATTTTTACTTTCTTGTATACATACAGAGTATAGAGGAAGTAATGTAATCGTGCAAAAAAATCACATGAAATTTTGACATTTTGTTTGGCGTTCACTTGGTGCGCAATACTTTTTTCTATGAGATTCTATTCTATTTTTAAAAGTTTAAGTAATTAAAAATCATGTCTATATCCCGAGTTGCCATCCCTGTAGTGTTATATAAGAATATTTGAGAAAGTTAGGGGAGGTGGCTCCCGGTATATTTTTAAAAAGTATAATGTACTTATTTAGCAATTAAAAATAAATTAGGTAGATCAAAAAAAATGTATAATGCCAATAATAGCTCCTGAAAATTTGTAAAGAAAAATGTTAATGTTAAACTCAATTGTCCAATTGTACCATGTTTATTATATATATATATATATATATATATATATATATATATATATATATATATATATATATATATATATATATATATATATATATATATATATATATATATATGCTTTGTATGATAAGAGGGTAAAATATATCTGCATTGTAAGTTCCATTGCCATATCACAAGTACTAATCCAGTAACACTACTTACACTTATCATGAATTGAATTTAACCAACAAAATGGAATGAACTATTATTGCATGTTTTAGGTTCAAGCCATAACTAATTGCTTTTTAGCAATACAATATTTCTTAAAAGAATTCAGAAAATATAAACCAATCAAATAGATTTAATAAACCAGCTGTATGAGGTTGTCTTGTCACTAAGGTTGTCCCCCTTTTGTCTAAAGATTCCTACTCCAGAGATCTGACCAGAGCTTTCTTCTAATACCTTCTTTTTCTTATCTATACAAATATTCACCATGGGTTTGGTTTTTTAAAGTTATTTTTTGAAGAATTTGCTTTGGGTTAGTGGGTTACTTTTTTCATTTACTGCATGCTGAAAAATATTTTTAATACCATTTGTAATCTGTCTGACTATTATTGAAATTGATAATTTTTATCTTAGTGATAATGACCACAAGACAATATTGTTATTTAAGACAGCAGTTTCATTTATTTTCTGGCTAAAGTACATATATCCATGGGTTAAGAATTTAGAAACTTCAATAAATATTTTGTATAATTTTGAAAAGCTGAGGAAAATATGTTTTCACTATTAAATAATGCTTTCATTTCACAATTTCAGAAACGAAGAACTTTGAGGCAAACTTTGCAAAAACAAAAGGAAGAGCAGATGAGAGTGAATTCTGTCCATAAACAGCCCAGTGCCAAACAAAATCCTTCCCAGCCAGCCAATGCCACATCTGTTAAGCTGAACAGCAACAACACCAAACCATTAGTTCCTCCACCATACCGTAGACCCTCCCTGCTAGAGGCCACTAGAGAAAGTGACTGCCTCCCTCCCCCACTTCCCATGGACTATCGTACACCAGGTTATGTACCAGCACGCTCTGGACGCACTGTCACATGGCACAATCCCTCTCACAATCCTTCTCTAAGTCCAGATAACCTTGTTTAATTTCTTCTCCTTCTCTAAGTCCAGATAACCTTGTTTAATTTCTTCCAGGCTGACATTTGTAAATCATTGAACATTTACTAGTTAATCAACATTCTCCAAACTTTTTCTTATTCATTTCTTGTGATAAAAACCTGAATTTTTACAATCCCATATTTTTTTGTTTGTTGTAAACATTTGAATTTTTCAGCCCCATTGTGTGGTCTAACTTTATATTGTAGATAGTTTTTTAACAGTGCAATACACCTATTTATACTGTCTGCTTTATTTAAAAGATATTTATTTGTTCTAATTTAAACATGTATATGACTTTTGTCATGTTTCTAAAACATACCTATTTTATTTATTTTTTCTACCCCCTATACTCTTGCCCAATTTTTTGTTACCCATGGAATAACTGGCTTGGTTACATTTATCTCAAAACGGGGTCTGATATTTATACACAAAGAAGAAAAAAAACACAACTTTCAACAAATTGTAAATAGTGAGTTATGTTGCTCAATGCTTTAGTTGAAAACAACTCTTCCAAGTTTGGTGTTGTTTTGTTAAAAATTTAAAGTTTTTTGTTAACCATAATTTTATGGAATTTAGTCCCAATGTATTTTTGTTTTTGTACTTTCAAAAAGTTATACCTTTAGTCATTTTTATTTTCTCAATTCACTGTGTTGAAAGAACTATTTAGACACCTGTTTTCTACTAATGTAAAAACTAAATGATAAATTGAAGCATTTTATAGGGGATGGGTATGAAACTTTCGCATTATATTATAAACTATTTTACAAAATATGTGTTCAGTTTTTACTTAATACTCAGTATACATCGAGAATAAAAATAATTGTTAAGAACTAAATTGTTATTTTCATTTTTGGCAATTAATGTTCATGTTTTTAATCTTGGACTGAAGCACAACAAAAATTGTGATATTTTTCTCAGCATATTATTTGGAAGTCTAATCTGTATTCTCATTAAGACTTGAACTTACTGTTTTATTGACAAAGAAAAATATTTAAAAGATTTTTTTTTTCCAGTACCAAATTTTATTTCTAGATTAGAGAAATAATAAAAAATTATTGAAACAATGTTTCTTAACATGAACTTGAATATCTATATATATAGGTATAAATATATATTATGTCTCCTCAAGAAAATATTAACATCTGTTAGCAATCAAAAAGATATATAAAAATCTTCAACAATAAAGTTTATAAACAAAAGCTGTAAAGATCTTTTTTCCCATAAGATGTAGTTGCTGTATATCAAATTTATAAACAAACAGTGGCCAAAGGCATCAACACATGGAACAAGAGTTAAAACAATGTTGGGTACTATTATTTAGATTAATCAATGCACTTTAAGATTTCTAAAAAGGTAAATCTGTTGTAAGCAGATCTACAGACTAAAAGCTGCCAGACAGAAACAGTTCAACAATCAAGGGTAAGAGAGCGATGCTGCTTATGAACTCAACTTGAGATAAAAACAATCAAATCTCTTTAGTACAAAAAGCAGATGAAAAATAAATGCTCATTGTCTCATACATAAAAAAAATTCAGTAATAAATTTAAATGCCATCTTAAAGCACTAAAACTGTTGTGGCTTTTAAGGATCTGAAAATATTTTATACTACTAAAATATAAAATGAAATTCACAACCTAGTATAAAATACTAATGCAGTGATAATACTATACATAATCAAGTTACTCTACAACGCATTTGGATCACAGTGTGAGTGGATGTTGTAAAGTATACCAGTGGCAACAGATGTGGCCCAGCAGGGCATAAAGTTAGAGAACATGAGCATAACAAGGGATTAGCAGGGAACCTCATTAAGCCACTGAGCATTACAATTTGCATTTTCATAATTTATCTGGTATAAAGCAGAATCAACAGTATGATAAAAATGGAATGCAACATGAATACTTTTTTGTAACAAGGAAACCATTTTTTACAGTTTGGCTGCAGCCATAACAGAAATATATCAAATCAAATACATCTTCAACAATGACATCACAAACCATCAAGGGATGTATAGGAAAACAAAAGATAAAAGGATCCAACAACTATAGAGACCTAACAATAGCATATAGATTTAACCATTGCTAAAAGTGGAATGTTTTTTACAAAATGGCATGTCATAAAAACCTGAACAACACCTGGACCATGGGAATCCACAAGTAGCTGTAGTTTTCAACACTGCCTTATTTTTTTCTTTTGTTTGATGTTTCTGCAAATAATATAATTGTAATAAATCTCAAAATTAAGCTAATACCTAAAATAATAACAACTAAGGTATATTACCTAACTAATAGCCTGAGTTGCAGAGAATTACAGCTCCAGCAGTTTCCCATCAAATTTAGGCTAGATCCCTAGCACATGCTCTATCAAATGTATGAATGATCCTTAACCCTACTTTATTGGCCAATTCGCCCGTCGTCGCCCGAAATTGTGTGTGTGTGGTACAGTCCGGTGCGCCCGCCCTACTATGTATAGTATGTTTATTTACATGTAGTAGCAGAAGTCTGATTGGTAACAAGATTTTTTAAGAAACCCTTGGAAGCGAGAAATAATTAGTTTTATTTACGTTGTTTTCTCATTGTTCTATAACAAGTGGTCCATTTTCTACGATTTTTTTAAGTAAGATATTTTTCTCTCAAAATTACGTGCAATATAATTAGTGAAAATAAATCTAATTCAAATGCCTTTGCCATTGAAATTGAGCTTTATTTATAATGTAACTATTGAAAAAGAAAGTTGCTCCAGTGACTATGTTGAATTTTTTATAGCATTTAAAATAAATGTTTTATAGAAATAATATTACAAGTAGTGTTTTAAGTTTTTCTGGGATTAGTGTTATTTTTTATTATTAGTAAATTATTAAACTATTTAACCTCATGAATAATAAACTTGAACCAGTTTTGTGTATATTGCTTTTTATTTTATATTTTTAATGTAAGTGGTTATTTTTTAAAAAATTATTTTTAAAAAGTGCAGTGGTTGAAAAATGTGTCATATTTTCACACAGACATAGGGGAAGTAAAATAGTTTTGATGCCCAGGCCAGTAAATGGTTAAGTAAAGAATGTTCCAGACTAAAACAGACCCACCTTTAGCTTGAGGGAAATGAAAATGTTTTTTCAGGGGCTGCCAGCACTGGTAGTAGTCAGCGTCCAGTTTATTCTTGTTGGCCCATTCAGTCACAGCCATGCTAAATGATGACTCAAACATGAAAGCCTGAAAAAATATATTTATTAACATGCTAAATGATGATTCAAACATGAAAGCCTGAAAATTTAGATTTATTAACTTTTTGACACAAACCAAATTCTATCTTTAATGGTCATGTTACAATTCTGCAACTTTAAGTTAAATAGCTCAAATAAAATAATCTACACTTTATAAAAAATCCATAGAATAGTGTTCTGGCATCATTTGAGGTCCACACAACCAGCAATACATAGAATCTACATGGGAGATAATCCTTTCACATCCTATTATGACATGCTAAACTAGAGTTTCTGTATGTGGAGAAATTAGTTGGACAGTGGAACTAGAGTTTCTGTATGTGGAGAAATTAGTTGGACAGTGGAACTAGAGTTTCTGTATGTGGAGAAATTAGTTGGACAGTGGAACTAGAGTTTCTGTATGAGGAGAAATTAGTTGGACAGTGGAACTAGAGTTTCTGTATGTGGAGAAATTAGTTGGACAGTGGAACTAGAGTTTCTGTATGTGGAGAAATTAGTTGGACAGTGGAACTAGAGTTTCTGTATGTGGAGAAATTAGTTGGACAGTGGAACTAGAGTTTCTGTATGTGGAGAAATTAGTTGGACAGTGGAACTAGAGTTTCTGTATGTGGAGAAATTAGTTGGACAGTGGAACTAGAGTTTCTGTATGTGGAGAAATTAGTTGGACAGTGGAACTAGAGTTTCTGTATGTGGAGAAATTAGTTGGACAGTGGAACTAGAGTTTCTGTATGTGGAGAAATTAGTTGGACAGTGGAACTAGAGTTTCTGTATGTGGAGAAATTAGTTGGACAGTGGAACTAGAGTTTCTGTATGTGGAGAAATTAGTTGGACAGTGGAACTAGAGTTTCTGTATGTGGAGAAATTAGTTGGACAGTGGAACTAGAGTTTCTGTATGTGGAGAAATTAGTTGGACAGTGGAACTAGAGTTTCTGTATGTGGAGAAATTAGTTGGACAGTGGAACTAGAGTTTCTGTATGTGGAGAAATTAGTTGGACAGTGGAACTAGAGTTTCTGTATGTGGAGAAATTAGTTGTATAGTAGAAGATTTTGTGTGGTGGCATGGTGGTGAGGCCATAAAGTCAATGGTAGCAGTCACAGACCTATGACAGCTCCAGCAACACATCCACCTACCATAGTACCACACACAACACATCCACCTACCATAGTGCCACACACAACACATCCACCTACCATAGTGCCACACAACACATCCACCTACCATAGTGCCACACACAACACATCCACCTACCATAGTGCCACACAACACATCCACCTACCATAGTACCACACACAACACATCCACCTACCATAGTACCACACACAACACATCCACCTACCATAGTACCACACACAACACATCCACCTACCATAGTACCACACACAACACATCCACCTACCATAGTACCACACACAACACATCCACCTACCATAGTGCCACACACAACACATCCACCTACCATAGTACCACACACAACACATCCACCTACCATAGTACCACACACAACACATCCACCTACCATAGTGCCACACACAACACATCCACCTACCATAGTACCACACACAACACATCCACCTACCATAGTACCACACACAACACATCCACCTACCATAGTGCCACACAACACATCCACCTACCATAGTACCACACACAACACATCCACCTACCATAGTGCCACACACAACACATCCACCTACCATAGTGCCACACAACACATCCACCTACCATAGTGCCACACACAACACATCCACCTACCATAGTACCACACACAACACATCCACCTACCATAGTACCACACACAACACATCCACCTACCATAGTACCACACACAACACATCCACCTACCATAGTACCACACACAACACATCCACCTACCATAGTACCACACACAACACATCCACCTACCATAGTACCACACACAACACATCCACCTACCATAGTACCACACACAACACATCCACCTACCATAGTACCACACACAACACATCCACCTACCATAGTACCACACACAACACATCCACCTACCATAGTACCACACACAACACATCCACCTACCATAGTACCACACACAACACATCCACCTACCATAGTACCACACACAACACATCCACCTACCATAGTACCACACACAACACATCCACCTACCATAGTGCCACACACACCACATCCACCTACCATAGTACCACACACAACACATCCACCTACCATAGTACCACACACAACACATCCACCTACCATAGTACCACACACAACACATCCACCTACCATAGTACCACACACAACACATCCACCTATTATAGTACCACACACAACACATCCACCTACCATAGTGCCACACAACACATCCACCTACCATAGTACCACACACAACACATCCACCTACCATAGTGCCACACACAACACATCCACCTACCATAGTGCCACACAACACATCCACCTACCATAGTACCACACACAACACATCCACCTACCATAGTGCCACACAACACATCCACCTACCATAGTACCACACACAACACATCCACCTACCATAGTGCCACACACAACACATCCACCTACCATAGTGCCACACAACACATCCACCTACCATAGTGCCACACACAACACATCCACCTACCATAGTACCACACACAACACATCCACCTACCATAGTACCACACACAACACATCCACCTACCATAGTACCACACACAACACATCCACCTACCATAGTACCACACACAACACATCCACCTACCATAGTACCACACACAACACATCCACCTACCATAGTACCACACACAACACATCCACCTACCATAGTACCACACACAACACATCCACCTACCATAGTACCACACACAACACATCCACCTACCATAGTACCACACACAACACATCCACCTACCATAGTACCACACACAACACATCCACCTACCATAGTACCACACACAACACATCCACCTACCATAGTACCACACACAACACATCCACCTACCATAGTACCACACACAACACATCCACCTACCATAGTACCACACACAACACATCCACCTACCATAGTGCCACACACACCACATCCACCTACCATAGTACCACACACAACACATCCACCTACCATAGTACCACACACAACACATCCACCTACCATAGTACCACACACAACACATCCACCTACCATAGTACCACACACAACACATCCACCTATTATAGTACCACACACAACACATCCACCTACCATAGTACCACACACAACACATCCACCTACCATAGTACCACACACAACACATCCACCTACCATAGTACCACACACAACACATCCACCTACCATAGTACCACACACAACACATCCACCTACCATAGTACCACACACAACACATCCACCTACCATAGTACCACACACAACACATCCACCTACCATAGTACCACACACAACACATCCACCTACCATAGTACCACACACACCACATCCACCTACCATAGTACCACACACAACACATCCACCTACCATAGTACCACACACAACACATCCACCTACCATAGTACCACACACAACACATCCACCTACCATAGTGCCACACACACCAAATCCACCTACCATAGTACCACACACAACACATCCACCTACCATAGTACCACACACAACACATCCACCTACCATAGTACCACACACAACACATCCACCTACCATAGTACCACACACAACACATCCACCTACCATAGTACCACACACAACACATCCACCTACCATAGTGCCACACAACACATCCACCTACCATAGTACCACACACAACACATCCACCTACCATAGTGCCACACACAACACATCCACCTACCATAGTGCCACACAACACATCCACCTACCATAGTGCCACACACAACACATCCACCTACCATAGTACCACACACAACACATCCACCTACCATAGTACCACACACAACACATCCACCTACCATAGTACCACACACAACACATCCACCTACCATAGTACCACACACAACACATCCACCTACCATAGTACCACACACAACACATCCACCTACCATAGTACCACACACAACACATCCACCTACCATAGTACCACACACAACACATCCACCTACCATAGTACCACACACAACACATCCACCTACCATAGTACCACACACAACACATCCACCTACCATAGTACCACACACAACACATCCACCTACCATAGTACCACACACAACACATCCACCTACCATAGTACCACACACAACACATCCACCTACCATAGTACCACACACACCACATCCACCTACCATAGTACCACACACAACACATCCACCTACCATAGTACCACACACAACACATCCACCTACCATAGTACCACACACAACACATCCACCTACCATAGTACCACACACAACACATCCACCTACCATAGTACCAACAGCAATCTTCTGGGGTTGAAGTTCTGCCGTAGTAGCTTTCTCAAAGCATTCAAAGTCAGGGCCATGTGGGGTCATCATGCTATGTAAGCTAGCGCCACCTGGCTGAAAGCCTTCTTCCTGAAACAGATTATGTCAACAACTCACAGAGACATCTAGTAATTCAAATAACTCAGATAGACAACTAGTAATTCAAATAACTCAGACAACTAGTAATTCAAATATAGAAGAGTCATGAAATTAAGGATCAGTTCACTAACCTTTGCCTCATAATTCCCATACACAAGTCCCATAAACTCACTCATACAGTTTCCTGAAACATTTGATCACAATTACATATACTTGAAATAAACATTAGACAACAATTTATTTCAAATAAAAATTTCATAACAATATACTTGAAATAATATTTGATGTGAATATACTTGAAATAAACTCTACATTACAATACACAACAGAGTTAACTAAAGTAGAACAGCTCAACACTTAGCACAACAGAGTTAACTAAAGTAGCATAGCTCAACACTTAGCACAACAGAGTTAACTAAAGTAGAACAGCTCAACACTGTAGCTCACTGTGGTAATAGGGTGGCCTGAAGGTGTGCTCTTGAACTGACCAGCGAGGAGGGAATATGACAAAATCAGCCACGGCTACTCCCGGCTTCAGTGAAGGGCAAGTGAGAACAGTGAAGATAGAAGGATCCTGTCAATACAAAACACATTAACTCTCATATCATACAGGGATCCTGTCAATACGGGGATCCTGTCAATACAAAACACATCAACTCTCATATCATACAGGGATCCTGTCAATATAAAACACATTGACTCATATCATACAGGGATCCTGTCAATATAAAACACATTAACTCATCTCATTTGTAAACCGGTCTCTTCATTTGTTATAAAATTTCTTCACCGAACAAAGAGTTGACAAACATAAAACGCTTTTGAAAAAAAACTTACGGCATGGTCATATGCAACACAGTTAATGACCATAAATTTGCTCAAGTCGTACTTGTAAGGGGCATAATTCCCATGCCAAGCTACTACATCAAAAGGTGAGTGCCCCTGTCAAATAGGAATAACATTATACAAATTGAAAACTAACTCAACCCACTGTAAAGTGAAGCATCCTACAATGCCAAACATAATCACACTCTATTTATGAAGTCTCCCCAAATATAATAGTCCTCTAAAACATAAGTCATAAAGCCACATCATGTTAATGACCTGTTTACATTTATCACTGAGAGAATCATGTTAATGACCTGTTTACATTTATCACTGAGAGGATCATGTTAATGACCTGTTTACATTTATCACTGAGGATCATGTTAATGACCTGTTTACATTTATCACAGAGAGTATCATGTTAATGACCTGTTTACATTTATCACAGAGAGTATCATGTTAATGACCTGTTTACATTTATCACTGAGAGGATCATGTTAATGACCTGTTTACATTTATCACTGAGAGGATCATGTTAATGACCTGTTTACATTTATCACTGAGAGGATCATGTTAATGACCTGTTTACATTTATCACTGAGAGGTAAGAACTTAATGCTGGGATCACAGGAAAACTGACCCACCACAAGCGTCCACAAAATTGGGGACATCAAAATGGATGACCACCTACAAGTGGACATCAAAATGGATGACCTCCTAAAGTGGACATCAAAATGGATGACCACCTAAAGTGGACATCAAAATGGATGACCTCCTAAAGTGGACATCAAAATGGATGACTTCCTACAAGTGGACATCAAAATGGATGACCTCCAAAAGTGGACATAAAAAAATGGATGACCTCCTAAAGTGGACATCAAAATGGATGACCTCCTACAAGTGGACATCAAAATGGATGACCACCTACAAGTGGACATCAAAATGGATGACCACCTAAAGTGGACATCAAAATGGATGACCACCTAAAGTGGACATCAAAATGGATGACCACCTACAAATGGACATCAAAATGGATGACCACCTAAAGTGGACATCAAAATGGATGATCTCCTACAAGTGGACATCAAAATGGATGACCACCTACAAGTGGACATCAAAATGGATGACCACCTAAAGTGGACATCAAAATGGATGACTTCCTACAAGTGGACATCAAAATGGATGACCTCCAAAAGTGGACATAAAAAAATGGATGACCACCTAAAGTGGACATCAAAATGGATGACCTCCTAAAGTGGACATCAAAATGGATGACCTCCTACAAGTGGACATCAAAATGGATGACCTCCTACAAGTGGACATCAAAATGGATGACCACCTAAAGTGGACATCAAAATGGATGACCTCCTAAAGTGGACATCAAAATGGATGACCTCCTAAAGTGGACATCAAAATGGATGACCACCTAAAGTGGACATCAAAATGGATGACCTCCTAAAGTGGACATCAAAATGGATGACCACCTAAAGTGGACATCAAAATGGATGACCTCCTACAAGTGGACATCAAAATGGATGACCACCTAAAGTGGACATCAAAATGGATGACCACCTAAAGTGGACATCAAAATGGATGACCACCTACAAATGGACATCAAAATGGATGACCACCTAAAGTGGACATCAAAATGGATGATCTCCTACAAGTGGACATCAAAATGGATGACCACCTACAAGTGGACATCAAAATGGATGACCACCTAAAGTGGACATCAAAATGGATGACTTCCTACAAGTGGACATCAAAATGGATGACCTCCAAAAGTGGACATAAAAAAATGGATGACCACCTAAAGTGGACATCAAAATGGATGACCTCCTAAAGTGGACATCAAAATGGATGACCTCCTACAAGTGGACATCAAAATGGATGACCTCCTACAAGTGGACATCAAAATGGATGACCACCTAAAGTGGACATCAAAATGGATGACCTCCTAAAGTGGACATCAAAATGGATGACCTCCTAAAGTGGACATCAAAATGGATGACCACCTAAAGTGGACATCAAAATGGATGACCTCCTAAAGTGGACATCAAAATGGATGACCACCTAAAGTGGACATCAAAATGGATGACCTCCTACAAGTGGACATCAAAATGGATGACCTCCAAAAGTGGACATCAAAATGGATGACCTCCTACAAGTGGACATCAAAATGGATGACCACCTACAAGTGGACATCAAAATGGATGACCACCTACAAGTGGACATCAAAATGGATGACCTCCAAAAGTGGACATCAAAATGGATGACCTCCAAAAGTGGACATCAAAATGGATGACCACCAAAAGTGGACATCAAAATGGATGACCACCTAAAGTGGACATCAAAATGGATGACCACCTACAAGTGGACATCAAAATGGATGACCTCCAAAAGTGGACATCAAAATGGATGACCTCCAAAAGTGGACATCAAAATGGATGACCTCCTACAAGTGGACATCAAAATGGATGACCTCCTACAAGTGGACATCAAAATGGATGACCACCTACAAGTGGACATCAAAATGGATGACCTCCAAAAGTGGACATCAAAATGGATGACCTCCAAAAGTGGACATCAAAATGGATGACCACCAAAAGTGGACATCAAAATGGATGACCACCTACAAGTGGACATAAAAAAATGGATGACCACCTAAAGTGGACATCAAAATGGATGACCACCTACAAATGGACATCAAAATGGATGACCTCCTACAAGTGGACATCAAAATGGATGACCTCCTAAAGTGGACATCAAAATGGATGACCTCCTACAAGTGGACATCAAAATGGATGACCACCTACAAATGGACATCAAAATGGATGACCACCTAAAGTGGACATCAAAATGGATGACCACCTACAAGTGGACATCAAAATGGATGACCACCTAAAGTGGACATCAAAATGGATGATCTCCTACAAGTGGACATCAAAATGGATGACCACCTACAAGTGGACATCAAAATGGATGACCACCTACAAATGGACATCAAAATGGATGACCACCTAAAGTGGACATCAAAATGGATGACCACCTACAAGTGGACATCAAAATGGATGACCACCTAAAGTGGACATCAAAATGGATGATCTCCTACAAGTGGACATCAAAATGGATGACCACCTACAAGTGGACATCAAAATGGATGACCTCCTAAAGTGGACATCAAAATGGATGACCTCCTACAAGTGGACATCAAAATGGATGACCACCTACAAGTGGACATCAAAATGGATGACCTCCAAAAGTGGACATCAAAATGGATGACCTCCAAAAGTGGACATCAAAATGGATGACCACCAAAAGTGGACATCAAAATGGATGACCACCTACAAGTGGACATAAAAAAATGGATGACCTCCTAAAGTGGACATCAAAATGGATGACCTCCAAAAGTGGACATCAAAATGGATGACCATCTAAAGTGGACATCAAAATGGATGACCTCCTACAAGTGGACATAAAAAAATGGATGACCACCTACAAGTGGACATCAAAATGGATGACCTCCAAAAGTGGACATCAAAATGGATGACCTCCAAAAGTGGACATAAAAAAATGGATGACCACCTACAAGTGGACATAAAAAAATGGATGACCTCCTAAAGGGGACATCAAAATGGATGACCACCTACAAGTGGACATCAAAATGGATGACCACCTACAAGTGGACATCAAAATGGATGACCACCTGTGTGTGGGTCCTAGAAGAGCTAACAGCAGCAAATGCTAAAATACTCACCTGGGTAGCAGAAAATAGATATCCATGATATTTAGAAACAACTGTAAATTCTTTCACCTCCCTATCCTCATACCATGCAACAGGGGTGAGAAAATCACGAGGATTTGCAAGTCCGTTTGCTCCTACAACACACAACACACATCAAGATTTTGTAAATCAACTTGCTAGAACACACAACACACATCAAGATTTTGTAAATCAACTTGCTAGAACACACAACACACATTCAACAAGGAAACACAACACCTAGTTGCATTAAAATCTTTACCTATAGGCCCGAGATTGGGTAGTTGAAAATGGTCAGAAAAAACTTCAAGGACATATCCTCTTGCATTCCCTTTCACATCAATGCTAAATCGAATACCTCGCTAAATAAAAAATTGATTGAGAAATAATTTGCCAATCTATTTAATTAATCAAACGGTTAAAGTATGTAAAAAACAATATTTTTGTTTGCAAATTTTAAAATGTATTTTAAAATAACAATAAGCTATGCTAAAAACTGCAGGTGTAAAAATACTCTCCAAAAGGCTACCTGTATAACACAGATTTCATTAGGATTGACATTCATTTTCCCCATTTCAGTTGTGATGTGAAGGGCTCCTTCCTGTGGTACTTCAAGACAATTTAACATCATATCAATCACACATGGACAAAAATGTATTGGCAAGACAAGTTAACATCATATCAATCACAGATGGACAAAAATGTATTGGCAAGACAAGTTAACATCATATCAATCACATGGACAAAAATGTATTGGCAAGACAAGTTAACATCATATCAATCACATGGACAAAAATGTATTGGCAAGACAAGTTAACATCATATCAATCACAGATGGGCAAAAATGTATTGGCAAGACAAGTTAACATCATATCAATCACAGATGGGCAAAAATGTATTGGCAAGACAAGTTAACATCATATCAATTACAGATGGACAAAAATGTATTGGCAAGACAAGTTAACATCATATCAATCACAGATGGGCAAAAATGTATTGGCAAGACAAGTTAACATCATATCAATTACAGATGGACAAAAATGTATTGGCAAGACAAGTTAACATCATATCAATTACAGATGGACAAAAATGTATTGGCAAGACAAGTTAACATCATATCAATCACATGGACAAAAATGTATTGGCAAGACAAGTTAACATCATATCAATCACAGATGGGCAAAAATGTATTGGCAAGACAAGTTAACATCATATCAATTACAGATGGACAAAAATGTATTGGCAAGACAAGTTAACATCATATCAATCACAGATGGACAAAAATGTATTGGCAAGACAAGTTAACATCATATCAATCACATGGACAAAAATGTATTGGCAAGACAAGTTAACATCATATCAATCACAGATGGGCAAAAATGTATTGGCAAGACAAGTTAACATCATATCAATCACAGATGGACAAAAATGTATTGGCAAGACAATTTAACATCATATCAATCACAGATGGACAAAAATGTATTGGCAAGACAAGTTAACATCATATCAATCACATGGACAAAAATGTATTGGCAAGACAAGTTAACATCATATCAATCACAGATGGGCAAAAATGTATTGGCAAGACAAGTTAACATCATATCAATCACAGATGGACAAAAATGTATTGGCAAGACAAGTTAACATCATATCAATCACATGGACAAAAATGTATTGGCAAGACAAGTTAACATCATATCAATCACAGATGGACAAAAATGTATTGGCAAGACAAGTTAACATCATATCAATCACAGATGGACAAAAATGTATTGGCAAGACAATTTAACATCATATCAATCACAGATGGACAAAAATGTATTGGCAAGACAAGTTAACATCATATCAATTACAGATGGACAAAAATGTATTGGCAAGACAAGTTAACAAACATTACCAATAAATAAAATCTCTACTAATTCCAAGTTACTTATCAGGAAAATGTCTACTAATTCCAACTTACCAATCAAAAAGTCCCCATCTGAGTTGTAGAGACATCTACAAAAGAAGTTCAAATAATTGATGATTATCTTGTTGTGTTGCTTTTAAGTTACAGACAGCTAAATACAAGCAGTCTATTTGAATCAGTTACAGGTAACTTAATATAACGAGTCTGTCTGAAAAATGTAATAGGCAACTGACTTGTTGTCCATGGGTTGATTACATGTGTATATGTAAATGGCGATACCACTTCGAGCTTTAGGGTCACCAGCTCCGCAGATGGTGGACAAACCCTGCAACAATATGACTGCTAATCATTGCTGGACTCTGCCAGAATATTGCCAGTTTTAGACCACCATGCCCTGCTAGGGGCATCAGGTTTAAAACTTACATGGCATGTTTCCTTGTTCATTCTATCAACTACTCAATCATTTGTTCATTCTATCAACCACTCAATCATTTGTTCATTCTATCAACCACTCAATCATTTGTTCATTCTATCAACCACTCAATCATTTGTTCATTCTATCAACCACTCAATCATTTGTTCATTCTATCAACCACTCAATCATTTGTTCATTCTATCAACCACTCAATCATTTGTTCATTCTATCAACCACTCAATCATTTGTTCATTCTATCAACCACTCAATCATTTGTTCATTCTATCAACCACTCAATCATTTGTTCATTCTATCAACCAATCAATCATTTGTTCATTCTATCAACCACTCAATCATTTGTTCATTCTATCAACCACTCAATCATTTGTTCATTCTATCAACCACTCAATCATTTGTTCATTCTATCAACCACTCAATCAAATTTTTTACTGTGGGTCAACAATGTAGCAAATAAGAACTGTTTTGAATATATAACAACAGCATTTTTATTTTTTGAAAGTATTAATCACTATTCTAAACACTGCAAATTGTTGTCTAGTATTTTGACTAGCCTAATTTTTTTCAAGTATGATAAAGCAAGCCATACAAGATAAAAGGTCAAGGTCACCATTTAAACTCCTTATCTTGGTTAGCAGTAAAGCAAGAATTTTTAAACTCTTCAAGGTCAATATTTACCTCAACAAAATCTTTTTTCTGGGTGGGAAAATCAAAAGGTTTCCATCTTAACTGAAATAAGAAAGAATTCACCTTAAAATATACACTCTAGATTCGTGTAATGTAATATGTTTAGATTGAATTCTTAAGATATAAACTATATTAAATTTTAAAAGAGAAAGAACTAATTGAAAAGGGAATGTCCATAATAAGAAGCAAATGCTTGTTTTTATATAAGAAATGAGATAATTTTTTCAAACAGCTAAAACCTAACAATGCTGTATATCTGTTTTGTAACAAACTAGATTGATCTCTTTTACCTGATTAGGGTTTGGTTCTACTGAATCCCAGTCGTGGGTAACATTGCCTCTATCAATTTTGGTGAAAGGTTTGTGAATGACAGAGGGGCGAATACGGTAAAACCATCTAAATAATAGATGTTGACAATTTCAGTTTATTAAAAAAATGTATTTGATGATAAAATTTTGCTGAGTAAATAACACATTTTAATGCTTGTCTGAACTGTGATGATAATTACTGTCAACTGGCTGAAGTTTTATACCACAGATTAACACTTTAACACTTGCGTTCTCTGATTTTATACCACAGCTTAACACTTTAACACTTGCGTTCTCTGACTTAATACCACAGCTTAACACTTTAACACTTGCGTTCTCTGATTTTATACCACAGCTTAACACTTTAACACTTACGTTCTCTGATTTTATACCCCAGCTTAACACTTTAACACTTACGTTCTCTGATTTTATACCCCAGCTTAACACTTTAACACTTGCGTTCTCTGATTGTATACCCCAGCTTAACACTTTAACACTTACGTTCTCTGATTTTATACCCCAGCTTAACACTTGAACACTTACGTTCTCTGATTTTCTTGTCTTGGTGCTGTAAAAGCTGCCCCTGAGAGCTGCTCAGCATACAAGCCATAAGGACATTTTTGTGGATTGTTCTGCCAACAACAAAAATATATTTGGGTTATACAAAATCTTCTGCAGTTGGGTTGGATTTGTTTCTAGAGAACTTTCTGGTGTTTTTGCTCAAGTCATTCAACATGAAGTGGCTTACCTGGCCTTCAGGCAAGGAGCCTGGACATCTGCTGTCTTCTGTGGCAAACTCATTTCCAAAGCCCGACAGGTACTGTATCATGGACAGGTATAGTTTAGAATATAAAACTCCTATGTTAATTGGCTTAAAAAAACTATGATCATGTCAGTAAAAAAATGTATAGGCCTAGGCTTATTCAGTTATTGTATGTAGAGAATTTAACCCTATTATTTAAGGAGCATATTTTCTATCTACAATTATTTGGGTCTATTAGTAGCCTATATATTATGTAGGCCTACTATGTAGGCTTACATTACAAGCAGACATACAATAACATAGTAGACCTATTTTTTCTGGGGTACTCTGTTTCTGTAGATTACTAGGCCTATGACAAGAATAAGAAAACTTTTAATTAGTAGGTCTTATTTAATGCCAATACAGTGTGTATGGACACACTAGGCCTATATAGTATATAGTATAATTACTAGGTTCTATATATTATTCTATATATAGGCCTAAATATAGCACTATTTGTTAGTATTTAATACGCCTAGTGAAAATTAGTAGGTCTATATATATAATATATATATATATATATATATATATATATATATATATATATATATATATATATATATATATATATATATATAGGTACTCTAGTGTTATGGTCTTAAATTCTTAACTCCTTATAGTTTACCAATGTATTTATAATTTATATTAAATAGGCTATATATAGTATTATAGTATATATATATATAGTATTATATAGGCTATTATTATAGGCCCCTACGCTAAGGTAGGCCAAAAATAAAAAATGCATGGGGAGGAGACCTAAAATGCCTGGGGGGGGGCATATTAGGCTACTAATTAATATCATAATGATAGTAGTAGTAGGCCTATATACCAATAAACAAAGGAGCTTGTCTTTTTTTCAAGGTTGTGTTGTGTAGGCAGACGCTACATTAGCGACGTGTAACTGGGACATGGGTTGTTTTCGTTATTTTAGGCCTTAGTACGGCGTTTTTTATTTGGCATAATAAAATCAACCTACTGCAAAAGAAATCTAATAAGTAAAGTGAAGTGATAGCTAATACTAAGCTAAAGCTTAGTCTAACACCTTAACTTAAGTTAACCGCTGCTATTTATTTTGCAAGAATTTAATGTAAACATATTTAGAATTACCTTTAACTCGGTAGCCATCTCGGTGTGCATATGAGTTGTAGGCTATTCTTGTAGGTGTTTTGCGGTGTACTGTACTCGTGGTGTGTTTTAATAAGCCCTGGCGATTGGTTGCTATTAATAGGTTGCTCCTCAATTGCTTTTTTTAAATTATTGGCCTTGGGGTCAACCATAAATAACGTCACGCTTTTTTGACGATTTTTACCTCCCCCTTCCATCACACGTCGTCACAAACGCAAGACCCCCCTAAAATGACGTCACACCTCAGTCTAAACCCCTCTCCTCAAAATTGCTGTTGAATTTTTATTAAAACATCGATATTTTTCCAAAATCTCTGTCAACAGAGTATTTTAATCAATTTATATTACAATTTATTAAAACAGTTTTCTAAAACACGAAATATCGGCTAAAATTCGTTTTCTAACATTTCTTTATTATGATGCAAAAGTGTGATGTCACGCCATCTGAACCCCCCCCCCCCTCCTCATCAAACACGTCCCCTCCCCATAAGAGTGGAACGTCATTTATGGACGACCCCTGAAGGAAAAGAGTCCGACCAATGAAGAGTTGGAGACGTGACCTGGAAGAAGACACCTTGAAGACCTGATACACCTGGGGACAGTTGGAGAGATTCAGAGAATAGCCCAGGACAGATATGCCTGGTAAGCTCTTGTCAGCTGCCTATGTCCCAAAAGGGACGACAGCCTTTTACAAAGGGACAAAACTCATAATATTTTATTTTAAAAATCCCCCTTGCTACATTGTCTCCCCTTAATGAACACACAATTACACTGTTAGTTAATAGAGTCCTTGCAAACACGTGACCTAAATCACGTGATACCTACGCCCGCCGCCACAGTGGTGTACATCAGACGTAAACACAATCAGCTGTTCGCCAGCGCTGGACGTGTTCACCAGCGCTGAACGTGTTCACCGTATGTAAAGAATCGCGCCCGCGGAAAAGGAAAAATATGTTTAAAAAATTGAACTCTTAGGAATTGAAGATCCTTATACAGTTATTGACAGTTTCGTGGATAATATAAATATGTGGCCGAAATTTCTAAATAAAAATACTGTTAGTAATACCGTTTGCGTTTAGAGTTTAAGTAGACGAAGCTGATCAAATGCAGTAATATATTATAGGTTATCTACTGTAGCAAACGTGAGACCACTTAACTCCTACAAAACCCACACTACAACGGCTAATATAATCCATGGGTAATAACCAATCTGGGTAGCATGTTATACAATTTAAGACCCTTATAATCCAGCAGGGAAGTAATCAGACACATTAATACTGATGTTCAACCCTCATGATGGCTGCCCCCACCTGTATCTAGCCCACAATAAAACCTAAGAGGAGTCTGCCCTGCCCTCCCCTGAAAATGTCTCACCTCCGTGATACCCAGCCCCACAGAGATAGTATTTCTTATATAATTTTGACCCTCAGGGCCCAGCAGGGAGAACAAAGGGGAAAGTCCCACTGCTCTCCCCTCAACACTTCTCACCTCGGTGTCATGTTATGTCATTTATAGCACACATGGCTTATCAGGGGAAAGCATTAAGGCATTAAGAATCTTAACTCTGGACAGCTACACACTAGTATACTAGCTACACACTAGGTGCCTACTGTAAACTACTAGACTGTAGGCCCTATGTAGACCTGCAATTGTATCAATTGTAGACTGGGTCCATTGTTATTATTCTAAACCATCTCACTTATAATGTTTCTAGCTTGATTTTTTTCTTTTATAAACAGTGGATTTTTTAAAAAAAATTAGCCTAATCATTAACCAAATAATAATAATGTGGTTATTTGTTGTTGGCTGGTATGATCTAGATTGTACTACTAGGCTACAAAAACTTAGTAGACCAATTACTAGATATGAATTTGAATTTAATTAAACTCAGTCCAGTATCAGATACATATTGCTGTAAAAAGACAACAAAGTAGGTAGGCCTTAGTAATTTATTAAAGCCTTCTACTACAATAATATCAACTACATGCTTGTATAAAGTTTTTACAATTTAATTTAAGTAGCAGATTCTAGATCTAAGTCTAGTCATACTAGAATTTCAGAAAATTTCGTTTGCTAAAAAAATGATTAGATAATAGAGCGAGATTTTAGATCTTAGAGACAATTAAATGCTTTATTAGGCCTATTATGACTACTTTTGATTTATTATGGGTGTATTTTGAATCGAATGTAGATCTAAAGTAATTAAATTTAAGTAAAGAAGTAGATTCTAGATTCTATGTCTACCCAGCGGAGCCAGGTATTAGGCCTACTATTAGATCTTATTATTCTTATTATTACTTTTGACTTTGTCTTTTACTATTTGTATTTGTGAAGGTCGAGCATATTTGTTTTATTAATAGTTATCTTTTATAATTAAAATTAAAATGAAGTTTATTATTTTACTGTCCTTACCTGAAACAAAGTATCGAAAACTGCATTTGATCAGATTCGGCTACTTTAACTCTAAACGCAAACAGTATTACTAACAGTATTTTTATTTAGAAATTTTGTCCACATATTTATTTATACGAAACTGTCAATAACAGTATAAGGATCTTCAATTCCTAAGAGTTCAAGTTTTTTAACGTATTTTTCCTTTTCCGCGGGTGCGGCTCTTTACATACAGTGAACGCGTCCAGCGCTGGTGAACACGTCCAGCGCTGGCAAACAGCTGATTGTGTTTACGTCTGATGTACACCACTGTGGCGGCGGGCGTAGGTATCACGAACGGACGTGACGTCATATGAAAGGCAATCCCCCCCCCCCACACACCCCTTTATTATCTGTCTCATCTGTAAAGAGAATTATTTAAGCTAAGATTGATTTTTGCCGAAACTAGTCTGCGTAATTTTCTGTTGCAATTTAAATAACAATGTAATCTTACAATTGACTGTCTGCTAGTTGAGTTGTGTTAGCTAAAATATAAGTTATAACAGCTTATTACTGAGAAGTTTAGCAATTTCTTTTCATTTTTGGAATTAATCTATCAGTTTCTGTTCATTATTAGATTCATCAACTTTCAGATGTCCGGCGGGGGGGGGGGGGGGGGGGGGGGAGGGGAGGAATATATAGGCTATGTTCACACTACCGCTAGATGTCCCGGGGAGTGATGTATGAAAACCCATGAGTGTATGTGAGGGGGGGGGATGTATAGGCTATGTTCACACTACCGCTAGATGTCCCGGGGAGTGATGTATGAAAACCCGTGAGTGTATGTGAGGGGGGGGGGGGGGGTCCGCGCCGGGTGACACCATTTAGTGGTGACACCACGACGAAAAAAAAACTGTATCATTCACAGTCAAAACAATGTTTTATCTAGGTAAGATAAAAAAAAAATAGTAGGAGGAAAGGGGTGGCACCATGCCAAACTGCAATATGTTTGAAGGGGGGGGGGGGGGGGGAACCGCAGTTACCGTTCCGGTTAATTACTTGACGCTAGGGAGAGTTTGAACATCCCAGGGCTGTTACATAGCCAATAAATTCCCCTCCCCCAGTGGCGTCGCTATGTCGGGTGTCACCCGGTGCGGCACTTCGTGGTGTCATCCCCCCCCCCCCCCCCAAGCGGTGCGCTAAAGGGAAATTCGCCCCAATATATATATATATATATAATATATATATATATATATATATATATATATATATATATATATATATATATATATATATATATATATATATGCCTACATACGCCTACATTGTGTAAAAGCTTTAATGACTGCAGACTTAAAATAGTAACGATGTTTATCTTTAATCTGTTAATAATACAGTTGGATGTAGCATTGTTTTCTCTAAAGTTAGCGCGTTTACGTCATGGTATCAGTGTTTCTTCCAGACTTTTTTCTCCGGGGGGGGGGCACTTGAAATCTTCGGGGGGGCGGTAAACTTTCTTCGGGGGGGCGGACACTGTTAAAAGTATATATTTTCTATATAAATTATATAAATTTTATTTCGTTCGGGGGGGGGGGGGGGGGGGGCGGTAAAAAATTTTCGGGGGGCTTCGCCCCCCGAAGAGATGCCTGGAAGAAACTCTGCATGGTATCACCCTTCCCCCTTGTAATGATTGACGATCTGTACTTAAAAGACTATTTAACTTTAATTATCAGGAATGGAACTGGCAAAAAAGCATTTTTCTTCTGTACATTTAACAATTTTTTGCCTTGGTGTCACCCCTGTAAATGGTGTCACCCGGTACGGACATCTAAGCAGTAGTGTGAACATAGCCTAAATATAACCCGAAAGTCTCGGGTTGGATCCCGGGCCCGATTCCTCCGAAACACTCCCCTGAGTCCACTCAGCTCTGATGAGTACCTGGCTGGCGGTAAGTAGAATCGGATAGACATCTTGCTGACCACACTATCCCCTCTTATGGTAGGTCATTAAAACATGTCTCGCTAGGTTCGTTAGTGTAGTGTAGAGGGCCGCTTTTTACAAGAACCAGGCCATAATAACACGCTAGTTAGTGTAGGTCCCTAGTGTAGAGGGCCGCTTTTTAACAAGAACCAGACCATAATAACACGCTAGTTAGTGTAGGTCCCTAGTGTAGAGGGCCGCTTTTTAACAAGAACAAGGCCATAATAACACGCCATAATAGTGGCCCGGGGCGTCCTGGGTTACACGAGCACTGGGGCGCCGAGAGAGGCGTAGTGAGGGGAGCCGGAGGACGAGCTGATATAGTTTGACCATCCATTCAAGTAGTCGCCAAATCAGCGTACATTACTTGTGGGCTCCAGCACTATTAGATTTTTTAAAAATATGGCAGAATCCTTCTTTCGGGTGTAGGCCTACTCATCAACTTCCAAGTTTGATAACGTAGTGGTGAATTGTGTAATGACGCAGAAATTAGAAAAAGATAGACAGACGAAGAAAAAAAACAGACAGACATACAATACATGTACTTTTATTTATACACCAGCACAGTGGCGTAGCGAGGTCGGGTGTCACCCGGTGCGGCACTTAATGGTGTCACCCCCCAGAGGAGTTGCGACCCTTCCCGAGGACAAACTTTCATGTTTTCGATTTGCACCCCCCCCCCTCAAACTTTCGATTTGCACCCCCCTCAAGTTTTTTATTTGCACCCCCCCCCCCCTCAAACTTTCGATTTGCACCCCCCCCTCAAGTTTTTCTCTATATATTTTGCTATTTTTTGCCTTGGTGTCACCCCCCTAAATGGTGTCACCCGGTGCGGTCCGCACCCCCCCTCGCTACGCCCCTGCACCAGCATACCCGCCCCGCTTATTGTTGCGGGCTGACACACAATTTTAACGGATTTTACTAATCCGTTACCAATCGTGTTTTTTTTTAGATGTTTGACCTTGTTTTCTAAAACTGAGTTACTTAAATATAAAAAAAAATACCGGCGTTGTATTTCTTGGATTTAGCTGTTGTGGCAAGGGTTTGTCCACGCTACCACCTTAACACCACAGGGCGTGTTGCATGGAAGTTTTGAATGTACATTGCCCCCCCCCCCTCCGTGTAAGAGGCGTCACATGGTGCTCTCTGGAGCCACCGGTTAGACTACCGCATGGTCGCCAAATCGTACCTTACCGGGGCGCCGAAATACAATTTTTTTCCACAGAACCCTTCCCAGGAGTAGTCTCGCCAACTCCCCAAAGTTTAATGGCGATCAAATGAACGGTGTAATAATGCATACAAGACAAACATACACACATACAAGCACACCCACCCACAAACGTTCATTTGGGCCTGTAGATAATATACAGAGTTATTGACCAAAAAATACTTTTGTAGGTCTATATTTAGTATATTAATTATTAATTAATAGTCTATATCAAGTAGTACTTCTTTCAGGTGCGAATGCTCTTCTTTTACAAAGATTGAAAAATAAACGCAGTAAGGTAGAGAACTCTAATAGTTTTAATTCAACAACAATGGCAGAAGAAGTGGAAAGCATGGTAAATTGTTTTATTCGGAATATATTAACTAGCCCCCCCTCCCCCCTTATAATTTAAAAGTTTAATGCTGCTATTTGTAATAAATAGGCCTAATTTAATCACACCTGTTTACACATTAAATGATAATGTTATAAGAACGGATTAAAAAAAAATTGTCAATGATGATTCTTTTCAGAATCTTTACGTGGGGGGGGGGGGGGGGGGGGAGAGGGGAGTCTATCGTTTTAGGTAGGTAGAAATCTATGTTATGTAAAATCGGCCGAGACTAGTAATGTGAATAAAAAGTGACTCATTAAATTTTTAATATTATTTCCCATTTTTAGGAGGATTCATTTTCTGAAAGTTAAAAAAGTGTTTCAAAGTTTCATTAATTATTTATAGGTACTAGGATTACATCTCGTTTTACGCCGCGCGGCGAGTTTTTCGTCCCCGTTACCCAGGCGCCGAGAATTTGCGGCTACGCGAGTGCTATAGTTTCGTAATTTTTATCGCTCGGTGTTATCGCCCGATCAATTTTCGTGCGATTATCAATTTTTCGTAAAAAAATGGACATTTTGCGTTTTCATAGTTTTTTTAATTTTGTGCATGGATTATTCAAGATGGAGTGTTTCAGTGAAAATAAGGTAAGTTTAATTTACTCCCTACTGTTTATTTTTATAATAAACAGGAATTTTATTGCTTTACATGAATTCTACACCACTTTTCTCTATTGTTTCAAAAAATCAAGTTGTTTGGACATAGCGCACAAAAGTTATATGCTGCACAGATTTGCTACCTCTATAAAAAAATTCGTTTGTTTACAATATGAAAGCGAAAGTGGCAAGGGAGGTAATAGAAAAAAAATGTGGCGAGCGATGTTTTGACGCCGGCGATAGTGGCGAACGATGTTTTGCCGCCGGCGATAGTGGCGAACGATGTTTTGCCGCCGGCGATAGTGGCGAACGATGTTTTGCCGTCGGCGATAGTGGCGAACGATGTTTTGCCGCCGGCGATAGTGGCGAACGATGTTTTGCCGCCGGCGATAGTGGCAAACGCTGTTTTGATATTGAAGGTAGTGGAGTAGAGGGGGGGGGAGGTTTGGTGCGGTAATAGCAATAAATGTTCAATATTTAATTTTAGTGTCTAGAAAAACCATTTTATTTATTTTGATGTGAAAGCAAACAATGTACTGTTTACTTTTCCAGATAGAACCTACACTTCAAAAACCAGCACATCTCTACAATATATTATATAATGAGCAGTTATATGGCCTAATGAGGGAACACTATGTAAAGAGGAATTAAAACTATTACAATAAATGTGTTCACCTTTTATTTAGACAAATTAAGTAATATTTTTAAAAATAACTTAAATAAATTTTGAAGCAGTACATTGAAAGTTTAGTAATATGAACTAGTTCTAGATTCTATATCATGTTAAAACCAACCAATGTTGAACTTCTTCTGAAATGTAAAATACTAATGAACAGACAGAAACACATCTTTTTAATTAAACTATATTTAAGTAGACTAACAAGTTAATTACATTTATACAAATAAAAGACCTTACATTTCTAATAGATCTAATTTGCCATCATTTTTATTTTCATATATTAGTTCAGTTTTTCAATTATGTCAGGTGCGTCGATGACTCAGCGTTTTACCTTTTTACCATCTTTTACCTATTTGTCAACTATTTAGATAGAACCATCAAACACACTTATTTCAGAGCTTCACTCTGGTTAGTTTTTAGCTTTAGATTCAAATAGTTTGGACCTACGCTGATATTGTATGAACAAATTTCGTATTTAAAAATAGGGGGTGTACCCTGTTCCACCCCTTATTTTTTGTCAAACAGATAGATTTAAACACATATTTTGATTGTTTCTGTTTAAGAATAGAGTCATCTAGAGCCAGGCAAATTTTGAGACTTAAGTGCTTAATAACTCAAATTTGCCATCTATGTTGCATTTCACATCAACAAGACTTCGGTTTTGCGAAATTGCATAATCTATCAGCTTTGTAGCAGTTAAAACAAAAAACTTTTCAGTTATGAATATTATTTTGATTGTAATAACTGACACATCCATAGCTCAACATTCTCAGCAAGTTTGAGCTTAATTTTTGGAATAGTTAAAATTTTAACTAAGATTGTATGAATGCACTGTATATGAAAAATTAGGGGGGGGTACCATGTTCAACTTCTGTTTTTGTTTAACTCTGCCCATAAATTTCTAATTTTATTGTTTATTATGCTTCCATATATAATAAATAAAGACATTGCAAAGTTATAACAAATTTGACCATATGGTTTACAAGCTAGGACAATTTTAGTAAACGCTTAAAAAAACTCTATCACAGAAATTGGACAAAATCCTATGTTAAAAAAATCACATTTTTTAATACGAAAAAAAATCATAACTATTTAACCGTTTGAGCTACATCAAAAGGGAAAACTGTTCTGTTATTGTAATTTTCTGCTCCTTTTAACTGTAGTAGTTGTTTCCCTAAAAAAACAATATTAAAAATTTATCCTAGTACCTAATTATTTATTAAAAATTAAATTCATTAGGCCTAGGGGCCTAGGCCTAAATGTAGGATTAGGCCCTATAGGCTATAGGCCTAGGTAAAACTCCATTTTAGCGTATTTTATTCGTTTACCTCCAGTTGAGTATTTTATTATAATAACCGAAACACACCAAAGCATTACAAAAATACTAAAATAGAAATGCATAATTTGTACAAATAAGTGTTCCAGTTTCAACTAAACTGAATAAAAGTATTAAAAGGCATAACAATGCTGCCGAAGGTGGGGGGGGGGGGGGTGGTGGAATTTGGTCATGATGTGTGGGTGAGAAATGGCTTGGAGTGTTAGAGAAAGTGTGACAGATTTTAATGCAAATATTATTAGTCGTAGCTTAAAAATATAAGCCTGGGCCCTCAATGATGGAGAATATAATATATATTCCCTTTAGTTTGAAGTTCATTGATAGGTTTACTTTCTATAACATAAGACTTATGTTCAATTCATTATTGAGCGTACCTGCTTTTATTTTTAGTCATACCAGCCTATAGATCTAGCTTTAGTAAGGTTACATCAAACTATTTATTTTCCACAGTTTTGTACATTTTTAGTTTCGATTTTAAAAAGATTTTTTTGCAATTTGTGAATATAATTAAAGCCTTTTTCCTTTAAACTTTTGTTTACCTTTTCTTTTAGGATGAGCAAGAGGATGAGGTTGATGATGAAGCTCATGAAAAACTCCTCAAATCACTGTTTGGCTCTAAAAAGTATGTGACAAAATTTTTCTTTTCTGCCTTGTTAGTAGCTTATATTACCACATGATGTGATCCCAAAATTTTAAGGCTTTTGCTTTGTTTTTTACAACAACAAAATATTGAAATTGAAAATTGACTTGACTTAGTCCTTTTTGCTTTGGAACATAGGGCCTCCACCATTTCCTTCCATTTCATCCGATCCCCGGCGATTAATTTTGCCGTCTCCGAAATTAAAAATTGCAAATAGAAAATGAATTTAAAATTTTAAGATGTGACTCAAGTTGTTTTAATAATTTCAGAAACAGCAGCAAGTTGCGAGGTGTTGCATCCAGCAGCCTTGACCTTGCTGTACATGCAGGTGAAGGTAATCATCTCATGAGATATATCTCTGTTTACTGATACTTGAGAAATGTCTGTATCCACTTATCTCTGTTTACTGATACTTGAGAAATGTCTGTATCCACTTATCTCTGTTTACTGATACTTGAGAAATGTCTGTATCCACTTATCTCTGTTTACTGATACTTGAGAAATGTCTGTATCCACTAATCTCTCTCTGCATATCTGCTCAGATGTTACAAAGATCGGCCATGATGACCTCAAGTTGAAACGTAAAAGTGCTGCAGCTCAGCTGAAAAAGCCTCTCAGTGTTCTTGAAACTGAAAAGGTTTTATAGTTGTTGCTTTTTGTTTGCTTGATAATTACTTGCTGACTGAGGATCTAAAAACTAAATAAAAGATATTATTTTTTAAAGTTTGTATTGTTAGGTTCTACAATTCTCATGTTTAATAACTGTAGCTGGATTCTGCATCCCTAGGCCAAGCGTCATATCTCAAGAGAAACAATGGTAGCAGAGATGACCAAATGGGATCCTATTGTTAAAGAAATCAGATCAGTAAGTGCGGTTTTTTTTTGTCATACTAAATGTAGAGTTAAACACAAGTGCAGTCACTCAACTAAACAACAGGTGTTTATCACTACACAATGTTGCTAGATGAATATTGTAAGTCTAAAATGGTACAATGTGACGTGTGTAAAATGGTACAATGTGACGTGTGTAAAATGGTACAATGTGACGTGTGTAAAATGGTACAATGTGACTTGTGTAAAATGGTACAATGTGACGTGTGTAAAATGGTACAATGTGACGTGTGTAAAATGGTACAATGTGACGTGTGTAAAATGGTACAATGTGACGTGTGTAAAATGGTACAATGTGACGTGTGTAAAATGGTACAATGTGACGTGTGTAAAATGGTACAATGTGACTTGTGTCAAATGGTACAATGTGACATGTGTAAAATGGTACAATGTGACTTGTGTAAAATGGTACAATGTGACTTGTGTAAAATGGTACAATGTGACGTGTGTAAAATGGTACAATGTGACGTGTGTAAAATGGTACAATTTGACTTGTGTAAAATGGTACAATTTGACTTGTGTAAAATGGTACAATGTGACGTGTGTAAAATGGTACAATGTGACGTGTGTAAAATGGTACAATGTGACTTGTGTAAAATGGTACAATGTGACTTGTGTAAAATGGTACAATGTGACTTGTGTAAAATGGTACAATGTGACGTGTGTAAAATGGTACAATGTGACGTGTGTAAAATGGTACAATGTGACTTGTGTAAAATGGTACAATGTGACTTGTGTAAAATGGTACAATGTGACGTGTGTAAAATGGTACAATGTGACGTGTGTAAAATGGTACAATGTGACTTGTGTAAAATGGTACAATGTGACGTGTGTAAAATGGTACAATGTGACGTGTGTAAAATGGTACAATGTGACGTGTGTAAAATGGTACAATGTGACTTGTGTAAAATGGTACAATGTGACGTGTGTAAAATGGTACAATCCTTTTGTTTCAGGCCCCACAAATTGTCTACACCTCTAGACCTCATGGTCTCAAGATGCATGCTGCGCTGCAACCCAAACAGTTTACGGTATGTTTCCTGTTGTTACACTGATGAATAGGAACAGTTTTCGTCTCATTATTTACTTCACTGTACAGATTCTGTTTCTTGCTTAAGGGATGTTTGTTGCCTAAATGTGTACCTTATGCTGCCTATTGCCTAAGTGTGTACCTTATCCTGTCTATTGCCTAAGTGTGTAATTTATGCTGCCTATTGCCTAAGTGTGTACCTTATGCTGCCTATTGCCTAAGTGTGTACCTTATGTTTGTTGTATGTATCCGTGTAGCCGCGCACATCGCTGGAACAAGAGATCTACGCTGCTCTGGGTAAAAGTTCAGATGTTCTTAAGACAAACCAGGAGCTGACAGAGACAGAGGCCAGAGCACTCAAAGCTATGTCTGTTAAAGAGGTAGCCACTTGTTGTCATCATGTCTGTTAAAGAGATAGCCACTTGTTGTCATCATGTCTGTTAAAGAGGTAGCCACTTGTTGTCAGCATGTCTGTTAAAGAGGTAGCCACTTGTTGTCATCATGTCTGTTAAAGAGGTAGCCACTTGTTGTCATCATGTCTGTTAAAGAGGTAGCCACTTGTCAGCATGTCTGTTAAAGAGGTAGCCACTTGTTGTCATCATGTCTGTTAAAGAGGTAGCCACTTGTTGTCATCATGTCTGTTAAAGAGGTAGCCACTTGTCAGCATGTCTGTTAAAGAGGTAGCCACTTGTTGTCAGCATCATGTCTGTTAAAGAGGTAGCCACTTGTTGTCATCATCATTGCCACTGTTCTCACCCAACGTCCACAGTTCAATTTTGTAACTCACTTAGTTCAAATTATGTTAACATCCCCAAAGCTAATGATTGCCATAATTCAATGTTAACATCCCCAGTACAATTGACATAGTTCAATGTTAACATCCCCAGTACAATTAACATAGTTCAATGTTAACATCCCCAGTACAATTGTTATAGTTCAATGTTAACATCCCCTTACAATTGTTATAGTTCAATGTTAACATCCCCTTACAATTGAATTAGTTCAATGTTAACATCGCTGGTACAATTGACATAGTTCAATGTTAACATCCCCAGTACATTTGCCATAGTTCAATGTTAACATCCCAAGTTACTCTGTTCCAGGCAAAAGCCAGGAGGGAGGAGCTACTCAAGCATCATGAATTGTTGACTAGAATGGAGAAAAAAGCCAAACGTGTCAAAAAAATCAAAAGCAAAAGGTTTTTCATTTCTCTGTTTCTTTAACACTCAGTAGAGATAGCGTGTCCTAGCGGTAGAGAGCTAGACTTCTAACCCTGAGAGTCTTGAGTTCAATTATGGATGACTGGTATGGCCTTTGTATATAGGCCCATATGTTGTTTTGAAAAGCAAAGAGCATCTGTTGAATAAAAATGTGATGTTTTTATTTATTTCCTATAGTTGTTTATGTTATAACAATGGACTGCCCTAAACAGGTACAGGAAACTACTGAAAAATGAAAGGATAAACAATGAGAAAAAACAGCTGGAACAGCTGCAGAAAACAAACCCCGAGGCTTTCTTAGAGAAGTTAGAACTTTTGGAGAGAAATAGAATGGAGGTAAGACTATCTTAGAGAAGTTAGAACTTTTGGAGAGAAATAGAATGGAGGTAAGACTATCTCAACGCTGGCTTTTGTAAACCTAAAATTTTTCTAAACTCTAATGTAATCCCAAAATTTGATGAGAATGCTGAGAATGAACAATGTTTAGACCATATTGATTTGATTCCCTCAGGAACGTCTGACACTCAAGCATAAAGGTGGAGGAAGGTTCTCTCGACTTCACAAAGCTTACAGTAAATTTGATGATAAGGTTGGTACGGGGAGTCTTTTGTCAACTCTGGTGTTGTGGCATGGTCTCCTCTTTCATCAAGTACCTCAATGTTTCATACAAACATGAGCACCTCAATGTTTCATACAAACATCAAGTACCTCAATGTTTCATACAAACATCAAGTACCTCAATGTTTCATACAAACATCAAGTACCTCAATGTTTCATACAAACATCAAGTACCTCAATGTTTCATACAAACATGAGTACCTCAATGTTTCATACAAACATGAGAGTGCTGTAAAATATAAACTTGTATTTGTTATCAAGTACCTCAATGTTTCATACAAACATGAGTACCTCAATGTTTCATACAAACATGAGAGTGCTGTAAGAAATAAACTTGTATTTGTTATCAAGTACCTCAATGTTTCATACAAACATGAGAGTGCTGTAAGAAATAAACTTGTATTTGTTATCAAGTACCTCAATGTTTCATACAAACATGAGAGTGCTGTAAGAAATAAACTTGTATTTGTTATCAAGTACCTCAATGTTTCATACAAACATGAGAGTGCTGTAAGAAATAAACTTGTATTTGTTATCAAGTACCTCAATGTTTCATACAAACATGAGAGTGCTGTAAAAAATAAACTTGTATTTGTTATCAAGTACCTCAATGTTTCATACAAACATGAGCACCTCAATGTTTCATACAAACATGAGAGTGCTGTAAGAAATAAACTTGTATTTGTTATCAAGTACCTCAATGTTTCATACAAACATGAGAGTGCTGTAAGAAATAAACTTGTATTTGTTATCAAGTACCTCAATGTTTCATACAAACATGAGTACCTCAATGTTTCATACAAACATGAGAGTGCTGTAAGAAATAAACTTGTATTTGTTATCAAGTACCTCAATGTTTCATACAAACATGAGAGTGCTGTAAAATATAAACTTGTATTTGTTATCAAGTACCTCAATGTTTCATACAAACATGAGTACCTCAATGTTTCATACAAACATGAGAGTGCTGTAAGAAATAAACTTGTATTTGTTATCAAGTACCTCAATGTTTCATACAAACATGAGTACCTCAATGTTTCATACAAACATGAGAGTGCTGTAAAAAATAAACTTGTATTTGTTATCAAGTACCTCAATGTTTCATACAAACATGAGCACCTCAATGTTTCATACAAACATGAGAGTGCTGTAAGAAATAAACTTGTATTTGTTATCAAGTACCTCAATGTTTCATACAAACATGAGAGTGCTGTAAGAAATAAACTTGTATTTGTTATCAAGTACCTCAATGTTTCATACAAACATGAGAGTGCTGTAAAATATAAACTTGTATTTGTTATCAAGTACCTCAATGTTTCATACAAACATGAGAGTGCTGTAAAATATAAACTTGTATTTGTTATCAAGTACCTCAATGTTTCATACAAACATGAGCACCTCAATGTTTCATACAAACATGAGAGTGCTGTAAGAAATAAACTTGTATTTGTTATCAAGTACCTCAATGTTTCATACAAACATGAGAGTGCTGTAAAATATAAACTTGTATTTGTTATCAAGTACCTCAATGTTTCATACAAACATGAGCACCTCAATGTTTCATACAAACATGAGAGTGCTGTAAAAAATAAACTTGTATTTGTTATCAAGTACCTCAATGTTTCATACAAACATGAGAGTGCTGTAAAAAATAAACTTGTATTTGTTATCAAGTACCTCAATGTTTCATACAAACATGAGCACCTCAATGTTTCATACAAACATGAGAGTGCTGTAAAAAATAAACTTGTATTTGTTATCAAGTACCTCAATGTTTCATACAAACATGAGAGTGCTGTAAAATATAAACTTGTATTTGTTATCAAGTACCTCAATGTTTCATACAAACATGAGCACCTCAATGTTTCATACAAACATGAGAGTGCTGTAAAAAATAAACTTGTATTTGTTATCAAGTACCTCAATGTTTCATACAAACATGAGTACCTCAATGTTTCATACAAACATGAGAGTGCTGTAAGAAATAAACTTGTATTTGTTATCAAGTACCTCAATGTTTCATACAAACATGAGTACCTCAATGTTTCATACAAACATGAGAGTGCTGTAAAAAATAAACTTGTATTTGTTATCAAGTACCTCAATGTTTCATACAAACATGAGCACCTCAATGTTTCATACAAACATGAGAGTGCTGTAAGAAATAAACTTGTATTTGTTATCAAGTACCTCAATGTTTCATACAAACATGAGAGTGCTGTAAGAAATAAACTTGTATTTGTTATCAAGTACCTCAATGTTTCATACAAACATGAGAGTGCTGTAAAATATAAACTTGTATTTGTTATCAAGTACCTCAATGTTTCATACAAACATGAGAGTGCTGTAAAATATAAACTTGTATTTGTTATCAAGTACCTCAATGTTTCATACAAACATGAGCACCTCAATGTTTCATACAAACATGAGAGTGCTGTAAAAAATAAACTTGTATTTGTTATCAAGTACCTCAATGTTTCATACAAACATGAGCACCTCAATGTTTCATACAAACATGAGAGTGCTGTAAAAAATAAACTTGTATTTGTTATCAAGTACCTCAATGTTTCATACAAACATGAGCACCTCAATGTTTCATACAAACATGAGAGTGCTGTAAGAAATAAACTTGTATTTGTTATCAAGTACCTCAATGTTTCATACAAACATGAGAGTGCTGTAAGAAATAAACTTGTATTTGTTATCAAGTACCTCAATGTTTCATACAAACATGAGAGTGCTGTAAGAAATAAACTTGTATTTGTTATCAAGTACCTCAATGTTTCATACAAACATGAGAGTGCTGTAAGAAATAAACTTGTATTTGTTATCAAGTACCTCAATGTTTCATACAAACATGAGAGTGCTGTAAGAAATAAACTTGTATTTGTTATCAAGTACCTCAATGTTTCATACAAACATGAGCACCTCAATGTTTCATACAAACATGAGAGTGCTGTAAGAAATAAACTTGTATTTGTTATCAAGTACCTCAATGTTTCATACAAACATGAGCACCTCAATGTTTCATACAAACATGAGAGTGCTGTAAGAAATAAACTTGTATTTGTTATCAAGTACCTCAATGTTTCATACAAACATGAGCACCTCAATGTTTCATACAAACATGAGAGTGCTGTAAGAAATAAACTTGTATTTGTTATCAAGTACCTCAATGTTTCATACAAACATGAGCACCTCAATGTTTCATACAAACATGAGAGTGCTGTAAGAAATAAACTTGTATTTGTTATCAAGTACCTCAATGTTTCATACAAACATGAGCACCTCAATGTTTCATACAAACATGAGAGTGCTGTAAGAAATAAACTTGTATTTGTTATCAAGTACCTCAATGTTTCATACAAACATGAGAGTGCTGTAAGAAATAAACTTGTATTTGTTATCAAGTACCTCAATGTTTCATACAAACATGAGAGTGCTGTAAAAAATAAACTTGTATTTGTTATCAAGTACCTCAATGTTTCATACAAACATGAGAGTGCTGTAAGAAATAAACTTGTATTTGTTATCAAGTACCTCAATGTTTCATACAAACATGAGAGTGCTGTAAGAAATAAACTTGTATTTGTTATCAAGTACCTCAATGTTTCATACAAACATGAGTACCTCAATGTTTCATACAAACATGAGAGTGCTGTAAGAAATAAACTTGTATTTGTTATCAAGTACCTCAATGTTTCATACAAACATGAGAGTGCTGTAAAATATAAACTTGTATTTGTTATCAAGTACCTCAATGTTTCATACAAACATGAGTACCTCAATGTTTCATACAAACATGAGAGTGCTATAAAAAATAAACTTGTATTTGTTATCAAGTACCTCAATGTTTCATACAAACATGAGAGTGCTGTAAGAAATAAACTTGTATTTGTTATCAAGTACCTCAATGTTTCATACAAACATGAGTACCTCAATGTTTCCTACAAACATGAGAGTGCTGTAAGAAATAAACTTGTATTTGCAGACAAGGGAAGCAGTGAATGATATGTTACAGAAAGGTAAAGAGCTGACCAAGAAATATCAGGATGCAGATTCCAGTGAAGAAGAAGCAAGTGAGATCCCTGCCAGCATTGAGCCAGCACAACCAGCTCTTGGGTCAACACCTACCCCAGTGACACTCGTAAACCTTAGGTCTTTAAACAAACAAGCCATTGAATGGCTGGAGGGACCCAAGAAAGACAGTGAGAAACCTCCTGATGGGGTGCCAGCATCAGCCGCCAGTCAGCTGACAAACCTAGTCCTGGCTTCTGGTACAGACACTAATGGGCTCACACCCCCAGTGGCACACAACTCTCCTATCAGATCAACAGAAGGCCACACCACCACACATGGCAATGAGGGGTGCCAGGATGAACCAGAAGCAAAAAAAGTTGCCCAGCTCCCAGCTGTGGAGAAACAGAAGAGAAAAAGGAAAAAGAAAACAGCTCCACAAGTGGAGGAAAAATCTTGCAAGCCGGTCACAGAGACTACACTAGCAGTATCCCCAGCCAACAGGGTGGAGGGGGAGGACTTCTCTGCCACCATGGAGGAGCTGTTCAATGACGAGGATGTTGTGGAGGAGTTCAGCAAGGAGAAAGCTGAGATGGAAGGAAGGAAGAAGTTGAAACTTGACACTAAACTTCCTGGCTGGGGAAACTGGGCTGGTCCAGACTATAAAACTAGCAAGAATCCCAGACCGGCTGTCAGGTCAGTCTCCTGCAGACTTTATTTTCTGACGACTTTGTTTTCTGACGACTTTGTTTTCTGACGAATTTGTGGTTGTTTTCTGACGATTTTGTGGTTGTTTTCTGACGACTTTGTGGTTGTTTTCTGGAGACTTTGTCGTTGTTTTCTGACGACTTTGTGGTTGTTTTCTGACGGCTTTGTGGTTGTTTTCTGACGACTTTGTGGTTCTTTTCTGACGACTGTGTCGTTGTTTACTGACGACTTTGTCGTTGTTTTCTGCTGTCTGAGATTGTTAGTGTAAATTAATAAACAACCAGTGACAAAAGATTTTTTAGTCGTGGACAAACAGTAGATTTTATGTTTTAGTAAAGGACCATAGACAAAAGATTTTTTGTCGTGGACCAATGATAGAAGATTTTATGTGTTTTAGTAAAGGACACAAGACAAAAGAATTTTTAGTCAAAGACCGATGATAGATTTTTTATGTTTTAGTAAAAGACAAAATAATTTTTAGTCAAAGACCGATGATAGAAGATTTTATGTTTTAGTAAAGGACAAAAGAATTTTTAGTCAAAGACCAATGATAGATTTTTTATGTTTTAGTAAAGGACACAAGACAAAAGATTTCAAGCCTCAGCAAACAAAGGTCAAGCAACCTTTTGTGTGGATTAACCCCAGCCATGACGAGGCAATCAGGAAGCTGCAAGTAAGTTGCACTACATGAGTGTAGGAACACAGACTCAATGTTTACATTAGCAACTTTTATAACTATGAATAATTTTAAATATGTACGTAAAAAGCCAATGGATAGTTTTTAAAAAAAATGTATTTTTCAGCCCAAAAATGTTCCGTTCCCCTACACGTCAGTCCAGCAGTACGAGTCCTCCTTGCGCCAGCCAGTGTCTAGAGGTCTGGTGCCTGAGACAGCCACCAAACTTTTGGTCAAACCAGAAGTCATCACCAAACAAGGACACATTATCAAACCTTTGGACAAAGAAGATTTCCTCAAGAAAGATAAAAATATCTATGATGAGATTCCCATTAAGATTGTGAAGAAAAAAAATTAATGACTTCTAGAATTGTGTGTATAAACTTCTTAAAAAAATGAAAAAAAATAAAGTGGAGTGATCTCCTCTAAACCCTCACTATCTTTTTTTAACAGTTTTTTAACTTCCAGTGCAATCAGGCTAGAGAAATATAGAAGTTAGTAACAAAACTACTCATATTTTCAGAAAACACATAGAGGTGAAATTTTCTTGAAAATTCTTTATGAGAATATGAAATAAAATTCTGGAGGTCCTAGAGAAATAGGAAATGAGGCTCGATACCCAATTATAAAGCACTAATTTCCACTAGAATAATAGTATACGCATTTTAAATAGAATCCTGTAGAAAAATAAACAGTGCAACAAAAATAATGTAAAATTATCAAATTCTTATGGTTTTTATAATAGCGTAGAGTACTACTTACGGTTAATCGGAAATCACTAAACATTTTACAGTAGTTAAAGAACAGGATCTTATACGTGTGTATAAAATTTCGTCTACCAAACTGAAATTGTACTCAAATTATAAGTAATTGAAAAAATCTGAAACCTACTAAAGTATCACTTCCTTCTCAACCAAACTGAGCCAGTACTCAAGTCATTGTGTTGACTTACACAGATGGACAGGATGGCAAAATTCTGACATTGGGAGGTGCAAAACATCAAAATTTGTGAATAATCTTGATTTAGATTACAATGCATCCATTATATTTGATTTAGATTACAATGCATCCATTATATTTGGTTTAGATTACAATGCATCCATCATGTATGCAAAAAGTAGGGAGTTGTAAAGCTGAAAACGGTATCTATTATTTTGATAGTTCAGCAGGATTACAATGCTTCTCTAAACTCTTTACCAGAAAGTAAAAAAGTGCTCTAGCCATTCCCCCCCCCCCCCCCCCCCATGAGATTTTTTCTTGAGATGTAAAATTTAAGATTCTCAGGTGTAAGCTGATAATGAGACATTCCAGATATAGGTCGTTGACATTAAGACTTAAAGACAAAAAAAAACATCTGTGAGAAAATTATTTTATTTGTTGAATGTTTTACACAAAAACACATGATAGAGTACAAAAGTAGTTCCTTAATATCAGTTTTTAACAGTTAACAAATGAATTTCAGAGGTAACATTGATTATTATGCCTTATTTAAAACATGGCTATCTTTCTTGAATTAGAAGACAAGTAATTTCTGCATCCCAAGATAAATGAAATTTATTTTTCTGGTTCAGGAAGGTGCATTAGAGCAAAATGGTGCAAATGTACCAGTGGCTTTAGTGAGATGTCTAACAATGTCTACACTGTAGGTCCTTTCAAGTTTCACTCTGTATTGGAGGGCAGACCATACTTAGTGCCTGAGCACAAAATTAAAGAACGTTAGATAGACCCACTGAATCAGGTGTACATGAACATTAGATAGACCCACTGAATCAGGTGTACATGAACATTAGATAGACCCACTGAATCAGGTGTACATGAACATTAGACAGACCCACTGAATCAGGTGTACATGAACATTAGATAGACCCACTGAATCAGGTGTACATGAATATCTTGGTCAAGGACCAGAGATATTGTGTCCTAATAAAATACAGCATGACAAAAATGTCCAATCCTGTACACAAATGCATGTGTCTGTGATGTAAGAATGCATCATATTAATGCATATGGAATTAGGTCCAAGATTTTTTTGCCTGTGCGTATGGTCCTTAGATGCTGGGTTTGACATACAATGACATATGAATGTTAAAAGGACATATGAATGTTATTTGATTGGGTGTTAATACTGATGTGATTGTGACATCAAAAACATAGACTAAAACATAATCAAAATATCTTTGGTTTAAGAGTAGGTTATGGTGGGTTTTTCTTCCGATTATATTTGCCTGTATGTTAGTTCGCATATGGTTCATAAAAATCTGTTTGTTCCCATAAGGTACATGTAAATCTGTTTGTTCCCATAAGGTACATGTAAATCTGTTTGTTCCCAGATGTGGTTAGAGATTCTATAGATAAGCTGTAAATGCTAACAATCTTAACAAAATCAAACACATTTGTTCTGGAATATCAACAAGTATGTACAGAAGAGCAGATTAAAAAAAAACCAAAACAGTTACAATAGAAAACCTGGCTGTGTCCTCTCCCTTCAAACACATCCAGCTGACACTAAGAGTGGATCAGCTCTTTCTCTCATTGTAGAATCTCCTCACCTAATACATAGCTGGTATGTACAAAATAAAGTAGGCTAGTATGGGTAAATAGATAACAGTTGATGGAGAAATTGACAGATGTCATAAAATTTTAGGGTTAATGACCTGAAGCTGGTATGGAGCTGAGCTAATATGGCCGCCACACACTGACTTGACTCGTCTGTTCCTCATGATTTCTGCGAGGGATGGGCAGTGGGCAAGTTTCATGCTTCCAGGTGGGGGGTGATGTGGGGCTGCTGCCAGAATACTGGCTGGCGTCAGAGTGCAGCGCCACCCCAGTCAAGTCCATGTCCGACATCCTCTGGTCCAGCATGTTCCTGCTTGTATAAGAAATGGGGATGGGTTTTTCAATTCTTGTTCCCTGAGCTTTGGGAGAGTGCTGACCACTGTACATTTTCTCTTCACACGGGCGGGAATCCTGATAGTCACTGCCTTCATAGCAGCCCCTGGACAGGCTTTCATAGCAGCCCCTTGACAGGCTTTCATAGCAGCCCCTTGACAGGCTTTCATAGCAGCCCCTTGACAGGCGCCGCTTGAAGTATTTGCCATCTGTTGATGAGCGGGACTGGTCAATTATCTCAAAACTTTTCTCATAGTTTTTCTCATAATTTCTCTCATCATTTTTCTCATAGTTTTTCGGGTGCCCCAGAATTTCATAGGTCTTGTCCCCGGCTGGCAGGAGGAGCTGTGATTTGTTTTGAGGGAAGAAAGTGGGGTAGTAGAAGGAGCTGTGTAGCAGCTGGGATGGAGAAACTGTCAGGAAGGAGGTGGAGAGGGATTCTGGACTGGTCCTGGAGGAGATTGTAAGAACTGGTAAAGATGAATGTCCGGCTGAGGAAGAATGTGTCGTTATGGTCATTCTATCCCCTGCAGGGAAAGGTTTAGGCTCTTGAGAAGGCACTGGATGAAAGACATGGGCGCCTTGATCAAGTATTTTCACTTGGGTGTCTGACTTGAAGTGGCTGTGTTCAGACAAGGAGAGGTTGATGGCGTGGCTGTCTGAGGAGCTTCTGGCAGAGCTGGGGACTCTGCCATCACAACCATAGAATGAAACTCTGCTGTCAGAGCTTAGGTGTCTCACCTCACCTCTGCTGGAAATAACAGGCACTGACATCAGTGAGAAGGAGTGCCTGTTGAGCTCTGGCTTGGCTAAGCTTAGATGATGGCTGTCATCATCAGAAACTATCTTACCGTTGGAGGGGGAGGATGCAAGCATCAAAACTTTTCTTTCACTGGAATAAAGTGGTTCTGGTAAGCGAGGTTCAGAGAGCCGCAGGTCAGAGCCACTTGTAAGAGATGGGAGCATTGGATGGGGCTCCAGGTGATGTCTAAGTGGCTGCTCAAAGCTGAGCCGGGGGGGTGACTGGTCTAGAGAGTATCTGGCAGGAGGGTAAGGTTCATAGACAGACAGTTTCTCCTCTGGACTGGCCTCCACCCCACCAAGATGTTTGGCCTCCAGCCCACCAAGATGGGAATGGTGCACTGTCTCTCCCAACTGGCCGGCGCTGTCTGTGGGGATGTCTAAAGGTGGCTCTGGTCTGTCTGGCAGCAGGGCTGAGTTCCTCACATGCTCTGGCAGTGAAGGTGAGAGATGTGGCCTTCCCTTCTGGTCCTTGTAGATGGCCATACTAGACTGGTTGCTGATGACGTAATCATACGGGGCTGGCGCTGAGGTGCGTGGGAAATCATCAGGTTCAACAGCTGGACCTGTGTCAGGCAAGTTGGAGATCATTAGCAAATCAATCAACACTTTTATCAGATCAAAAATTAAGTCAGCACTTTTTTACAGGAAAATTACAATGTCAAATTTTTTTTTTAAATGGAGAATGAACATTTTGGTTTGAATTTCTTTTATTTTGCTTGCATCATATCACAAAGTTGACAAATTTAGAAAAAGCACATTTCAAAAATGTGCTTCAGAAAAAATAAATTGAAGTTTAAAAAATTAAAATGTAAAAAAAAATATGGCATTGAGATGAGTGTAATTTAATAGATGCATTATTATATTTGTGTTAAGATCAGTGTGTAATATGATCGACCCATGATTGTATTTTTGAGATCATGTATGTCAGTCCAGAATTAACTAAAAAGAAAACAACAATGCAACATCATATTTCATAAAAACATTTTTTTTTGTTTCTTTATTAAATGAAATAGAATTCATTTTACTACGGCTGGTGTAAGGTAACCAACCTAATAAACACTGCTTATGTTCTAGTATCAGTCTATAGTGTTGCTGGCTAAATTCTTATATCAGTGATGTTGCTGGCTAAGTCAAGTAAGAAGTTATGATGTTGCTGGCTAAGTCAAGTAAGAAGTTATGATGTTGCTGGCTAAGTCAAGTAAGAAGTTATGATGTTGCTGGCTAAGTCAAGTAAGAAGTTATGATGTTGCTGGCTAAGTCAAGTAAGAAGTTATGATGTTGCTGGCTAAGTCAAGTAAGAAGTTATGATGTTGCTGGCTAAGTCAAGTAAGAAGTTATGATGTTGCTGGCTAAGTCAAGTAAGAAGTTATGATGTTGCTGGCTAAGTCAAGTAAGAAGTTATGATGTTGCTGGCTAAGTCAGGTAAGAAGTTGTGATGTTGCTGGCTAAGTCAAGTAGGAAGTTATGATGTTGCTGGATATTCTAGTAAGAAGTTATGATGTTAAAATGGCTAGAAAGTTGTGAAGATGGCTGTAAACTATCCCTCTCTAAATCAATGCTGTTGACCAAGTAACTGACCAGGTTCAAAGTGTCTAGCTAAAAAATGACCAGTGACCAGATGAGCCATTTACCTTTAAAGATTTCCTCCCTATGTGGGCTGCAAGATATTCCTCTCATCTCATTGCTGTATGCCACTGGTTCATATCCCCATGACCTTTGACCTAAAATTATTTGTTATTAGTTGATTGCCGTTCTTTGACTTGAGGATTTTATTGAGATGGAGCTTTAAAACAATCTGGCTGCCCATTTAGGATTGTTTCGTTAGGATAGGTTGGGACTCGCTAAGAATACTTAATCATTATTTTTACCAGATATTTTTTAGTTCCTTTGTATAAAAATCAAAATTGTGTGAGTCTATTTTAAATTATATTGACCCACCTATGGGTGTTGAATATCCACTACCATCCAGATCAGTACTCTGAACATCCATGACTCGATCTGGGGACTGGCCATGGCGGAAGTGCTGTGGATGCTCCCGTAGGTGCCAGTTCCTCTCCTGATACTGCGTGTGATGGTCTTGGGGGCTTCCATTACTGCTGTGGTGTTGCCTGATGCGATCAAGGTCAGCAAAGTGTGCCAACTGTCTCTCTCTCAAAGGGTCAGGCAAACTGCTGGACACTTCAATGGAGCGATGATGGTGAATGTGACGATCATCTGTGTGTAATTCTAAACATAAACATATTTCTTGTTTCAGTTTTTATCCCAATAACCATGTAAGCTAAAATATTTAAAAAATATAGATGGCACCAGTTTTCACAAATAAAAAAAGTAGAAGTAAAATACACTAGAGCAGAAATGGTTTAGACTGCTAGATACACCTTTTTTGTTTTAAACTGCTGGATTACATCTGTTTGTTTTAGACTGCTGGATTACATCTTTTTGTTTTAGACTGCTGGATTACATGTTTTTTTTTTGTTTTATATCTTTTGTCTTTTATATCTAGGTCTAAAAATGTATGAATGTTGGCTACTTTATCTCTATACTTAAATCAATGTGAAAAAATGTAAAAGGATATAAAAAGTTAAGTGCTTAGCCTTTGCATAAAAATCATGATTAAATTAAATTTATAAAAACTAAATTGAAATCAGAGTAAAATCTGAACAAAAAAAATTATGATTAAATGGCTTTAAATCTTAAACAATTCTCTTTATTTTAATAGGTGCATAAAAATTGTTTTCCTTCATTATGCCTAGGTCACAGGTCAATAGTCTCTACAGTTGTGTTAACCTCCTAATTCAAAGATTATAATAGATCTATATACTTTTAAATTTAATGATCTAAAATTGTTCAATTAAATTATCTGACATTAAAGATTGTCACATATACTAAAACTTTTCATTACTACTATGACAAAATATTGAACTACTAATACTACTATTAATACTGATATGATAAATATTTGTATACTTCTTTTTTAAAAAAACCCCAACATATTACTTATATAGGTGGAACGAGAAGAGCTTTAAATAGATAACATTGTGAATTTTAAAATAATGAATAAAATAATGAATATGCAATGCACCAAACTTGCTAGCAGCATAATTGGAGAAGTTTATGATTATCAAAAAATATTGATATTTCTTTTTAGAAGAAGGTGTACAACAGGAGTTGTCCTCCGCTGGTATTGTATTCCTCAAACACAGCCATTGAGGAAAAAAATCAAAATAATTTTAAGTTAAAGTAGGGCAAAAAATTGCAGTAGTTTTCCCATTTGAAATTTAAAAAATTAATAAATTGTTGAAAATTGATGATGGAAATGTTTTAAATTTATTGCAGTTTTTTCCCATGGAGTCCCGGTGAGATAGATCTAGTGATTAATCTTAGATTCTAGTTATAGTGAGAAAGACAAGAAAGTAGCATAATAATTTAATAATAATTATAATAATTAATAATTATTATTTTAATATTCAACATCACAGGCATTAGGGCCTACAAAGGCAGGTTAAGTCTGATGGTCGCCTTGATTGGGGGGGGGGGGGGCATCATATGCTAAACAAAACTTACTGGTCTTACTTCTGGGTTCTCGTGGTCCGTCCACGGTAACTTTGATGGCTTTTTGATATAGGGCAATCTGCGGAGGGTTGGTGAACACAGCTATTGTCAGTGTGAAGCTTTTTCCTGGAAATATTTAAAAAGTAGGACTGGAGTCATAGTTGTAAAAATAAAATGAATACATTACCCTTATACTTTATAGTATACCTTTTAAAAATTGGGCTCAGCAGATTACTCTTAAGTTAAATATTAATAAATAATGTTGATGTGTGGCTTACTTTGAGTGAAATGAGTGTGCTATGTGGATTAAGTTAAATGATTGCTCTATAAACTGTATATGTTGTTGACCTTTGTCTCTGCAGATCTCTGAGCCAGGAAGCAGACAATGAGAAATGGAAAAATCCGTGCGCATAGAGTTCATTATTTCTGGAGAATTTGGGTGCTTATTCGATCTTCTTTCCATCATAGATGGTAATCGTTCACCTCTTAGAATCCATTGCGATGGGTGATGGCCAAAGGGCACAAACCCATCAATGCAATCAATATTCAGGGAGAAGACTCTGCAGTTTTCTATTTAGATTTCATCGCTCATTAACAGTTCATTTTTTCCCTTAAGACGTGTGGGAAAAAATATAATGATCTGCCGTGATAATTGGACTTCGTGTTTACTTTGTCGAGCGGACGGTTATTTGTTATCAGTACGGAAAGGTTTGGTGAGTTACGTTGGCCATCGTGTTTTGGATCGCAGGCGACAGGTCAAAACTGTGAAAACAATCTGTGTTTAATGAGCCCTTATTTTAGAAAAATGTACTTAAAATGTTGAGTTTTGCGATTATGCTTTAGTTCTATTTTCCCATCTAAGCACCTAAATACACAAATTTCTCTCAAACCGCGCACTCCGTGATTGGTGTAATGAAAGGATAAGATCTTACCACGCCTCGAAGACCTAAGACTAATCTTCCCCTTACAATGCGAGGCTTAGTTTTTCCAACGAACGACGCCCGGGCAGCTGGCTAGCCTCGATGACACACACGAGTAACGAAGACTGAATAATAATTAGGTTTCCTTCATCACCCCTACCCGTTTAGTCATATTTTTTTGTTCCGTGATTTTTCGCTTTCACGAAATTTTTAAAATTAATTTTTGGGGAATCGATACCACGTTTAAGCACAACAATGAGTAATCGGATATTTTGTTCCTACATTTTTGTTCTTATTGTTTATTGTTTCAATATTATTTTGGATAAAACAAACAAAAAATATTTTAATATAAGTAGTTTAAAAGAATTAATTTTTGTGACTAAGAAATTCATTTGATCTTGGCGACACCAGAATTTTATTAAAGTTTTAAATCCAAACAACTATTATGATTGTAGGTTTGTAGTGTAGCCTACAAAATAGTTATAATATTATACTTATTAATTATATTAATAAACGAGAAAAATGGCCCGTTGAGGAAGGGTACAACGGGCGCTAGGCTGATAGTGCTGTCTCTTTTCTCTAAACTAAAACCAACCCACCCCCCCCACACACCACCCCCACCCCACCCCCCCCCCACCCCCACACACCACCCCCACCCCCACCCCCCACCACACACCACCCCCAACCCAACCCCTCAACCCCACACACACCACCCCCACCCCCCACCACACACCACCCCCCACCCCCACCCCTCACCCCCACACACCACCCCCTCCACACACCGCCCCCCCACCCCCCACCCCCCCCCCCCCCCAAAAAAAAACATGTCTACCGTCCCATTCAACGAAATATAATTATATACTTTTTCCAGTGTCCGCCCCCTCCCAGAAAATTCTACCCCCGCCCCCGAAAATTTCAAGTACCCCCACCCCTCTCCGGGGAGGAAAAAGTCTGAAAGAAACACTGAAACCAACCCACACACCACACACCACCCCCCCCCCCCACACACCACCCCCCCCCCCCACCCCCCCCCCCACACCCACCCCTCCACCCCCCCCCCCCCCCAAAAAAACATGTCTACCGTCCCCATTGCAAGAAAACCACTTTTTAGATTAGACACATTAATTAGGCGGTAATTTTATTATAGAGTATCGATGAGGAAATTTCTTTTGAGTTGTGGAGGGGGTGGGGCTTCGCCCCTACCCGAAGAATTGTATGCAAGAAACTCTTCACGCAAACCACTTAGATTAGACCAAATTGCCTTTGTATTGAATATGTTTACTCGATAATCAATGACGTCATATAACTGTGTGCACTCTCTGGGTTTGAGATTATTTTCTACTCTGTGCGCTAAATGTGTCGACGTCATACTTCGTTTTTCGAATTACTGTGCATGTTTTTAAATTGCTTGTCTTTTCTCTAGAGCGTTCTTGTCAGACAGATAGATAGATAGAGAGACAGCGAAACTATTATTATAGATAAGGGTCGATTAACATAAAAGAGAGTGATGGTTTCAAATTTTGCATTTTGACTTTCAAGTATAAACAATTCATTATTCAGTAATGATACATAAGAACTTCTAATGTTGGTTTAAAAAAGTGGTAGATCTAGATTCAGGTTCTATAATACCGATTGTCCTTCGATACTAGGCCAAGCAGTAGCAGACGCTAATTTAACCTAATCAAGATTGGCTAGCTCTCAAATCTAGACTAGTTCTCTAGATCTAGTATTATTAAGTCTATACTTATATTAGATCTAGGATAATCTAGTAGATTCTAGATGAGTTAATGTGGCTAGCAAAAAGAAAAATTCTAAAGTAAGTTGATACGTTATTTTAAAAAAGATCTCCGCGGGCCGTAGTTTGGAGACCCCTGGTCTAGCTACTGTAGCTAGCCCAACCTTACCATTAGGCATTAGGAATTGTTTTTATGGCGTGCGTGGAAATATTCAAATATCTAGACATCAGAAATAGACAGGGCTCTGTGCGTATATTAAATAATAATTTGAGCTGGCAAAGAGTGGCGGGGCTTAACTTTTCGCCAGTGCACTTTTAGCATCAGTGGTGGGGCTTATCTGGACAAGATCCCAATTATCACAACAACAAAACGTCAGAGGAAAGTCGTCCTATCAGAGCAGACGTGCTCAACTCGTCTGCCTACTTGACCAGACGTGTGTTGCTTTTTGTCCTCACTCAATAAGCAATCAAACTGTCCCCAGTCTTTCGCCATGTACATACGGATATTTGAGTAACAAATTGTTTTTAAAACATGAATTTTTCTTCCTGATACTGAATCACAGTCACACACATCTTCTTTGCCAGCGGTGTTATTGGCCCAACCATTCACAAAAATTCATCTCCACCAGACATACCGTTGGGTAATTCACGGAGACAATGACTTTTTTTCTCGGTAGAAAAAGCAATAAATTAATAGACAACCAGGTACAAAAACACAACGATGGAAAAAGTGGGGAGTTTTAATTTAAACACAGTATAATCCACGCATGACGTTCACATTGGGGGGGGGGGGGGGGGGGAAGGGGGGGGGGATAGGAGCCCCACATAAAAACGTTTCACGTGCAGTATCCGCGTTTCGGCTCAGTGGGTAATTAAGTTACTTGTAACATACGTAACCCAGCGGCAAGCGATTGATGAACGAAAATAAAATCAGTGGTCAGAAGCTTGACGTGGCCTTGTGGTTTATTTAATTATAATCTTGTTTATGACTACTAAAAATTGTTTTTAAACTTCTACTTCGATGCCAAAAAAACACTCAATACACAGAATCAGTTTTATTGGAATGGATGAGCCCTCGGTAGATGACACAATATGAGACCGCCTAAGGACAGACAACTTGATGGGGGAGGAGCGCTAGTGGGCGTGTGTTGCTGTAGTCACAACATATGGCCCGCCTAGGGCTCCGTCCAGCCAGAATCCCCCAGGGTGGGGCATTATGCAATGCGCGAGATGCTGCAATCGATGTACATCTGCCGAACTAAGACATCGATTGGTACATTTTAATCTCAGCAATTAAAGCATGTTCTCCTCGTCCTCCACGACTTCACCAGGTGAAGCCGCTAATTGCAGCTCACGTGGCTCCGGTGCTGGCATCAGTCCGACTTGTCACATGTCACGATTGATCTTCCGCAACACTGCTAGATAATGCTACCTAGCTGCCGTGCTGCCTAGCTGCCTAATTTCCTTAACATCAATCCCTTTAAAGCCAGCTGACCGATAGAGACACGAGAGAGAAAGGAGGTTTTTTGCTTGTCTGGCTAATTTGTGTCAACAAACCTTTATTGACTGTTGTTTTATTAATAACTCCAAGGCAGCAGGCTATTGATTTTTCTAAACATTTCTAGCAGACAATATCAACACACTAGTTTTAATGTAAGTGCTAGCATACGGTATCAACACACTAGTTTTAATGTAAGTGCTAGCATACGGTATCAACACACTAGTTTTACTTACGTGCTAGCATACGATATCAACACACTAGTTTTACTTACGTGCTAGCATACGGTATCAACACACTAGATTTAATGTAAGTGCTAGCATACGATATCAACACACTAGTTTTAATTATATGCTAGCAGACAATATCAACACACTAGTTTTAACGTAGGTGCTAGCATACAATAACAAACACATTAGTTTTAACGTAGGTGCTAGCATACGATATCAACACACTAGTTTTAACGTAGGTGCTAGCATACGATATCAACACACTAGTTTTAACGTAGGTGCTAGCATACGGTATCAACACACTAGTTTTAACGTAGGTGCTAGCATACGATATCAACACACTAGTTTTAACGTAGGTGCTAGCATACGATATCAACACACTAGTTTTACTTACGTGCTAGCATACGGTATCAACACACTAGTTTTAATGTAAGTGCTAGCATACGGTATCAACACATTAGTTTTACTTACGTGCTAGCATACGGTATCAACACACTAGTTTTAATGTAAGTGCTAGCATACGGTATCAACACATTAGTTTTACTTACGTGCTAGCATACGATATCAACACACTAGTTTTACTCACGTGCTAGCATACGGTATCAACATACTAGTTTTAACGTAGGTGCTAGCATACGATATCAACACACTAGTTTTAACGTAGGTGCTAGCATACGATATCAACACACTAGTTTTAACGTAGGTGCTAGCATACGGTATCAACACACTAGTTTTAACGTAGG